GACCACATACTTGGTAACAAAGCAAACCTCAACAGATACAAAAATTTAGAATAACCCCCTGTACCTTACCAAATCGTCATGGTTTTAAGGAATTCAACAACAACATAAATTACAGAGAGCCTACAAACTCATGGAAATTGAACAATGCTCAGCTGAATCATCACTGGGTCAAGGAAGAAATAAAGAAATTAAAGACTTCCTACAATTCAATAAAAATGAATGCACAATATTCCCAAACTTATGGGACACTGTGAAAGCAGTGCTGAGAGGAAAGTTTATAGCATTATGTGCCTACATTAAAAACATGGAGAAATCTCACAATAGTGACTTAATAGCACACCTGAAAGCTCTAGAACAAAAAGAAGCAAACTCATTGCGAAGGAGACATCTGAAGAAAAAGGACAAGTTATCAAGAGAAAATGTCCCAAGAAAAAGAGTAAATTGGCCTATTGGTATATCACATTTACAACAAGATAAAATTTCATAAATCTTCCCAAATGTTTGTTACTGCTGTTCTCTACAGATGCATAATGCAAATGATCTTTTTGTAGGCCAGTTCAATTAAAATTAAAGCTGGTTTTGGCATTGAAGCATGGCTCTCTCCTTCTCTAAACACAAGCATGCTTATTAAAAGGAAAATCCAAAATCTCAGTCTCATGTCAGAAGAGCCATCTGATATGGGACAGAAGAAAAACCAAGATTAAGGGACCAGTCTATTACTACTAATATAATCCTTTGGTTTTATTTTGACAGTGTTAAAACTTTTCTTAAGGTACAAATATTATCTCAAAATTTATAAAATTAGTATGCATATATATTAAACTTTTTGTCAAGATATTAATGGTCATATAGAATACTAATTCAAGAAAAGGCTTCATCTAGCTTCCTGTACATAATTTTGGGTTTGAGTATCTATCACACAACTAGGAATTAGATTTTTGTAGTATGGATGTACATAACAAATTATGGTCCTTTAACCTCTTTGAGATCTGATGAATATGACATTTAAAATATTTAAGTTTTCTGCAGTGAACCATGAGCATGCCTCACAGTGACCTTTGAAGTCTCCAAAAGGAGGCTGGGGCCCCACAACGATAATCCACTGGGACTATGTGGTAATACCACTAACCTGACAAATGCCACCTGAAGATTGCCTTTGGACTACAAACTGCTCAGGACAATGTCAAGGTGGCTGACTGAGATGGTCAAGCCTCACAGACTACTCTAGCCAGGACTTGAGATAAGCCCTGCACTTTCCCATTACAGAGACTGGACAACAAATGATACAGCTAGCTCTCCCAGGACTTGACAATTATCCCATTTATTTTCAGAGTCCCCTAAAGATGCTAACACCCCCAGACAGCAGGAAGTAACTTTAAGAACATGATGCCTGTATTCCCAAGAGGAAGGTGGGTTGTTTTTGATTGTTCAATGGGTTATGGGTATTTGTCATGATTTAGGTGGGTTGGTTACAAGTTGTTATTGGTAATGGTCAGGAAAAAAAGCTGAACAAAGGAGATTAGATTCAGGGATTTTGTTCTGTAAAGAAAAAAAGGGATATAGAAATGATAGTATTAAAGGGTAGATTACTGAATCTACTTTTAAACCAAAAAGCAACTACTAATCTTAAATATTTTACATTGATATGGATTTTTATATATTGATGGAGATCTCATCTATTTCTCCTTCCCAGGGTGACCCATGTGTTCCTCTTTGGGTCCTCCTTGTTGGCTAGCTTCTCTGGAGACGTGGGTTGTAGTCTGATTATCCTTTGCTCTACATCCAGTATCCACTTATGAGTGAGTGCATACCATGTCTATCCCTCTGAGTTTGGGTTACCTCACTCAGGATGATATTCTCTAGTTCCATCCATTTGCCTGCAAATTTCACAATGTCATTGTTTTTTACTGCTGAGTAGTACTCCACTGATACAAATTTGAGATTATTTTTGTTATACTGTATATGTTTCCACTCTTGTTTAAGATATTTTTGTAGATTAAAACAAATTTAAGGTTATTTTTGTTAGAACTACTGTACATATGTTTCCACTCTTGTTCAAGATATTGTACCTATATGGCTCACTTAACAATATGATGTAAATTTCTAGTCCTTGAAAGTTATTATTTCAAACTATTTAGGATAATAAAGAAATACAGGTTAGTAATTAGCTACATATTATAATCAAACTTGTAGTCATGTTAGGTATGTTTTCAAGGTTAAATAGAGATATTTTTAGATAGACAGGTGGTCTTCAAACACTTCAGAGATCTACAGAATATGGCATTTAAGATGTTTTAATAATGTAGGTCCTTTTTTTATGACAATGAGACATGCCTGCTCCTGGCAGCACCAATCTATATCAGAGAGGATGATGGGCATTGAAGAAACTCCATATGGAGTTCACTTTCTTTGTGACAAAAGCTAGCCATGTGGGCAAAGAAAGTGCCCTTGCCTTGACTGCTGACAGTATGCTGTCCAAATTGGACAAGCAGGACACAAAAGAAAGTGACCCCAGAAACTTGCCAGAACAAGGTGGGATAGCCCTTCAAAAATCCTGCTTCTCAGAAAAGTCTGTCAGATATTCTAGGCCTGCAGGCCAAAGATGGATGCCCCAATGTTACAGAGGAACCTTGGGTAACTGTCCAGGCAGCCAGCTGTTTCTGTCATTTTTTAGTTTTGGAAGTTGTTTGCTCTGCACTTCCTGTTTACTCAGGTAATATTACATCCTTCTCGAGTCTCTGATGGAGCTGAAGACTAGATAGTTATAGTTTTCCTTGTTGACAAACTCACAAAAGAAGTGTAAATTGTATAAGGTTGAGAGACATAAAAAGATAGTTTTGGGTTGGTAACACAAGTTAGGATAGAAAGTGAATTAGGTACAACACTTTGGTCTCACCAAGATAGGAAAGATAATGAAGTATTTTCTCTGAATTTGTCAAATGCTAATGGACTAGACATTGTTAATGTAATTATTTCCTATATATATTTGTATATATTTATTGTACTCACTGTATGTTTTTACTATGTTGGTTAATACCTTTGCTTTTTATTTAGACAAAAAGGGAGAAATGTTGTGTGATATTTTGATTATGTTCTGATAAAGATTTTTTGGAGTCAGAGGATGGAGCTAGCCACTAGTCAACCACTTTTGTTTGGAGGACTGTAGAGAGAGGGAGAGGAAGTGGTAAGGTGGGGTTGAGACAGGATCTCCACCCTTTTGGTCAGAGGAACAGAAGATGTAGGAAGTCACTGGTGGCTGTTCCTCTGCTTCTCTGATCTTTCAGGTTTTTACCCCAATATCTGACTCCTGGTTTTTATTGATAAGATTGATTAGATCTACACATCAGTTGATATATTAATTTAATTAATTTGATGTTTTAATTTAATCAAACTGGTCATCTAAACATCCACATTTAAGGGCTCAGTGGGTGAAGGAGCTTTGTTGCCAAACCTGATGCTCTGAGTTTGATCTCAAGGGCCCATCATGATCCAATAGGCAACCAACTCCCACAGGTTGCTGCCTTCCATTCCTATAAGCTGAAGCACATGTATGCATGCATGCACACATACACTCACACACACTAAAAAATAAAGTATAGTTGTAAGTCTGTATTTTAAAGCACAATTAGCAACAACTTCTTAATACATAAGCTATTCAATAAATAAATGAATAAATAGGTTATTCAATGCAAGGCATGGTTTAATGTTAGCAATTGCTCATCCCAACATGAAATTGACAAATATGGTACCACAAAGAAACACATATTATGATTCCTTTGGAATATAAAATAATGCTGATACCATTTTTTAAAAGCTACTAGGAGATGAGAACTCCCACGTGCTGCCCGTGTCTTCCTGATGTCTTCTGAGACAGGAGTTCTATGGGCTCTACAGACGACAAGTTGCTCCTGTCCAGCTTCTTCAGTAGAGTTTAGCTACAGTGCTGCATCTCTTCTTCTAAGGAGAACTTTCCTTTTAGAGGCTTAAGTCACACTGGTAATTTCACACTTTGCACACTGGGTTTAAATTAAATTAAATTCTGAACTGTGTGATGCTGTCTTACCCTTGATAGCCTAACATGTGTGCACACCAATTTCTTCTTCTATCATTGAGTAGTCTAGAAATCTCATTAGGCAGTGTTTAGAAGCACATTTTTTCCTGATGGCTAGATTCCCACATGATTTTAATCAAGTCATTAATATTTCTCTTTCTCTCTTCCCTCCTCTCTCCCATGTTCCTCCCTCTCTCTCTCTCTCTCTCTTCCCTCCTCTCCTCCACCTCTTCTTCCCTCTCTTCCTCCATCTCTCCTTCCTTCCCCTTCCCTCTTCCTCCCACATTTCCTCCCCTCCTGCCCCTTCTGAGATTGAACCCAGAGTCTTGTATGTGCCTGGCCTGTTTGCTTCACCAACCTATTTCTCCACCATTGTAGTTCTGATAAGCTCTTCTTAGGTAATGTGGCCCCTGTTATATGCTATATATTTGGAATTGATTTGAGCAACAGTAGCATGACTATCTTTGTTATATCCAGACAGATATAATAAATGATTATAATATGAAAACAAGTCTGAGGAGACATAGGCAACTCACGGAATAGACCACATAGGCAAACAAGAGGGCTTGGGTCTTATTCTTTGCTCTACTATAATTCTAAGCTTCCAGGGTTATAATTAACATCTATTGACACTATGAACTATCCCTGAAGAACAGGAAGAAAGAAATAAGGAAGGAAGGAAGGAAAGAAAGAAAGAAAGAAGGAAGGAAGGAAGGAAGGAAGGAAGGAAGGAAGGAAGAAAAATTAGGAAGGTAGGCAGGCAAAAGCTTTTCTGAACACAGAAGCATACACAGTATTATACTGTTTCTCTATTATTTCTACTTATGTATGCAATTGTGAGTATTTTATTTGCATATAAATCTTTAGTATAACATATTTTTGACACAGTGCTTCACTATATAACCCTAGATACCTGCAGTTATGGAGACCACAGTGGCCTTGAACTCACCGAGATCTGCTTGTCTCTGCCTCCTGAGTGCTGAAATTAAAGATATGTACCTTTAGAATCTATATTTATTGTTACTCTTTCCTAACAACTATGGGTAATATAATTTTACAAACATAAAAGTTGTCTATATATTTCTTTAAAGGTTCACAGGTCTAATTGGTACATAAGGTTTTTTGTTTTTTTGTTGGTTTTTTTTTTTTTTTTGGTTTTTTGAGACAAGGTTTCTCTGTGTAGCTTTGGAGCCTGTCCTGGAACTTACTAGGTAGACCAGGCTGGCCTCGTACTCACGGAGATCCACCTGCCTCTGCCTCCCAAGTGCTGGGATTAAAGGCGTGCACCACCACTGCCCGGCTGAGGTGCATGAGTTTTGCTTAGTAGACAAAATATGACCATATGAACATACAAGTCCTCAATGATGAAATGTTTTATTTTTCATAAATTACACAGTAAAAATATTAAAACATAAACATAATATGACAGAAAATATGAGAGACTACACAGACTGTGAGCAATAACATTTTATAATTGTGTGATCCATTTACCGTTCAGCATGTAAGATACAAGAGGAATGAGTAATATTTAAAGCGTGGCTGGAGAGACATCTCAGTATTAAGAACACTGGTTGCTATTGCAGAAGACCAAGGTTCTGTTCCCAGCACCCACATGGAGACTCACAATCATCTGTAACTTCAGTTTCAGGAGATTCAGTGCCCTCTTTAGACCTCCACAGGCACTGGGCATGCACATGGTATATATACATACATGCAGGGAAACACCCATACCCATAAAATAAAATAAATATTTTTAAAGTATTTAGGGTGACATACCTTTGATATCACTTTTCTCTAAGTCTTTTAGTGCTTGAACAAATGTCAGCTGAGTTTCAGTGAGAGGCCAGCTGTTAAACAATACCAAGCACTGTATGATATACTTGTAGCACTGTGAAAGGGAAGGCAGTGAGTCAGGACAAGAAAAAGAAGCCATGCAGTATGTGCACTGAAAGACGTATTAGGTCAAGCTTTTAATGTGTCATTTTATGAATCATACCATCATAGGTTAATTAAATGATAGCATGTTTCCCAAAACTTTCTGTGGTGGTTTGAATAAGAATGGCCCCCATAGGTTCTTATGTTTGAATGCTTTGGTGCCAAGTCAGTAGAACTGTTTTGGAAAGGATTCGGAGGTGCTGCTTGTTGGAGGAGGTGTGTCCTTGAGGGTGGACTTTGAGGTTTCAAAAGACCATGCCAGACCTAGTCTCTGCCTCCAACTTGCAGATACGATGTTAGCTCTCACCCACTGCTCCAGTACCACGCCGCCTGTTGCTATGCTCCCTACCACGATCATCATAGACTCACACTCTGAAAGTAAGCGAGTCCCCAGTTAAATGCTTTCTTTTATAGGATGCCTTGGTCATGGTGTCTCTTCAGAGCAGTACAGCAGTAACTGAGACAGCCTCTAACACTCAGTAAAAATGCATTTGGCATTCTCCATCCCAACTACTGCCTCTATCATCTAAGTTTCTAGTTTTCACCTCTGCATTGGGCATAAAGTGAAATCTCATTTCTGTCATATTTTCATACTTCCTTATATTATTTCAGAGGGTGAGTATCTTTTCAAAGTGGTTGGCTTTTAGGATTCTCTTTTCTTTATACTTAAGTCATAAAACCAGTCCCCTGCATCATCTGTGTCTGTTATTACTTTCATGGATTAAATTTCCCACTTAAATCTGTAGCACACCTTGAGTCCACCTTTATTATAGTGTTAGCAGTGACAAGCAAGTTCCCTAGCCTCTAATAGATTACCTTTTCTCCTTTAACTAATAGTTTCACCTCTATATTTAAAAAAAAAAAATCAGTGTTTCTTTTTATGATCACTAGTTTTATGTTAGCTTTGAAGGGCTCTAGCAGGTCCAAGCATGGCAAACACGGTACCAACAGGCTTTGCCTTTTACCCCTTTTGACTTCGCTAAACCATTAAATTACATTCCTAAAGCTAGCCCCCAAGGTCCATTCCCTTATTTGGCCACTGACTCATTCCTGAGACTGAATCTCAAGGCACAACTATTGAAACACCAAGGTCCAGCAATAAAAATTCGTAATTTTGACTAACCTAATTAAAATACCCAATCAGAACTTACTAACACACCCTAGCTCGTTCTAAAACAGAACTCCCCCTTTTCTCTCTTAAAATTAACACTTGAAAAACTATTTCCTGTTGTTTCTGCTGGATTCAGGATTCAGACTCAGTCATCTTGTCTCTGTGCCTTGCTTAATAAAGGATCTCTTTGTGTTTGGTTTGTGCTTGGAAATTGGTGTTTGGGTATGGTGTGTGCCTAATTCGGGTTCCAGAGGGTAGCAACCCACAGTGCACAGGTCTCTTCAAACTTGGCATAGGGCTAGAGTTATTTGAGAGATGGGAAACTCAATTAATAAAATTCCTCCATAAAATCGAGCTACAGGCAAGCCTGTAGTGTTTTCTTAATTAGTGATTGATGTGGGAGGAGGGCCCATTCTACTGTGGGTGGCACCACCCCTGGGCTGGTGGTCCTGGGTTCTATGAGAAAGCAGACTGAACATAAACAACAGGGTCATGTAACATTTAGCAAGGGAAAACTTTGAAGGTATTATAATTGCAATTTTAGTGCTTTATCTCTTTCCTCGGAGTATTATCTTCTTACAAATGAGTTTTGCCAAACTCCTTTCTCACTCCCCACCAGCCCCCTCACTTCTCCCCTGGCCCGAGTGTCTAATTCTGCAAGAACAGACTTGTCCACACTACTCAATGGCCTTGAAATCCCATCCCATTTTCTTATGTTTATAAATTCATGCCTTATGTATTTCTCTTGGTCTTATGAGTAGCATACATTAGAATCGTAAAATCTAGCTGGGTGGTGGTGGTGGTGGCGGCGGCGGCGGCGGCGGCGGCGGCGGCGGCGGCGCACGCCTTTAATCCCAGTACTCGGGAGGCAGAGCCAGGCAGATCTCTGTGAGTTTGAGACCAGCCTGGGCTACCAAGTGAGTCCCAGGAAAGGCACAAAGCTACACAGAAAAACCCTGTCTCGAAAAACCAAAAAAAAAAAAAAAAAAAAATCATAAAATCCAAAACTGTGAATAATTCATTTTAAGGGTTTTTTTTTTTTGCACATTTCATTGATTTTCTTTCCCCATCATTCTCATTCTCAGAACCTTGTCTCTTTTTCAATGAGCAATTATTTAGCTGTTTCTAACTTTTGTTGCAATAGCTCAGCTCATATGTTTCAGATTATTCATGCCTAGCTGATTAATCAAAGTCAGTTATTTCACTAAATATATATTAGTGTTGTTGACAAAGCATAATTTGTTGAGTTTTTATTAAAAACTCATTGAGTTCTATGTTTCATAAAGTCTCAGTTGATATTCTTTTTAACTAAAATATTATTTAACGTATTTTATCATGTTTTCACACTTATGGGCTTTTAAACTATTAATTATTAATGTATTTGCTGTTGCTTTCTGCTAATACCACATATCTTTAGGCACTTTGGCTTTTATTGAAGCACTCATTTTTTTTTTTTTTAATCACAAAATATTTATCTTTTTAAAAATAATTACATGGGTGCTGGGAACCAAACTTAGGTCCTTGGCAAGAGCAATGAACATTGCAAACCCCCAAGTTATCTCTCCAGCCCCAAACCTGTCTTTCAAAATATCCTGAGTGGAGTGGGGAGATGACTGAGTGAATTAAGAACTTCTCCTGAAAGTGTGCAGACCTGAGTTCAAATTTCAAGAACTGTTCTAAAGCTAGGCGTGGTAGCTGTGTCTGTAATCCCAGCACTCCTGTGGCAAGATAGAAGCTGGAGGCAGGGGAATCCTAGAATCTGGGCCAGCTAACCTGGGTTTGCACAGTAGCAAACCACAAAGAGATCCTGCTACAAACAAGACAGAAGGCAAGGACTTTGACCAGAGGTTGTCCCCTGGCTTGATATGGTATGCTTTGACACATGTCTCCATACTCATGCACATGAGTGCTCACACACACACACACACACACACACACACACACACACAGAGGAAGCAATAAAATAGCCCGCGTATGCCAAGACAAAGACACTATAATTCGAAATTTCAAATCCCCAAAATGGTTCTTAGTTTGCTCCTCAGCAACACTGGTTTCCAGGAGGCATGCATTGAACATTTCAATTGGGTTACTGACTCACCTGCTCTCTACACCGTTCTAATAGCTTTTCAAATTTCTTCTTAGTTGGGCAGGTGGGTGTCTCCATGTTAGTTAAGGCCACAGCTACTTGATTCAGTCTTCTTTTTATTTTTAGATTTGTCTGTAATGATTTCTAAATAGTGTGACCTTGAACATCATCACAGTTATGTCCCAGTCCCTGTTTACATCCTGTGATAGGTTCTTCCCTGGTTTTCTTTTTTTTTTTTTTTTTTTAACATTTATTGGTTCACTCTGTGTGCCTGTGCACATGTGTATGCAGGTGTACTTGCCTGTGAATATGCACAGGGAGACCAGAGCCAGGTCTGAGTTCCTTTTGCAGTTGTTCTCTGCCTTACTTTTTGAGACAGTCTCTCACTGAATCCAGAACTTTCCAATTTGTCTAAACTAACTGACCCTAGGATCTGCTTCTCTTGGTCTCCCAGCCTGGAGTTACATACGTACATTGTACCCACCGAGCCATCTTCCTAGCCCCAAAGAATTCTCCCCCCCCCCCCCAGCTGATGTACCTGTTGCGGTGTGCTACAATTTTCTTCTACAATGGGCACATTCATAACTTCTTCTTCCAGCAGAGGCAGACCTGATTCTGCTGCCGCCATTCCAGGTCTGCCCTTGAAGGACTTCTGACTCGTTGGGCCAGTTTTTTTCTTAGTCATCACTTCTGGTTCTTTCTTAGGTGAGGTATGAGATAAGAGGATTTGCTTGCTAGCTAAAAAGGAGAACTACTATGTTAGCATATTTGGTGTGCATTGGTATTACTGGTTATAGCCTACATATACACTTAAAAGGGCATGCATATTTTTAGAAGATTAAAAAAACCCACTGGATCTTTTCAAATTTTCTGGTCTTAGAGTTATTTATTAAGAACGTTCATGTGGGGCTGGAGAGGAGATGCATTAGTTAAGAGCACATGCTGCTCCTAAAGAGGATCCTGGTTTAGTTCCCAGCATCTACCTGGTACCTTAAAACCACCAGTGGCTCCAGTTCCAGGAGGTCCAAATCCTTCTTCTGGCCTCTGTGGGACCAGGCATGCACATGGTGCCATTCATACATGTAGGCCAACACTCATATACATACATAAATCTTAAAAAATAAAAGCAGACTTATGTATAAAAAATAAATTTTCTCAAAGTTTTCTTTAAAGGAGAGTCATAACCAGTCTGTCAGTTTTTAGAGCCTAATTAGACAAATAATTACATTGGCATCACTGGAGTCAAGTACAGTGTTTGTCAAGTGTGAAGTTTTGGTTTCACTTTAAATTAAACATTTTAAATGCCTCAGCAGCACAAGCATTCACTCAGGAATGCAGTCCACACTCCAGGTAGGTACTTACACTGGGAGCTCAATGCTCTTTCACTCCCCAGGAAGTAGAAGGCAGGGATGATGGCCTGCCCTTTGCCTGTGGCGCTCACCATGATCTCCTCACTTTCCAGCACCTGCAGCTTGATGAAGGCGTCGGGCTTGGACGTGCGGACCTGTATTGTGATGTACTGTGCCACGGTCACTTTGATGGAGTACCTAGGGTGAGAAAAGTTCAGCTTTAGGAGCAAGCACACTGGTCTCTGTTCAAGGTGATGAAGGAAATGGTGTGATGTTCTCATTTGATCGTCTGAAAGTAAAGCAGCTTTGTAAGGCCCACAGACATGCTAAAACATTCAATTGGCTACAGACTTTGACAAAGGAGCCCCAAATGACACAGTCAAGAAAAACAGTAGCACGTTTCCATTATTAGAAAACTCCAAGTAGGAAATGTACCTTTTTGTTAAGTACAACAGGAAGCCACTTATGAAACAGAATAGATCTAAAAGCCACCATCCTTGACAGTCACGTGACCAGCACTACATGTCACATGTTCACACCACTTTACAGTAGAAAAAGAACAGCTCATAGAAGCAGACCTTTGCAAGTTTCGCCCTCAATACCACTTTGCTCCGAAGAATAAAATACAGAGAAACCAAAAGTATTCTCAGTGCCCTCCCCCCCCCATCTCAGTTTACCCTATATTGCCATGATAAACACAATGACCAAACACAACTTGGGGAGAAAAACATTTCTTTCACCTTATAGTTTACAGTCCATCGTGAAGGGCAGTCAGGGCAGGGACCTGAGGCAGAAACCATGGAGGAGTGCTGCTTACTGGCTTCCTCCTCTTAGCTTGCTCAACCTGCCTTTTTAAATACCCCAGAACCACCTGCTCAGGGGTAGGACTGCCTACTGAGGGCTGGGCCTTCCCACATCAATCACTAATTAAGAAAATGCCCATGAAACTTGCCTACATGCCAGTCCGATGGCATTTCCTCAATTTGAGGTTCCCTCTTCCCAGATGACTCAGCTATGTCAGGTGGGCAAATGACCAGCTAGTGTACCCCATACTCACCCTTTGATGCACAAGCTGGAAAGCTTCAGTAAGAAAGAGTAGGAAAAGACGATCAAGCCATACTTTCCTCCCTCCCAGGACAGAGTTGTAAGTTTTGTTTTTTTGGGTTTTTTTTAACTTTAAAAGCATTATTACAGTGTGTGTGTGTGCATGTGTGTGTGCGTATGTGTTATTTGATTCTCTCTTTCCACATTTACATGAATTCTTGGGATGGAACTCAGGTTGCCAGGGTTGCACAGTGTGTGGCAAGCATTTTACCCTCTGAGTCTTCTTTCTGGCCCTTGTTTTGTAATTTTTGCTGTTTTCTCTCTCTAGTAATTCTTCACAAATGCCCAAGACCCGGTAGACTTTCTTTTTTTCTAAGTGGATGCAAATAAAATAAGAAGCAAACCAGCAATATCCATCACTTTGCCCTCCAGACTGACCTGCCTTCCCTTCCAGGGGCCCCTCTCTGTGGTCCCCCCCCCCCCCCCCCCGCTTGGTTCTTCTCACCAATTCATCTCCCACTCACTTGCTCTGCACTGACCCAGAGTCTTGGTTTACACTGGCCAGGATTCCAAGGACGTGTACCTTCCACATAGAAACTTTTAGTCTTATCCTCTGAGCTCTTGGAAGACTCTATCAGGGTTGAAGGGATCCTCCAAGTCTTGTTTTTAGACACGGGTTGCCTCTGAGCAAAGCAACTTCACACTGTCCCTTCTCTTCGGATCTGCTTTCTCAAGCACCTCTGCCATTGATATCCCACACACATCAGAGAAGCAATGCTGTGCTCTCATTCACAGATTGGAAACAACATTCATCCTACAGTTTCCCAGGGTCTCCATGAGCTCAAATGGAATCAAAGGTCCTAAATGGAAGCCTCTAGCTCAGCTGTCTCTCTAGGATCATGTGACTGTTACTAATATTTACAAGCAAGAACTCAAGGTCGGGAGGGGTGAGTGGGAGGAGGGATGAGAGGGGAATCTGTGGTTGATATGTAAAATGAACAAAAAGTTTCTTAATAAAAAAAAAAAGAACCCTTTGCAGGAAAAAATAAAATATTCTATCTCCAGATTCAGGCCCCTCTTTCTGATTGGTTGAACTGTATCTCTTCGTCCTACAGAAGCCATATTGGAGACCTCACAAGGTCATCTTATGTGGAGATAGTTTTCATCATAAGGAAAAGTTAAAGGATGAGGCCAAAGCAAAATGGTTAGTGGCCTGAGAATAGCAGGGCAGACTTTAGAAACAGTCACACAATGAAACACTATATAAAGATGAAAACAGATTTGAGTGATGATCCCTTAAGCCAAAGAATGTCAGCAAACCACAGAATGACAAGGGGAAGTCATGAAAGAGATTCTTTCCACAGTGCTCTGGAGACACCTACCCTGGTAACAACTTGACTTTAGACTGTGAAATGAGGCATTTTTATTGTTTAGTCACTCAGTGTTCTGTCATGACCCTGACAGGGCAGCAGTGGCAGATCTATTACTACCTGAGCTATTCACAGCTCTCTAACGCTTCCTCTGTCTTTTGGCCCATTCCCCTTCACTCCTTTCAACATCTCAAAGCTGTCTGAGTTAATAAGTTCCATGTTTCACATCTTGAATAATTAAACAGAATTTCATGATAATGTAGCTATAGCCTTTTATTTAGAAATTATACTGATTTTTTTCAATTCATGCATTATAGGCATTTTTGTTTTGTTTTGTTTTTCAAGACAAGGTTTCTCTGTGTTGCCCTGCCTGTACTGACCTAGAACTCAGAAATCTGCCTGCCTCTGCCTCCCGAGTGCTGGGATTAAAGGAGTGCGCCACTGCCACTCAGCTATATTATAGACATAGTTTTTCACACAACTCTGATAATGTCAGTTTCCTTAGAATGCTTTAAAGCTTTCTGTTCTGTGTTAGGAGAGGCTTCCAAAAAGGATTGTGCAGAGGGATCTCTCTGTCCTGGCCGCTCCCTTTTGCATCCTGGAAATGCACTTTGCAAAGAAATGTCCTCCTTCCCAGAAAATGCTGAGCACTTTCCCACTCCTCAGGGAGCCTCCTCCCAGCTTCCCCACCTCTCTGCTCCACACCTTCAAGACCAGCTTCTGGGACTAACTTAGTTCGAGGTTAAATACCGCTTCTTAGTCTGTAAATGGCCTCAACAAGGCTCCATAGCTTCTGGTAAACAAACCAGTCAAGCTAGTAAACTAGTCACACTAGTAAACAAGTTAATCATTCCATTTTTAGTTTTTGCTCTCCTTTTTTCTTATTTTCTTTCTTATAGGCAATGTTGAAAATATGTTACAGGCCGGGCGGTGGTGGCACACACCTTTAATTCCAGCACTCGGGAGGCAGAGGCAGGTGGATCTCTACGAGTTCGAGGCTAGCCTGGTCTCCAAAGTTCCAGGAAATGCGCAAAGCTACACAGAGAAACCCTGTCTCGAAAAACCAAAAAAAAAAAAAAGGAAGAAAATATGTTACAGGAAGACAAATTGATAGGCAAATCCCCATTTTAGTCTGCTTTCATGCAGAATGTTCTTTATGCCTTTACCTAGGTTCATGTATAAAGCTTGAATTAATTAAATTAAAATATGTTCACGTATAAAGTTTAAATATGCACTTAGGGTTATACTATGTATATAGTTTTGTGTTTTAGTGTTATTGCTTATTCAGTTTTGATTTAAATTTTTTGCAATTTTAAGGAGGAAAGTTTTTGTATTGAATAAGAATTATAGGAAAAAATCAGGCAGAGTATTATTATTTGTCAAATTTTATCAATAAGACTTAGTTTTTTCCCTCTGAAAACCAACTCACTAATGTATGGTGCCTTTAAAATAGCTCTTCAATATAATAAAACCTAGAAAACAATAGGGTATTTTTTTTTAACTGGGCACCATAGATCATGTCCATCGTGGCTTTAACAATAAGGAGTAGCATTAAACCAAGTAAATGACTGAGTATTCACATGACTGACTACTGGAAGTCATAAAACAGCTAAGACATCTTGACATTATTGATAAATGACCATTACATAACACGATATGAAATGTCTGAACCACAAAGTTCTTACTGTCATGACTTTAAAAGTGGTAAACTATGACCAGAAAGAAATGATATAAGAAACAAGAACAAAGTGCCAACTAGGGCTGTTTGTTGGTTGTCTGATTATGAATGACACATATATTTAGTGTGTTTTCTAAATTCAGGGGGAAGAACATTTTCTATTAAAAAGAGAAAATATTTAATGCAGGCCAACAATGCATTGGGTACTGTGCTAGTTCCCATGTTTAAAGGACACGTGTCTGGCCTTCAGTTAGCTTGACTGTCATCTCTTGGAGGCCTGCTCTTTACTGAAGAAACAGAGGTGAATGAATCTGGGGGAGAAGAGAGTTGGGAAGGGGAACTCAGGAGTAGAGGGAGGGCAACCTGTGGTTGGATACATTACATGTGAGAAGAATCTACTTTCAATAAAACTAAGTTAAAAAACATTAATTCTCATAGAGGCTGAGGAACAGATAATCAGCTTATATATATATATATATATATATATATATATATATATATATATATATATATATATATATATACATAAGATGTTTACCACAAGAATGGCACCTGGAACAAATATATATGTTAGTAGTAAAGATAGATACATAAATTAAGAAGGAAGAGCGACCATGCAATGTATTAAAACAAATATAACAGAGTCCTAGATTCCCAAAACAACAACAAGTGAAGAGCTATTTTAAAGGCACCATACATTAGTGAGTTGGTTTTCAGAGGGAAAAAACTAAGTCTTATTGATAAAATTTGACAAATAATAATACTTATATGTAAAATATGTAACAAGCATAATGGAGACCCTAAAATTGTGCAGGAGCATTGAGAAAAGAGGGGGAGACACACACCAAGGCTGTGGTATGTCAGAATTAGAATCCACAGACACGATTAACGAAAGAAAGTGGGATCAGTACTAGGCCAATTCAAGGGGAATGAATAGGTGAGCATGAAAAGAAGGCTGGAGTGACAGGCAAGGATGCCCCGCCCCCCTATACCCCCCCAACCAGAGAGTAGCCAAAGATAAGGTGGAGCAAGGAGAAAGTCAAATAGCCATAGGAGACCAGAAAGAATCTTCAGTGACAGTGAAGTAAAACAAAGCCTAAGAAAGGGTATTAGCATTATTTGAAACTGTACAGGTTTGATCATCCATTCAACCTTGCTAATGTTAATTAGTTATTTTCATAAATTTACAAAAATTAAAATTTAATGCACTTAGAAGTACAAATTCATTTTAATAAAAATATTTTAAGAACATCTTTATCTGTCTATTCTATACTTGTACCTGAACATGATTTTCCTGTCATTAGGAATGTAGTAGTCTCTGATTTCCTTTATGGTGAAGGTGTTGCACGGAGCATCTCGGGAAAGAAATGGAAGTGGGTTGTAAGAGCCAATGAGCCTCAGTTTCCACCGTGCGCCTGACACGTAGTTGTCCCCAGTATATGCTTCAGCCACAAATGTGTAGCCTTTCTAAAATAGAAGGCAACCACACACAGGATTCACATTGCCATGAGGCTCTCAAATACATGGTCCACACGTGGAAATAAATTTGCTATCATAATAAATATGCTCCCCATAGGTCCAAGATCTCCTAATAACCATCAAGCCATTAGCATTATGTTTAAAATCCTTAGAAATAATCAGATTAGGGTTGAGGATGTATCCAAGTGGTAGGATGCTTGCTTAGCTTGTGTGTACCCCTGGGTTAGATCCTCAGTGCTGTGAAGAAATAAACTCTGAGAAATCTCACAAGTCAGTGCCCTAAATCCCACTGTTCCATCTTTGAGAAATTATGACCTAAGTAGGGAGATGACTGTTAGTTTAATTGAAGAAGCATATACATTTGCAAGCCTCATTCCAATAAGAGTCCTTATCAAGCATCAAAGGATGCCTTGTGAAAATTCAAAGGAATTAAACAGAATCCTACAGGCCAAAATGACTTTATAAGGAAGAAGAACTTGATTAGATCATCTAACTAACGTACTAGTAAATAATAACAAAGCTGTTGAATTTCATTTGGGGCAGGATGTCTCTTGAAGAGGGCTCCAGTCAGGTAACAAAGTTGGGTAGCACCCAGGGCTACATTTTTATTTCTCTTTGTATTAGCCTTAGACATCCTCTGTATAGGTAAAGATGTTCACCTGTCTCTGGAAACCATCTCTGGGATATCATACCAAGATGGTTCATTAATGCCGGAGCAAATTATTTAGTGGTAAAGACAGAAGGATAGCAATGCCTTGTAGGCTATGTGGTGCTAGTGCAAGCCTTTAATCCCAACACTCAGGAGGCAGAGGCAGGCAGATCTCTGTGAGTTTGAGGCCAGCCTGGTGTACAGAGCTAGTTCCAGGACAGCTAGGGCTGTTACACAGAAACCCTGTCTCAGAACAAAAAAGAAAGGAAGGAAGGAAGGAAGGAAGGAAGGAAGGAAGAAATGCCTAGTAGAAAAAAGGGCTTCAATTTACAGTAGTGTCTTCCAGGATGAGTTTTGCGAAATATTGACCCAATGCATTTTATGAACAGTGTTTCTGTGATGCAGTACATTTGGGAAGCAGTATGTTTTCCCTCTCTGGACATATGGTTACACATATGTTGCCATGCTTGTCAGGTCCCAGGGTGTTAATACAGACTACAGGGCAAAGATTTAAGCAATAATCAGTTTTGTTTGCATCAGTTTTGTTCTGAGGTAACATTCAGTGCCACATTTTACCTGGGACATAAATAATTATCAAGCATATTTAAAGACTGAGAATCGCGAAGAGATGACAAGCCATACTTAAAAAAAAAAAAGAAAAGAAAAGAAAGGCGCCATGGAAAGCTAATTCTCTGTTCACACATGTCAACTTTTCTTGCACAGGCTTCCCATTTCCTTCCCTAAAAGTCAGATAGATACAGAGGGCAGAAGAGACAGGAGAGAGGGATGGGGGTGTTGGTTACAATCTGAATTTGTCATGTGAAATGGAGATGGAATGTGCTTCTTCATTTCTACATTTTGACTCAACTTGCCTCCTTGAGAAAAATACATGTGAATTAACCTTAGTTTAGAGAGCCAGCCATGATAAAACACAAAAACAAACACAAAGAAGAAACTCAAAACTACACACACACACACACACACACACACACACACACACACACACACACACCAAAACCTGTGAATTAAATATTTTTAAATGTCCCTTCCTAAATTAAGTATTGATGACTAATATTAATATAACTTATTTGGTGAAAGAGAAATCATCTCCAGATTTTGATGGCATCTATGATTTTTCTAGACTCTGCCTTTAGACCAGTAGTTCTCAACCTGTAGGTCATGACCCCTTTGGGGGTTGAACAACCCTTTTGCAGGGCTTGCCTAAGACCATTGAAAACACAGATATTTACATTAAGATTCATAACAGTAGCAAAATTCAGTTATGAAGCAGCAATGAAAATAATGTTATATTTGGGGACGACCACAACATAAGGAACTGTACTAAATGGTTGAAGCATTAGGAAGGTTGAGAACCACTGCCCTAGACAAAACCATTTCCTTGCTTTTGAGCTTTCTTAATTAATATTTATGATAACAAATTAAATTGTTTCTGTTTAAACAAAAGTCTAAGTTAAGTCTGATAAATGACAATGCAAAAATTGTCTATGTGTAAAAACAAATTTGTTATGGAAGGGCCTGCATTCTTTTCTACCATTGGATTTAGTACAAGACATTCTGCTGTGGAAGGTAGCATTCATAGGTAAGGGAAATTTCACAATCCTGGAATTTTTGATGAAATATCATTTGTTAGGCCATGAAGGAGAATACATAGCAGGAAGAAACACAATGGGTTAAATTCAGTTCATAAAGGCATACTTGATGTGTGAAAAATGAAAAGTGTTACTGAAATAAAGGTAATTGAATATCATTTCAACAAGTGGTAAACATAATGACCATAACTTAAAATGATATGGTTAAATATAGATAAAAAATGGATCCATTGGCTTTAATAATATGAATTTTTTAAATTATGATTCAGAACATAATATCAAATACAAATGACTTCCATATAAAATATTTGTTTACCAGATTGCCCCATAAACTATATATTTGATACTTCTCTGATTTAATGTGAAGTAAAAATAATTAAAGGTACTAGGTATAATTTGATACTATCTTCCAATTTTATAAAATCTGATGCCCAAATCAAGAAAATTTATCTCATGAAAAAATAATAGAAAAATTGAGTTTACTAAACATGAGTTTTAAAAATTATGAGAACTAATAAATTCATTAAAAACAATTTTTAAAATATCACTATGCATATGTATACATACATATATAAATAATCAGTAGGATTAAGTTGTTTAATCAAGAATTTTAGTTGGGTGTGTTAGTGCATGCCTTTAACCTTAGCACTCAGGAGGCTGAGGCAGGCAGATCTCTGAGAACTTGAGACCAGCCTGATCTACATGGTGAGTTCCAGGATACCCAGTGCTACACAGAAGGGCCTTGTCTTAAAATTATAAAAAGAAATTCTATTTTTCTTGTTTCCTCAAATCTCAAAAGTAGTTCAAAAGAACTGTTCAGTTTCTTATTGAATGAATTCATTTTACATCTATTCTTCATCCTTATGAAGTCAATATTCATTAGACATTCATTAGACAGGTCTGTCTAATTTACATAAAATAATGCATGATATTGTAGGCTGAAATGAACCTCAAAAGAAAAGTACAACCATAATCCAGAGGGAAAAATGATCAAGCTCAAAACCACAGGGCTAGAGAAGGGAAGTTAGGAGCAAAAGCAGCTCTCTGTGTTTGCTGCCCACGTCTACTATACTTGTCATGATGCCCTAATGGGGAATGTGATTGAAGGCATGAATAAGAGATTAAAATACCCAGAGAGGAAACATCTGACAGAAGGCCAGGGTCTCTCATCCATTCAGCAGGTAGCTTACAGTGCTTCTTGGCCTGATAGTCATACTGCCTTGGAAGACTGATGTTGGAGGCTGGGAACATGATCTCAGTCCCCTCATGCGTAAAGGCTATGTGTGAAGTAGAGACAAGCCTGGCCTGTTTCATTATAGGACCAAATGGACTCCTGGGATCTGCTTCTGTTTTAAAACCGATGTGGCTTTGGTTTCAACACTGGACATGTACAATGTGTACTTTCTGGGATGTGAAGTGTGTTGCAGCATTCACTAAAACTCTTCCTCCTAGATAGATTGCAAGCTCAGCTGCTGTGCTTGCTTCTGGGCTCCAATTCACTTTGTTTGAACATCTGGGGATATATTCTGCACCTACCTTGTTCTTGGAGTAAAGGTAAGGCACCACTTTCTGAAACACCTTCGGTACTTGCTCCATTGTGTCATTGTTAACAACATGCAGCATACAGACCGGGAGTGTAGTGTATACTTTGGGGACTAAGATCATATCTTGAGGAACCAAAAATGTTTCTCTAGAATTACAAAAGCACAGGCCTTTCTTAGTGTGACTCTTAATGCTTTAAATAGAATTTAAACCCAAAGAATCTTTGTGAAACCTTAAAATTGCAAGTAACTAAAAGGCTTGCATATCTTTTCCATTTCAATTTATTATTAGTGTCATTTTGATGTTCAAATGCAAACTCCCATTGTATACAACAGTCATGACTTGTACCAGATATACTATTGCTTGGAAATAAATGCTATCTAACTATACTGGAAACAGACTGATTTATTATGTTAATATATTCACTGAAAAATCTATAAATTGTTTACATTTTTATATTTTGATGGAAGGACTATTGATAAAAATTCTCTGACATCCCATCATATGTGTAGAAAATGTTATGTATATGTATGGAAAAGTTTTAACCAAATATGAAAGCAGTCTAGAGGCTGATTGATACTTTTACTGCTAACCATACTTTCACCCCAGACACTGCAGGTCAGAACACTGTATGCACCACTTGCCTGAATACTATAAACCAAGAATTCGGTGGCTGGTCTGCATAGTTCACCGTGTAGTCAGCAAAGGCAACCTTTGTTTCTTCATCTTGATAGCATGGGTAAGACTCCATAGACCTACACTTGCTTTTAAACATTAGTCTAGAAATGGAAAAGTGAGTATCAGTGACAAAGTACTTTTAAAATAAACTCCATTTACAGGAGAGAAGTAGCCCTTAACATAGCAAAATACCATGCCAGTAGCCATGTCAGAGGAGCAATTGACTCCTGGGTGTCAGTCCACCAGGACGCAACTCCTTGATGGGTGAATCTCAGATAGGCAAGGCCCCGAGACCACAGACCCCAGAGTGGCTTTTGCTTCTGCTGTGCCTTTACACGTTTGCCCCTGCCGTCTTTCTCTGGTATCCGGCATGGTGTGAATGGGTGTGGGGAGATCCCCACTGCCTGTAATGTAGTCTGTTTTCTCAAGGAAGCGTTCCCTTCTACTGGGCTTTTTTTTACCTGTGGATTGTTATGAAGATGATTCCTTCTTAAGCTGTACTGTCTATTTGATAATAATAATGCTAGTTTAAATAGAGTTTTGATTATTAAAAAATAAAACAAGGAAGTGTCACACAGCTAGAACACATGAGTTTCTATTGAGGAGCTGTATGGACTGTGACTTAGGTTAATGATTAAGGAAAACAATTGAGTCCAGTAGCCCAACTAGTTTAAATTCTTCTAATCTTAACGTTGTGAGAGGTGTTCACAGGTTTCAGAGTGCATCAAAGCTAAAACAAAGCTTTGAAAATAACAAAGTTAAACTAAGAAGTTTTTATCAAACAGCTTTGAGGTGAAAACTCAAGAAGATAATCTAAAGTTTGAGAAAGGCACATAGTTGAATCCAGAACTCTTTAAAGTCAGGGAACAAGAACGAAGCAGCCCAAATATGACTAGCTGATGTGCTTCTCTTACTAGGATTGGTTGATGACCAAAGATGGTGATTAATTCCTTGTGCCCATTTTTGCCCTCAATCTCCTTATATAAGAAACAATTGATGTACCCCAAAGATTTAAAATAGAGCTGACTAATTCTTTTCCATATATAAAAGTTGAGGTTTATGATCCTTTATAAAACTGATCCTCTATAAGATTACCTTTCACTGGGTGGCAGTGGTACACAACAGTAATCCCAGCATTCGGGAGGCAGAGGCAGGCAGTTCTCTATGAATTCAAGGCCAGCATGGTCTACACAGCAAGATCCAGGACAGACACCAAAAACTACACAGAGAAACCCTGTCTTGAAAAACAAAAACCAAACAAACAAACAAAAAAGGATTACCTTTCAAGTTAAGTAATAAAGTTATTGGCCCTTTCTTTGTAACTACAAAACTTCAGTAAAAGACCTGACTGAGAAAAATATCTTGCTTGCCTACATGGTTAATCTATAACAAGTTGCTTGGGTATGAATGTATGTGAGTTCTTGGGATAATCTGTTTTTCACCTGTAATACACAAAACATTTAATGATGTAAGGTATATGAAAAACATGCAGTTTTTTACATTTGTTTTGTATTCATTGTAATCATTCACTTGAAAACAGAATGTAAGCACATTGTAATTTTTACATTGCCTGAAAGATTTTGCTGGGATATAAAAGCTATAAGAAAAAGAACTTTTAAAAAAGAATTTTTAAAAAATGGGCTAGAAGGAAAACATCAAGAATGAGAGAGTTAGAAGGAAAACATTAAGAATGAGAGAAGGAAATCAACAGGAAAATAAAGAATAGAGAATGCAAAAGAAAAATAAAGAAAAGGTCTGAAGGAAACCATCAAGAGAGTGTGTGTCTTTTTCCCTAGTGGTTACCCTCAGATGAAAAAGTCTAGTATGTGCCAACTCTGTGCATTTCCCTTTGAGCCCTGCACTGCTGGGGGCTGGCCTCCCAGGCAGCAATAACATCAGATACCAGTGTTTTCCCAGTTGAGGTCAAAGAGGCACTGTGTAAGTTGTGGCAACTGATACCAAGAGAGAGAAGCACACTCTGGGTCAGTCGTGAACTACAACTTCCAAAGGCACTTGAAGTTGTCTGACGATTTTAACTGAAGGAGAATGTAATTCCCAAGAAAGGGAATAATTAATGCTCATAAATGGGAAATGAGGCTGGATGGTTAAGCTGTAAAGCTGGGGAAGTGGAAGCAGGCAAAGCAGTTGTCAGCTAGGTTGGGGCCACTGAAGGGTCCAGAGAGCGACTAGAAATTGGAAGGGAGCTTGTGAGGTTAATGTGGGCAAGGGGTGTGGACAATTCAATGACAAAGAACTAAGATCACAAACAAGAATATAATATTAGAATTTTCTTCCTCTATGTTTTCTGGCTCATGTAACTGACTAAAATAAATCATGATATCTGCTTGTCCCCTGCAGGGAAGCCTGTGGCATCTTCCACGACAGGGTGGGAGTTGGTGAGGTGCCTGAATCTATATCTAGCCTTAAAAGCACCAAGAATCTTGGATGTTTTTCACAGGTGCTATCTGGGATAGAGGCCATTATGGCCATATAGAACAGTTCTTTACTGGAAATCTAGAAGCATTCTTTAGCTAGAAGAGGCCTAGAAGTGTTGTTTACCTTAGAAGAGAAAGTGCATACTGTTCCATATTCATCTCTAATATCGACCAAATTTTTTGAAGTGTATCTGCAACGCTGGCATTTTCCTTTGTGTCTAAACAACAACAACATCAACAATAATAATAATAAACATTAAATCCATAAGATATCTGAACCATGACCTTGTGCACAGTTTTCATTTTGCAGGTAAAGACTTTGAAATCCCCTGTAGGAGGCATGTAGGTCTTTATGCTCATAGATAAGCACCAGAGAAACAAGGAATGTTAAACATACAGGATTGTCTCTTCAAAGAAAAAGATATATAACCTGTTTTCCAGCCAGAAGGCTGTGAACCAATGTGGTTAACAGTCTAGTAACCTCTATGCTATTCTGTATGGCCAGGCCACATCAGCTACCCCAGGTCCTATCATGAGCTTCTTTCTCTTGAGCCTGTCTCCCTCAGTTAATCTACAGAACCTATCTCTATGGAAAATGTCACTTTACTTTATAAGAGTTTTGATGGAGTTATGTCTTAAGCTTAGCTGTGAACATGGGATTGAGTTAATTATCACCAGGAAACTTTTTTTTCCCCAAATTGTGCTGTGCTTAAGCATGCCTAAAATAAACTAGCAGGGGTCAGATTCTTGAAGTTTGAACCAACACCAGTTACCGAGTCCTGCTGAACCAGACTTCCTTCTTGTGGCTTGACACTCTGCTGGCCATGGTGTTTGCAGAGACCCCCACAATCCACAAGTAAGATGTCTCCAGGCTCTCCAGTTTTGTAAGCAGTAAAAGCATGCTTAAACTATAGGGTTACAAATGTTTAGACGAGAGCACTGCTCACAGTATTTAACCATTTCCTCTCATCTTTAACCTGAAGACATTTGGGTTCTTCGACATTATTTAAGAAACTCATGAAATGGTTTGCATAAGGAGATCTTTTGTCACACCCAAAAAAACTCCTGTGGAAAACCTTAGCTCAGAAAAAAAAAAACCACCTAATTATAATAAGGAATACACCTGAATGGATGTCATGAACCTCAGTCTATGGCACTGTCAACAAATGGCTTCACAGTAGATGGACCTGCAGGGGAAATGCCATCCTGAGTAAATATCTCAGAGTCAACGTGTCAGAAACAGGCACTCTCAGATTTTTCTCATTGTCTTGCTTGAGTTTCTTCCCTGTTCTTCAGATTCTGAAATGGGAACCATAGCATCTCTGCTTATCTGCTGTGTGCCTGTAATGGAGCCGAAGCTTCATTGGTTTGGCCAGCTTCTCTGAAATAGTTGTCACCATGGGTATGTTACCCCTGAGATTCATTCAATGAATATGAGCGGAGTGAAAGAACTACATTATAAAATTGCTTGCATTTTTTCAGTTTCCACATGGGAAAAAAATCACCCTATGAATGTAATAGTTACTACTCACAGAGAGAACCAAAATCATATAAACATACTAGTTACTACTCAGAGAGAGAACCAAAACAAACCGGGCAGTGGTGGTGCACGCCTTTAATCCTAGCACTCAGAAGGCAGAGGCAGGTGGATCTCTGTGAGTTTGAGGCCAGCCTGGTCTACAGAGCTACACAGAGAGAACCAAAACATTTTACCATACAATGAGTTTGATGAATGTGTTTGTTTTCTAATGAAGGAAAACATGAAAATCAAGTAATTATAATATATTTCTATCTCTAGTTTGTTCTTTCTTTCTCCTTTCCCTTCCTTCCCTCCTTCCCTCCTTCATTCTTCCCACCTCCCTCCCTTTTTCCCTCCATCCTTTCCTCCCTCCCTTTCTTCCTTCTTTCCTTATTTCTTGATATGATACCCCAGATCAGTCTCGAACTAACACTAGCAATCTTCTGCCCTCATCCTTCTGAGTACTGGAACTACATGAATGCAACATCATACCTTCATTTTAATATTTTCTAGCATAAACTATTTACTTACATTTTAAAACACCTTTGGGTATCTTGACTTTTCACTCCCCAAACAAACTTTTCAGTATTGTCACTAAATGTTTCCCATAGAAATATTTTTTATAACAAAATATTTCAGTAAACTAAAAAGTTCTATCCGAGATAAATCTTTCCTCTCAAAAGGTCAATGGCTATCACATGATGAAAATGATTGAATACACCTTTTGAATTTTCATCTGATAATATAGGCATTTCTTCCCACAATCAATTTGATGCACCTGAAAACATTTCACTTCACAAATGTTAGAGCATATTGAAACACATTTCTGCCTCTAAATTAACATCAGCCTCATCATGCACAGAATCACTGGTGTCCTTCATTCTGTTACATTCAATCTGAAATTGGACAATAATCACCTACTTGGCTGAAGGTGAATGACCCTGCAAACTGTTCCAACCAAACTGGCCATGGTTGAAAAGAACTTACAATAGACTCAGAAATTAAGCTGATCATTTTCTCAATGATTCATGGAACGTACATTCTGTCTCAATGTGTAGTGTGTGGTAGCTGTGTGTGTATGTGTGTGTGTGTGTGTGTGGTGTGTGTGTGTGTGCACACGCATGCAATGGACACATGCATATGTGCACACACATGTGGATGCCAGAAGTTGATGTCAGGTGTCTTTCTTAGCTGTTCTCTAATGATTGACCACAGCAGGGTCTCTTGCCGAACCCTGAGCTCCCTGATGCGGCTCATCTGGCTGGACAGCTGGTCACAGGGATCTCTTTTTTCTTCCTCTCAAGTTCTGGGGCTGTTGGGTCATCACACCTACACAACTTTTCTGCGGAATCTGGGATCTGAACTCCAGTCCTCATGCTTCTACCTCATTGTCCCAGCCGTGACATTTAGCCTTTCAGCAAATAATCATTGTATATGCATGACATCTTGACATCTCTGACACTGGTGAATTCTGAGAATGAGAAAATGAACTCTAACTAGCTCCTTGCCTCAGGGGATTTCAGTACTTAATAGATAAATTAGTTCTGTAAAGCAGAGTGACTCTAAAATACCTTACATAAGGAAACACTCATTCCTATACACATGGGTCCATTTCAAGTATCTGAAAACCATACCTGGCATTCTGGCTTTCATGAGCAGTCTGACATAGGTCCCTTTCCATATTGATTGAATTTTCACTGCAGCAGCTATTTCCTCAGGAGAATACTCCTTCTCATTTATTGGCACACAATATTTAAGGTCTACCCATTCCGCTGTCAAGGGAAAGACAAGCACTGGATTGGAATTTACAGTTAATTCTTTCCCCAAAACTCTAATGCCTGCAACTGGGGAAGCCTTCAGACACAGAACATTCCACAAGGATGGACTGAGCATCCCTTTCACATTGTCCACTGAGCTTAGGCAAATGTCTGCAGAAGGAACGTGGATGAAGCTGTGCTATTTTGATGACCTGCATTGGATTCCCATCAGAAAATAGCCAGAGGCTTCCCTCAGAACATAAAGGAACCAGAATAGTGAGAACCAAATGTGGTAAGAGGAAGGAAGGAAGACAGTTGGATTGGGGTGTCTCCCAAAGGTTCCTTAATTCTTATCAGGTAGGTCAATGACAAATACAGAGGAATTCAGGGTTCCCTGGAAGTACAAAGGTCAATGACAAATACAGAGGAATTCAGGGTTCTCTGGAAGTACATATGATAAGGGTTAGGAAGTCCCCCAGGCAGATCTTGGAGCCCCTGGAGTATCCTAAAGAGGGCTTGAACTCCATGGCTGCCCAGCAGATCTGTTGTCTCTGCTATACAACAGCTGCACATACCCTTTTAAAATCATTCATTACTTCCATACTCAGATATTGAAAATGAATCAATACCTAAAGAGGAATCATCTACGATGACATCCAGGACGTCCGTGTCTAAAACCAGAGCCCGAAATGCAAATTTGAAGTTTAGAGGGGGCTTGGATATTTGAGATTTTTTCATTAAACGCCACAATGATATGTGGAATATCTGAAAAAGATAAAAATATTCACACACACACACACACACACACACACACACACACACACACACACATATAATTAACAATAGTGGCACGATCTAGTTTTGAATGACATATGGAGCTGTGTTGTTCTTCGCTGTTGAAAGCATATATGTAAAGATTGCATCTGTTGGAATGTGTGACAAGGTGGACAGTTGTCTTTTCACATTAAGCTGATTGTCTGGGACACACACTGCATTCTACCTTGATGCTTATACAGCAACAAAATGGTTTCTTTCTTCTCTGCATGGCAAGGTGCTCTTCTATGGTGGGTGCAGTCTTAGTTTATAAAGACTTTGCCAACAACATTCAAAATCAGCTTACATGTGAATAACGATAAAATATACTTTTAGTGCAAAGAAATTTTTGCTTGTGCTTTCATTAAACATGGTGAATATTATTAGTTTATACAAAACTACAGTCTAATTGAATGTCCTACATTTTTCTTTCTGGCTATGAAACTCCACCCTCAAAAGTCATGTGATAAGGTCTGAGGCATTTTCTATTGTCAAAGTAGATGCTATTGGCATATGCAGTGAAAACAAGTGATCTGAGACACATCCCACAGTGCGTTAGATGTAATTTAATCATCTCAATTACAAAAGCATTTTAGCCTGAATGTCAATAGCATGAAGGTTAAAAAAATTGAACAAAACAAAAACAAATGTCATCCACTTGCCATGCAGCTGGGGTGGGCCAGTACCTCTCAGTTTTCTTCCTCAAGAGACAACCAGAAGTACCCTGATTTCCTTTTCTGCGGGCTATCTAGGAAGCCAGAATGCACCTCAGCCCCAGCAGAAGTTTCTAAGAGTGAGGAGGCTAATGTTCCTGAGGGCAGAATGAACTACTGAAAAACCACTGCTAGGTGAGTGCTAATATTTCCTCTCCTTTAGAGAGACTCTGGATGAGTGAGCCTCAGTAGCCCATAGCAGTCATTATCATATTCTTTAATTAATTTCATTTTCTTTCTCATCTTATTCCTCTCTGCTTCCTGGAATCACTTTCCAAAGAAATAGTCTCCATGCAACCCACTTCCCCAGACTCAGCATTTGGGGTTCATCTAAGGTATCTTTCAGATGGGAGGTTTACTGCTGTGAGTCTGGGGACTGGAACTGCTTACCCGGAAGTGCTGAGCAGTGAGTTCTTTGTTGTAGAGGGGGATAGGGTAGTGAGCTGCTTGAAGATCCCTCAGAGCTGCAGGCAATTTACTTTTGTCTTTGAAACTAGCAATCACATTTCCAATAGCTTTCATAATTATTAGAGACTGTTCTGTAAATCGGTAGCTCTCCTGTGAAGACAGAGCATACATGTAGCGTCCATCCTCATGTCTCTTTAAGGGTAACCAAGTTTACAAATGTTCAACCTCTAGCTAGGGAAGAAAATCCTTGGCTATATGATTGATTCAAGGTTATTTCATTTGTAGAGAATAGACTGGACTGAGCATTTTATTGGATGGTCTGGAAGACATGAATCAGGGGCTGGAAGGCCTATGAAAATGACTGCATCAGAGGAGCACTAGCCCTATGGTGGAGTCAGGGAAAACTCTATAGTATTAATGCTCAGAGTTAGTTCTGAAGGATGTCTAGGGTGTTAGGCTGACAAAGATTGGGATTTGGGGACTGAGAGGCAGAGAAGATTTCGGGGAGAGGGACTTACAAGATAAAACAAACAAACAGAACAACAACAAAAACAAACAAACAAAAACCACCAGAGGGTGTACTAGCTTGGGCTGCCGGCCCCTTCCAGGATCCATCCTGAGAAAGAGTGAGAGCTCCAGGCTGATAGAGATTCTAGGAATCAACCCAGTCTGAGATGTTTGAGGACTGTCCTGGTTGGTGTGTACCAGGAATTGCCTGGAGCAGCATATGCTTGCTTAGAGAAAGTCAGGAAAACGAAGTCATCTTTACTGTTTCTCTAGCAGGTGCCCTAGTTCAATCATTGCTCCATGGATACCCACAAGACTGAGAGTAGGCCCAGCAAACATACCTGAACAACACAGATGCCCGCTGGGTAAGAAACCAATGGCAAACACACAGAAGCCTTCTCATCTCGATGCTTAAATACCTACATGATCATTGCAAGCATCTGTGCTGGGGAAGGCATTGTCTTAGTGGTGGTCTAGTTAAAGTAAGACTGCTCAGAGGGCTCACCTGGTTATCTAGCAGCTCTGGGAATGATTAGTTCTGATTCTGAGGAGTTAGGGTCTCTCAGCTCATGGGCAAGGGGATGTCATGTGCACCTCCATTAGAATCAAAGCATAATAGAGATTCATCTTGAGTCTAATAACCCTTATACCATAGGAACATTATGTCATCAGAGAAATAAGAAATTCCACGACAAAATAATCATCAGGAATTAATTCTTCTGCAAGCTGGATAATGCACAGCACACAAGTAGAAATGTTTTAAAGAAAAATCTGAAATAAGCAGGATAGAGCAAGGCATGGCAGTACATGTGTGTAACCCGAGATACTCAGAAAGCTGATGCAATAGTATCTTGAGTTCCAGATTAGCCTGGGTTACATCATGAGCTCTTGTCTCCAAAAAAAAAACCAGTCAACCAACCAACCAACCAATCAATCAACAAACAAGAGTGTGGGGGGCCCAAAACAGCTTGACCACACAGCCACCATAACAGGCTTATTAGCAGGCAACATACACGTCCAGGAAAAGCCATAAGCTGACACCACCCAGGGATCCGCCCAGGGATGGGCCAGCATTTAAGGTGAAGTACCTGACATCCCAAATATTCCAACCATCAAGATTAGATAAGATCACCAGATGTCCCTGAGCCTAGCACAGACTTATTTCCCCTTTTTACCAAGATACCCCTAGACAAATGTCAGCCAATCAGGGTCCTGAACCCTAGACAGTCTCTCACCCCAACCTCTGCTATGATAAAAACCCTACCCTACCCAGGCTCAGGGCTCTCTGCTCTAACTGCTGCATCGGACAGACAGAGAGACCAAGCTTGCGCTTGAATAAAGGCCCTTTACTTTTACATATGGGATTCGGTCTCCGTGGTGGTCTTTTGGGGGTCCCTGCAATCTAGGCATAACATTTGGGTAGAGCTTTCAGCTGACCAGTAAGTTTTCTGTGTCTGTGTTTGCTTTCATGTTTTCTGTGATTACCTTCATTTCCTGTCTTTTTATTTGGGATATCCTTTTGTAAGTGAGCCCAAGATTTGTCAATGCCTGTAGAATTTGTAAGTGCCTGCAGAAGGTCTAAGTGGATGTGTGGGTGGACCACAGACCCAGGAACCTGATGGAGACATCCCAGGACCCCTTTGGATTTGGATTTGATTTTGTCTCCAGGCACTAGGAAGTCTGTTTGTTCTGTTTGTAGTCTTGTGTGCTATAATTTTGTTTGTTCTCTTTATGACTTATGAGACTGACTGATGATATGGGACAGACTAAGGGTACTCCTACTCCCCATTACTTCCTTGCTCTGACCCAGGCACAGACAGAGGTGTGAATGGGGGAGCACACTGTTGTGGTGCTACATGTCAGGCAAGTGCTGGCCAGGTGCTGGGGTAGGCTATGAGCACCGTGGGGTCTGACATGACACTTTCGAGGCCAGACCCCTATGCAGGGAGCTGTGGCCTGGAGACTTGGTGGTGCAGTATAGAGCAGGTGGGAACCAGCAGGGCCTCACGGAGCTCAGAGTGCACCTGACCTGGGGTGCACTGTGGGACTTGGGGCTGGTGGAGAACTGCCCCTCTGGGCTCACAGCCACCAAGCCACCACTCTACAGGGTCCTCCCTCGGAGGGGCCCAGTGGGGGCAGGGAGTCACTTCCAGTCTGCCATTCTTGTGCACTTGAGAATCTGGGGTTAATAACAATCTTTTTTCCCCATGCTGTGTGCTGTCCCCTCCCATGCTGGTGGGTGGGGCTCCTACAACCTGCCCTGGAGACTTTGAGAATTACTGGCTATGGTTGCTAAGCTACAGTGGCTGTTATAATGCTGTATGTAGCTAGGGCTGCTTTGATCATTCAGATCCAATGGATTATAAATATTTGTCATCATTTAGAGGGGCTGGTTACAAATTTTACTGGTTAAAAAAAAAAAAGAATGGGGACAGAGAGAAACCCAGGGCTAGGGAAATTGCCAGGAATCCCCAAGGATGACCCCAGCTTGGACTACTAGAAATAGCGGAGAGGGTACCCGAACTGAACTGGCTTACCTCAGTGATCAGACCAGTGAATACCCTAACTGTCATCACAGAGCTTTTCTCTAGTAACTGATGGAAGCAGATGCAGAGATCCATGGCCAAACACCAGGCCACGCTCTAAGAGTCCAGTCAGAGAGAGAGAGAAGAGGGACTCTATGAACAAGTGCATCAGGACCATGATGGGGAAACCTGCAGGGACGACCAAACCAAACTAGTGGGAAATCATGAAAGTTGGGTCAATGGCTGTGGAGGCTACATGGGACTGGACCAGGCTGTCTGCATGGCGAGACAGTTGTGTAGCTTGATCTGCTTGGGGGGCCCCCTGGTGATAGGATCAGAATCCATCTCTGGTGTATGAGAAGGCTTTTTGGAGCCCACTACCTATGATGGGACACCTCATGCAGCCTTGAGGCAGGGGGAAGGGCTTGGACTTGCCTCTACTGGATGTGTCTCCCCATTGGAGGCCTTGCCTTCTTGTGGGTGGGAGTGGGGGGTGGGTTGGGAGGGAGAGGCTGAGCAGGTGGGAGGAGGGAAGAGGGGGATCTTTGATTGGTGTGTAAAATGAATGAAAACATTTTCTTAATAAAAAAAATGTTTTAAAAAACCTAAAGCTAGTTTCAGATGCTTCATATTAGTACAGTGTTGATGCAAATTTATTCTTATTATAGTATATGCATGTATTTCTGTTCTTGTTTAAAATATTGTAGCCATACAATATATTCTAGACTACTGAAGGGAACCATAAGAAAGACTTTGGTAAAAGTTTCTATGTTGTCTGGAAAGCAAGAGAGAAGGCAGGAGACTAGAATAATAAGAGAAGGAATGGGAAAGAGGAATTTGTCTAAAGTAAAAATGTCTGAGGAATCAGAGGAACAGACTGAAGGTATATAGATAGTTGTAGAAGGCCAGAGGGGATGTGAACTATGTTTGCTGTGGTTTCTCATACCTGCAAACACTGAATTTGAAATTTGACCACATTAGGTTAATTCTGGTTGGTATTCATTTTAAAAATAGCTGATAATTCTTCACTGCAAAATGTTTATGTTAAAAATGGAGATATATAAGTGTGTGTATGTGGACATACATGAGGCTTGGATTTAACTCTGTATGTGTGATGTAAGCTAGCTTTAACTCTGTATGTATGTGTATATAACTTGGATCCAATTGTGCATATGTGTGCATGTAATTATTATTTAGAAAAACATGTTTTAAACAGCAACTACATGGCTTTCCTCCATCTCAGCTGGTGACCTCATCATGATGTAGGCAGCCACGTGGCTGCCAACCATATTTTACTAAGGTTAAATAGTACATTTAGCTCTCTGTTCATTGCATTTCCGTTTAGACTTTTTAGACTAAGGCAGCAATAAGTTTCAAATATTTCAGATTGGTATGAATTTTCATATGATGGTAAAAATTTAAAGTTATAAAGATCTATTCAGATTAACAAAAGCTAATTTAGAGATTTACACCTAAGTACTTAGGTCTTTGCCAAGTTCAACACCAAGCTTTTAGGGAATTTAAATAGATGGTAACATGTGTTTGGTAAATAAGGTATTTGATAAATAAGATATTAAAGCTGCACCTCAATGCTTTTATACACAAGAATATACCTTGCTCTGGAAGTTAAACTTTGCAACTTAAGAGTCGCCCAGGTGATAAGGTGATAATGGTGTTAAAGACATGAAGTTATCATAGGAAACAGTTGAGGATTGCAAATGTACAGTAGAGCTAGAGTTCGAACAAGAGTGCAGTTGCAATTGTGGACCTTAACAGTTTTGGAAATGCCACTGCCAGGTGATAGTCACCAGAAGCACCAAATACTAACCAGAAACTGGGATGTTCACTTCTAGTAATGCAGCAGGCAATGACCTAAGCAGTCTGGCAAAGGGCTTGGAACAGCTTCTGACTCCATGAGTGTCAACCCTTTGGGGGTTGAAAAATCTTTTTACAGGGGTAGCCTAGGACCACTAGCATGTCAGATGTTTGCATTGAGATTCATAACAATGGTAAAACAGCAGTTATGAAATAGCAATGGGAAAAATTTTGTAGTGGGGGGTTCACCACAACATGGGGAACTATATTGAAAGGTCAAAGCACTGAAGAAGTTGAGAACCAGTGGCCTGGAGAATATTTCTCCTTACTCAAGGTCTATTCAGGGTTAAGACTATATATTCAGTCTCCTTGTCTTTGCTAAATTTGTTAAGCTTAAGCTATTTGGACAAACTGAGTCATATAAAGTTTTTGTATTAATACTAAATGGAGCTTTAATTGAGGCATTGTTTTTTTAAGGCTCATACTTAACAGAGATAAAACTACAAAGTTCTTTTCCCAAGGTCAGGCAATTACACAAAGTTCCCATTCGAGGGAATGGGAACTTCAAAGGCTTGGAGAAAGTTCCTGCTTGCTAAAAAGGGAGTCACCCTCCTTATCTCTGGAAAAAGAAACTTGTGGCCCTTCTATTAACATAGGGCTGTAGTGCCTTAGAACTTGTTATGGGCAATGCTAGCATCTAGGCTCTCTCAGTCCCTGCTCATGAGCCACACCCCAACTCACCCCTATCTCTTGTCCCCATCTCACCCTGGGATCTTTCCGTTGTCACTTCCTTGCCTTCCCAGGAGACAGCTTTAACAGCTTTGTACAAACTTGTTTTGTTTTACTCATGGAATGGCCATTTCGTTGTGGTTTCTATACTGAACCCATATTTGATACTAGAAGATCTTCAATTCAAAAATCATTGTTTTTAAGGCTACTTTTTGTAGACTGTTAGAGATCACATGTAAACAGTTAGTCATTTTAAAAATAATCAAGTTCTTTAGCTGTAGTCATGCTAAGGACTGACGTAATTGATTACAGGGATTACAGCTTTACTCAGTCCCTTGCATATGTTTTCAGGGTTGATCTTAAAACACGTAACTAGAAACAAAGTTTGTCTATTCAGATATACCTGGACAGCCCTCAAGTACTCCAGAGATCTGCAGAATATGGCATTTAAAATGTTGATTAAAAAGCTTATTGTAGCCAGGCGGTGGTGGCGCATGCCTTTAATCTCATCACTCGGGAGGCAGAGCCAGGTGGATCTCTGTGAGTTCAAGGCCAGCCTGGTCTACAGAGTGAGGTCCAGGACAGGCACCAAAACTACACTGAGAAACCCTGTCTTGAAAAACAACAACAACAACAACAAAAAAGCTTATTGTATCAGACAAAAACTCCCAGATTCTAGCAGTGACCCAAGGTCTCCAAACTAGATTACAGGTCACTACGATGTCTCTGCCTGGATTATGGCAATGCTGATCACTGGGCAAGTTGCCTCGATGCAACACCTGTTTCCAGAACCCAGCCCAGACTGTGGACAAGCAGCATGACACTGGAGAATTGATTGCACCTCTTTTGCCTAGACAAAGTAAGGCCAGTCTTCAACCCTTGTGTTGCCACAAGGTATTCTGGCTACCTTAGAGAATGCCATGTTTGCTCTGTCTGGAGTTTTTAGCTTGTTTTCTTGGGTTTTTAGTTTATTTCATCTTGATTTTTTTAACGAAAGTTATTTGCTGTGGGATAATGTTTTTGTACACCGTGTCTTTGCCAAGGTGCCTTCTGATTGCTTTAACAGAGAGCTGAATGGCTAGTAGCTGGGCAGGAAGAGGTTAGGCAGGACTTACAGGGAGATAGAGAAATTCAGAATGGTGAATCTACACCAGCAGAGACACAGAGGGAGTTGGACATACAGAATGAAGGAGAAGTAAAAACCCACATGGCAGAATGTATATTAATAGAAATAAGTTAATTTAAGTTATAAGAGATAGTGGGATGAGCCTAAGCTAAGGTCAAGCTTTCATAATAAAGAATACATCTCTGTGCCATTATTTGGGGGCTGGAAGTCCCAATGAGAAAGTGCTACTACAGTTCTCAGAGATGAGGAAGTACCAGGAGTCATACAGCAGAAAATACAAATTCTAACCTCCCCTAGGCACACACATAGACAGAAGACATTGTAAACAAAGAAAGGTTCTTAGTGGACTTGCTGCACCCATTTTCTCTTCAGAGCAGAGAAAGGAACAAGAACACTGAGGAAAGACCAGGAAGAGAGAGGGAAGAGGAAGAGGTGATGAGTGCTTCCAGGAGGCCACAGAGAATATTCTGAATCCTGGAGATATACTCTATTTTCCTCAGCATAAGGAAAGGATGGAAAGGAAAGGAATGCTCACATTATAAACGGCATTCAAAAGGACTACAGTGGTGCTTTATGCCTCCAAATGAACAATGCGTCTACCTGAGACAGTGACAGAAATTAAGGACTCCACAGAGTAGATGTGGGCACAGTAGTTGGTGAAGAATTGTGTTTGTAACCTTGCAGACTTTAGACTGATAATTATACAGATTACATTTGAACCTTTCTTAAAGGATATATGAATAGTTTAGTAGGTTAAACAAGGAGGGGGTAAGCTAAATAAAGTTAAAAGATTGAAATAAGATTGAGTTTAAACTTTTGAAACCAGAGAGAAGGTAGGAGGTTTGCCAAGATATTTACCGGCTCAAAGTTGGGCAGTACAACATCTTCATCCCCGATGACAAATGCCACCATGCTGCAGACATGTATGGCATGTCCCACTGGAGAATATGCATTGAAGAGTAGCATATGCCTCCTAGAGAGAATGAACACCATGTAAAGATCATGCTTCTTCTGTTGAATGTATTTTACCTCTGCTAGCTGCTTGATCAGAGTTTGGAGTCAAAAGTTAGTGAAGAGTTTATATATATATATGCACAGATGGAATAACTACCTTTGGATTTCCACTCTCACCCTCAGATATCATGAAATCTGTGTTTTACTCATTGCTGAAGACAGAAATAATTAGACAAAATGACAGACTTTCACACACTGAAGATGCCTCCCACATACTGTGCTGCTAAAGAGGATTGTAGGTATTTTTCTCATGTGAGTATAGAGCTTTGCAGATTCACAAACACATAATTTCATACATGTGAATTCTCTTTTTCCTATCTAGTGTCTGTATCACTGAAAACAGAGACAATCACTTTCCTTGGTTACGGCTATTTAGACTTTTAAGAGAACGCTTGGAACACACTGATGGCTTGGGGTCTGTGTGGGGAGATGCAACTGTATGACGCTCCTTTTTAAATCCCTTAACCTTGGTGTGTCAAGTTCTATCAGTGGTTCTGAACCTGTGGGTCATGACCTCCTTGAGGATGGAACTACACTTTCACAGGAGTTACCTAACACCATTGGAAAACATCGATATTTACATTATGGCTTACTTATAACAGTAAAAATGACAGTTCTGAAGTAGCAACAAAATAATTTTATGGTTGAGGGGTCACCACAACAGGAGGAACTGTATTAAAGGGTCACAGCATTAGGAAGGTTGAGAACCACTGAGTTAGACAGTCTCATGGAATTAATTTGATTTCTGGAGAACCTCTCTATACAGAGTCTAGATTGAGAAATGATGATTTTTTTAAAAATTTTATTATTTTCTAGAAATTCTAGGTGCACAGCACACATTGTTTTAGCATTTGATTGTGTTGCTTGGGATCTGCTTTCTGCACACAGCCCATAACTTTTCACTGATCGCACATGATCACATAGATTGAACTTCAGGGGAAAAAATCTAGTAAGAATATTTTCCATTTGAAATATAAGACAGTCTTCCTAATTTTACATATTAAAATCAAGAAAACATGTCCATTGTGTGTCATTTCCTACAAACACTGAGTGTGATGTGTTTGCCTAATTTTACCATAATTAAAGATAACACCTAACAAAGACACACCACAGGTGAAATTTCCAGTTGGTGGGAAGAAATTCTCTTTACAATCCAAGTGGATCAAATTTAAATGAAATCAAACAGAATTCTTTTTTTTTTTTGCAGAACATATCAAAAGTTTATTGAAGAACAATATAAAAGAGAAATATATCTTACCCTCTACTTAATTTTCAGCTTCTCTTGGTCAATAATTAACACCAATGAAATAATATTTTCATTAATTCTCTGAGACAAATCGTAACAGAACATGAAATAACTCACACTTATATACACAAACCTATAATTAAGTATATTTACAAACATTCACATACACACACAGTGAGAGAGAAGACTTTAATTAACATAAGAAATAAAGTTTTGTAAAATTATTTCTTGTATTTCACAACAATTGAATCAAATTGTCCTGATTTTAAGATATCTTAACTAATTTTTGTTAGCACATCTTTCCTAGATAACTCAAAGTTAGCTTTTCCTAGGTGGAGAAATTTTTGTCTAGCTTCTCAGCATCTGTGGTAGTTAAAATATAATTGGCTCCCATAATCTCACAAGGAGTGGCACTATTAGGAGGTGTGGGTTGTTGGAGTGGGTATGGCATTGTTGAAGGAAGTAGGTCTCTGTGGGGGCAGAATTTTAGGTTTCTTATGTTCAGGATACCTTCAAGTGTCTCAGTCCACTTCCTGTTGCCTTATGATCAAAATGTAGCCAGTACCATGTATGCCTACATCAAACAGAATTCTTGCTAAAGACTAGTAAGACTTATGAGCCCATGAGAGAGATTGTTGATGGATTCATTTTAGAAACCTCTGGGTTAAGCAGGTTTAAGCCATGTTCTTTACATATTCAGCCTCAGATCTCTCAACAATGAGCCTTCCAAAAGAGCATCCAGTGTGGCCCTGAGAATGTCATTCATTGGTAGACTACTCTGTCAAGAATCCCAATGACGGACGGTGCCTTATCCAATCACTTTGGAGAATAATAATGTAGAACTTCCATTGCTTATTTCATTAGTCAACAGTCTAAAACAGACTCAAACACAAGAAAATGAAGCCAGACCCTACCCGACAGGCAGGCGCACCATGGCGGCCTTCGTGGCATAGGTGTGGATCCTCAACACTGAACTGAGAGGCTTCAGAGACTTCCAGGTGATTGCTTCAGCTGTCAGGAGGCCGGGTTCCACGGGAGGACTGTCTTTTGTCAAGGCTTTGGGAGAAGGGAGATGTGTTGAAACGTGATTGTGGAAGGACAGCCAGCCTCCACTTGCGCTGCTCTCTGTTCGGCAGCAACAGACATAATCATGAAGGTGAATCGAGTATTTATGATATTCTAAAAGCATTCCTGAAATGCCGGAAGCTAAGTATGGAAGTATGGGAAATAGCGCCTAGCTTAGCTATTAAGCTGTTCCCTGCCCAGATTGCTCTTCGTAATCATCTCCTCAGGCAGAGAAACTAGGATGAGAAAACTGAGAAAAGGAAGCCATGCAGATATATTTCATCATAGTCGGCTACTATTAATTTATCATCTCTATGTGCACAATTAGAATATCTTCCCAGATGCAACTTTAATGGGGAAAAAATGTATACTATCCAGAATGATAAGAGATTTCCAAGATGGTATTAAAATCAAAATATTCCCTTGTCTAGCTAAACGTTTGTCTTTCAAATTCTGCAAGGAACAAAAATTTAATCAAGTAAGTTTTCCTTTAAATGTACATCAATAATTATTTTTCATCAGTGAGTGAGAACACAATGAATTTTGCCTTTCTTCCAAAAAACTCTCAGGATAAAGGTGCATGGTCACAGTGTCCTCATGCATGTAGAATTTCAATGTCTTAAAACATGAGGGCTTCAGAGCTGTTAGCAAAGGAGATGTATTAACCCGAGATCGCTACATTTCAGAAAGTGTATTAAATGAATATTTATTTGTCACCTGTCATGTAATATTTACCATTCAAGACAGCTGGGATTCAAACTGAAGCACAAAACCCTCGCCTTTAATATCGTCAGAATACTCAATTCCTGAGTATTTGGGAGATGTTTGTTGATCAGCTATAATTTGTGACATGGTTAACTTGACTCAAAGATAAGCTTTAACAAAATAGGCCAAAGAGTCAAAGAATGATTATGTGTATGTGTCAGATGGTCTGTACAAGCAGGGAAATCCACCCACTAAAGAAAGAAACAAGGCCTGTTAGGATCTCAGGAAGTTTTTCTCACTGAAATCAGCAGCACAGCTTTCAACTGAAAATGAAGGAGAATAAGAGTAGATGTGAAAGACTTGAAGAAGGGAGACTTCAAGTTTGAAGCAGTCTTGAGTGAGAAGAGTGGCAGAACAAAGCCCTCTCGGGACTGCCGGCGGCCGGGGGGGGGGGTCCTTGCTGAGATCTGTGTTCTTCAGTGTTGAGTGGGCTGGCCAGGAGGGGTGCTCCTTTGCCCAGTCATATTCAGATGCTCTTTTGCAGCCAAAGACTCAGCAGAGAGTTGAGTTTAATACTGGAATGCTTATCAGGAAAGGTAGATGGAAAGAGGTAAGTATAAAGGCAAGTGTGTTTACTAGCCAGCATGTTCAACCTGTGGTCCCTGGGGCACATGCAGCTAAAGATATGTCTGCAGCCTAACACAAAATCATTCCCTTACCTAAAACACTATGAGCTTTTGTTTCTGTGAAGTGGATTGCATAGTTCCCTAGAATGGCCTTTGTAGATGTCACTATGTCAAAAGGCTGGGCATGTCTTATAGGGTACACAAAAATATGTAATTGCAGTTGTTGTCCAGAGAACTTATACTGGAATAGGAGGAAAGAAGTCACAAAAAGAGTGATGGACCCATAACGAATGGTATAGCATAGATGGTTGGAGGGCTTGTTAGAGTCAAGAATTATAAGGCTGAGAGTCTGGAGAAAGAAAACACTGGAGAGAGATATAATGAGAATTTGTTTAATTAATTTAGTCTGAGACCAGCATTAACACAATCCATGTGCAGCACTTCTAAGGACTTAGTCATTTCCCATAAGCCTCTAACACATAAAGATCTCTCTAACTGAACATCGTCACACTGGGGGACACGCCTCCAGTGCATGACCTGATGGGAAAGGGGGCCACAAGCCACAGAAGAAGCCAACATGGGCTAAAGAAAAGACCATTTCTGATCATTGTCAGATCAAACAACAAAGGAAATAAGAATGATGACAAGGAGAGGTGAGAAGAAAAGCTAGACTGAGCATGCCAAGGACGTGACCAGGAGACTGCGACCAAGAGAGAATCAGGTGGCTTGAGTCAGTACGGTCTGCAGTGCTGGAGGAGCACGGCCCAGTAGAGGTGGTGGCAGGGGCAGTCCTTTGTACCGCTCGACAAGCTGCACAGACCGTTTCATCACCTGTTGACTAGAAGTCTTATTGTTACATGGTCCCTAGCCCACCTGTGCTCTGGGCATCCAGACGATCGCACTCTTAGAACCCTCTTACCTCCAGATTCCCCCCAGCGCACCAAAGCAGAAAAGCAAACCAGTAGTTCAATGGGCTTCAGGCTGTCCACAAACAGATAGTAGGGCACCCGTTCCTCTGAGAACTGCAAGAAATCAGACCAGTCATCAAGCTTACCAGTCCACCCTGTTAGTGACAGTGTAGTTCACAGAGTGAGAAACTTACTGCATGTTATGGACCACAACCAATACATTACAGGTCTAAGATGAAGTAAATCCAAACAATAATCTGTGGCCACTGGGTCTGGGACTTCAGAGAGTCTGGCTGCCAAATGAGAAAATTCTTCTCCATAAACAAAACTAGGGGAAGTGCCAATTCCAGAAATGAAGTTGGTGAGAAAGAGAGCAGGCTGAGGGCAGAAAGTCGGCTACAGACAGGCAAGAAGGCACAGATTGAGCATGGTACCAAATGAAATTGCCTAATAGGGATTCATTTGGGCATTTTGCAGAGAATTACATGGGAAAAGGTAGTCCCCCCAAAACCCTCTTTTTTCATTCTTCTCACAAGATCTTCAGAAATATAACCATGGGTTGCTGATGTCCAGGGTGAGGTTTTGTTTTAGGGATAGAGTAAAGTGATTGGTCAGATCAGAGTTCTTTGGAAAGAGTCATATACAGCTACATAGTTAGGACTTCAGTGCATTCTATAGGGAAATATGAGTAGTCCCAATTCCCAAGAAAATGCAAGGCAGGATAAGTGGGTTGCCAAAGGCACCAAGTTTGTAGGTAGCAAAGCCAGGGTTGAAAACCAAGCTTGACTTTCTCTCTGTACTCATGACCACTGCCTTGTTATTACCTCTCAACTCCACAGTTCTTTAATGTGACTTTGAATGATGGCAAACATAAGCATACTCAACAAATCTAGTTGTCACTAAGCTGTAGAAGTAGGTCACAGAAGTGCTACTTTACCACAACATTTAAACAACCAGTTAGTATAGGAAGGATGAATCTCTAGTCACACTGTAAAAAAGGAAAACTTGTTATTCAATAAACTATGAAACGATTGCTAGAAATGTTGGCATAAGATCTAAATCACTGGATCCTCCAATATTTTCTATTAGTTACCATTCAACAATTTATTTTATATTTCATTTAAACTGCAACATACAGATGTTATTGACAGTTGTTTCAAATACTCACTATTTGAGTGTGAAGGACCTTGGATCTTCCAGCCTAACATGTGTCTATTAGTAGTCTCTGCAAGGGGCTCATTTTTAAAGGTTTAGCAGTTGGGGCATTGGTGGTCCCCAAAGCCATTCATGAATGACTTTCAAAGGTCTCTTACCCATCCTCACACTGAGCATTGAGAGAATATCTGTGAGGTGTGCTGTGGCCACTGGCTCTGTGCTAAGCTGGCAGGATCAGTGACTAAAGCTGGAAAGCCTGGCCTCAGACCATAGCCAACCTGTCCTCTCAGGCTGCATGGGAAACTTTGAGCTCCAGTGTTTAAAAAAACTATCATTTTCTCATAACCATGTATATTATAAACATTCATGGGAGTGAAAGTTACATAAGCAAGTCACTTTATTTTGCTAAGTTGACATTTTCAAAGGAAAAAAATTATTATTTACCATCACTTTACAAAAACAACATTAGAACAAAGAACAGTTGACCATGTTACTACATATGCACACATATTAAAAGGGTTGATGGGTTTCATAAAGTGTGAACTCTATTTCATAAGTGACAGCTAACATACCATTGTTTACTGATAGGTACTCTTCTAAGTGTTTTATATACATTATCTCAGTTATATCCCAACCATATGGATGACTCTGGGATACAAACTAGTTAAGCGTCCTTTATGGTCTAGACAAAGGGTGATTAAAAAACTGAAGATTGATGTATCAAAAATAGTTGCGTAAAAGATTTAGAAACACTTAAGACATTTAAAAGTATGTTTAAGTAAGGTCACTCTACATAAACCTTCACATAAAAAGGAGAGCTTAATGCACTTACCTTGAATTCTGATTTTTGAAAATTATGACAATAAGAACTTGGTTTGTGGAAAACATATATGTGGCTAGAAAAGAGAACATTTATAACAGGTTATTGCATTAGATACCAAATTTGTACTATCTGTTTAGCTTCCTAGACTTAAATAATTATAGGCAGAAAAACTTCTAAAAAAAAAAACTGCTGCATTTGTTGTTCTAAAGAGACAAAATAATCTCAGTGGGGAAAACCCATCTTAACTAACAAGTATTTGAGAAGGAACTGAGCCTGACTAGAATGGAGTTTGGTTGCTAATATGCTATGTGGACGGATATTCAATGCATTCATTATTCTCTTCAGGCAGCAGATAGGAGCAGGTACAAAAACCCACAGTTTGACATTATGTGAAGGGAGAGTCTAAATTGGAAATCTCTATTGGGTTCCTTTCCTCAGAGATTAGGAACCCCAAAGAAGAGGGGGAGGAAAGATTGTAGGAGTCAGAGGGGATGGAGGAGACCAGGAGAACATGGTCTACCAAATCAACTAAGCAGGGCTCACATGAGTTCACAGAGACTGAAGGGGCAAGCACGGCACCTGCATGGGTCTGTACCAGGTCCTCTGCATGTGTGTTATGGCTGTTAGCTTGATGTTTTTGTGGGACTCCTAACAGTGGGAGCCAATGTATCTCTGACTCTTTGCCTGTTCTTGGGACTCTTTTCCTCCCATTGGATTGCCTTGTCCAGTCTTGATATGAGGGTTTTTGCCTTCTCTTAATGTATCTTGTTTTGTTCTTTTCAGCTGTTGTCTCTTGGAGGCCTGCTCTTTCCTAAGAAGGAAATGGAGAGAGAGAGAGAGAGAGAGAGAGAGAGAGAGAGAGAGAGAGAGGATCTGGGGGAGAGGGAGGTGTAGTGAGCTGGGAGGAGTAGGGGGAGGGGAAACTGTGGTTGGGATGTATTGTATGAAAGAAGAATCTATTTTCAACAAAAAAGAAAAAAATTGTATTTGATATTATGCTAGCTCCCAGCTGATACTTACTTTCCTTCTTTGAATGATAGTTAAGAATCAATAGATCATATGACCAACAAAAAATATAAAGAAACAGACCCTGCTGTGAACTTGTATGGTATTATGGCTCGGGATTTATTTAGGAAACTTTAGCTAGCTGCACGGCATTTGAATACTTACTGAAAGCACACACAAAAGTCTTCAAAATCTAACCACATTTCTCTGGAAGCACCTTCACTTATTGTTCCCAAGTCCTCCTGTGACTTGTCCTGTGTCGCCGTGGTCAGGCTAATCAAATCTCTTTCTAACCCCTCAGGTGGGTGGGTGTCGCCCAGTATCAGCTCTGTCTGCTCATCTGGGAAGGGGAGAGGACAACTAGGTCAAGCATATCTCACACTGTTAAGTGGCAGGCTGTTAAAGGGTGGAGAAATGAATGGCAGGGGTGTTTCAATTTCAAATCCTAGTTAGGGGAAATCAGTGAGATTATCACTTATATGTAGGTTTAAGGTTTATGAAGGTATAGTTCACACACTTAGAATTTATAATCCAGGAAACTTAAAATCTCTCTGGTAAGTTTGGGAACATGTTTTTTACGACAGAGATTAATTAGCTCATGTTCTTAAAATCTGCTTCGGAGAGATTCTTTTAAGAAGGGAACGTCCTCGGGCAGGAGAGATGGCTTAGTGGATAAGAGCAATGGTGTCTCCTCCAGAGGTCTTGAGTTGAATTTCCAGCTACCACAGTTTGGCTCACAACCATCTATAATGAGATCTGATGTCCTCTTCTGTCATGCAGGCATACATGCAAATAGAGTACTCATATACATAAAATACATAAATAAATCTTAGGGAAAAAAGCTTAGCCAGGCAGTGGTGGTGCACACCTTCGATCGCAGGCAGAGGCAGGCAGATCTCTGTGAGTTTGAGGCCAGCCTGGTTCTAGGACAGCCACAACTTCACAGAAAAACTGCATCTTGGAAAAAAAAAAAGAAGGAGGAGCGGGGAGGAAGAGGGACAGTTTAGAGTATAGAAGACAAAGTGAAAATATGACAGGTTGGTTACCCCTGATGTGTTCAGCCAGCCCTTTAGTTACTCAACTCAGTGACTGTATAACCACAGCTTATATTTGTCAAACACTGTCACAAAACTCATGTAGAGTCTTGAACCAACATCTTATATACATGTATGTGACATTTCTTTTGGATTTTAGTCTTGGCTAGGTCTTTAGTTAGCAACAGGAACTGGCAATGCTTTCGGTATTTGGACCACAACACTCATGCGTTAAAAGGCATGAACTTGTGGGCATCCACCTGTAAACTCAGTGACCTAGAGGATTAAGAGCCTGAGGCCAATTTGGACCTCAGTGAGTTGAAGGCCAGTCTGGGCAATTTAGCAAGATTCTGTCTCACGTGAAATAAAACAACAAAATAAAATGATCACATGCACTTTACTCACAGACCCTTAATTTCATCCTCCTCCATTTCTATTTTAGTTTGAAATTATCACATGTTTCTAGTCTGGAGTAGATTAAAATTAGTAAATCATATGGGAGGCTGATGTGGGAGAAGGGAAAACTAAGTCTGTTTAGAAGCAAGATTCTTGTGTGTTTTGTTATCTGTAGGGAAGCAAAGACATGAGGGGATGACTAATTTACCTCTTCCAGGAATAGTTTGCAATGTAACATTAACCTGTAAAGTGAAAATGAACAATTAGAAGTATATACACAATTACCAAAATTAGGAAAGCATGCAGCTTGTTTCACGGTATATAGTAAATGTGAACCAGGAGGGTCACATGGGGGACTTTCACAGTGGAAGGATAGTCCATTTTCAAATTGTCACAGATACACAAGGTGTGGGGGTTAATGGAATTCTTTATGTTGCTGAGATGTGGAGTGTGCACACTTTGCAGATACAAGAGAGTTCACTATTTAAGATAAATCTTGCCCGATTCAGGGTTGAGTCAGTACCTGAGACTGGTTTCCGGTTATTGTGCTCATCTCGCCTTGGCTGGTGTTTACACTTAGCTCATTTTCCACGAGGGGAGGAAGGCCAGATCCCAGAGGTGTCCCTTTCTTAACGACAGATTGTACGAAATGCCTAGTGGAGAAAAACCCACAAAACTTCTGTTCCTGCCACATCTGACTTACAGTGACTCATGAATATGCTTAGTTTTGTCAACAAGAGAAAGCTCTGGTTCTGTTAAGTTTGTTCTTCTCCTTTTACAAGGAAGTTTTTGAAAAGCACGTCACAGGACACCTCTGATAACATTTAAACTACTTTCTAGACCACCACTCTATCAGTCGATGTATTGCTGTAAACATTTTCCAGGGACACTGTTTCAAAGATGTGAATTGTTGATTAAAATACAGGATTTGATTACAGCGTTAGTGGAACTAGCAGAGTGTGTGTGGATAAAACATCTTGGTGTGGGACATTTAATCCTGAACTGTGAGCATTTAGCTTCTAAGTGTGACTTTCATAGTCTCTACCCAAGTCACTTCCTCAAGAAGTCATTGACATGGTCCAAAACAGCATCATTGTAGCACGAATCTCATTGGCACATGATATGTCTATCATAGTATCTGTATTTTATACAACTGTTTCAAAGATAAAATCAAATTTTCCACATATAGCAGGGCATGGTGGTGCACGCCTTTAATCCCAGCATGCAGGAAGCAGAGATAGGTGGATCTCTGTGAATTCTTGGCCAGCCTGGCTTACATAGAAAGTTCTAGGTCAGCCAGGGCCACATACTGAGACCCTGTCTCAAAAGCAAAAGAAAAATCATTTTTACTCATGTAGACTTCATGAACTAGGATCCCCCACCCCATGTTCAGTTAGATTGAATTCTCTTACTTACATACAACTTCCACTAGAGGGTAGCAGAAACATATTTATGAGACTCCAGTTGTCTCAAAATCATGAGCCAAGAATGAGCAAGCTTGCTGCTACAGCAGGGGAATGTATGAAAGGCAATCATGACAGTAGTCATTCTCCCTGTTGATTGCTCTTATGCTAACACAAGAAATCTGATTGTACAGCAGAACAGGTCTACGACATGTCTTCCACAGAGAGTCAATGGCATTCACAGGCCTTTGCCTTTGGCTTTGTCACAGAGCTTGGATATGGGAATGAATTCATAACAGGTTACAGAGGATAATAGATTAGTGGAAACCAATCAAATGATGGTTGCCTGTTTCTGGGTATTAGAATTTTATCTACCTTAATCAAATATTAAAGCTAAAAGCAGTTACAGAAAAATCAGGTATGGGAGTAACTTGGAGAACTCGGGCTATGAAATCAATCTATTTGTGTCCTTATAAACATAGAGATTCTTAAAGGCTTGGTATAATAATATAAGCCATATAGAAAAAAACACATAGGAAAATGTTGGGGAATATTATTATAAGGTGTGTTACTTTTGTTTATGTTGTATTTGTTTAACTCTGTAAGCTGTGTTACTGAATGGCCAATAGTGAGGCAGGACAGAGAAATGGGGTGGGGACTGGCAGGCAGAGAGGATAAATAGAAGAAGAAATCTGGAGAGAAAAAGAAGTAGCCAGACAAGGAGGAGGACTCCATGGGCCAGCCACCCAGCTACACAGCAAGCCATGGAGTAAGAAACAAAGAAAGGTATACAGGAATAGAAAAGGAAAAGCCCAGAGGCAAAAGATAGATGGCATAATTTAAAGTTAAGAAAAGCTGGCTAGAAATAAGCCAAGCTAAGGCCGGACATTTATATTTAAGAATAAGCCTCCATATGTGATTTATTTAAGAGCTGAGTGGCAGGCCCCCAAAAGAGTTAGAACAACAGAAAAATGTGTTCTGGCGTCAAGCAGCTACAGGTTTTTATATAAACCTTTAATTAGTATGTAAATGCAGTCATATAAAAGATCAAAGATTGCAAAGTATATTTGAATGGCAAATTAAAATCTTAGATGTAATGAACAATCTCCAGTGTCAACTCCACTGGACTAAGGTATGCCTAGATAACTGGTAAAGTATCACTTCTGAGGGTATCTGTGAGGGGACTTCTGGAGGAGATTAACATGGGCATTAGTGGGCTGAGTGGGAAAGTTCTGCCTTCAGCGTAGGTAGGCACTGTCCAGTCAGCAGCAGGCATGAACAGCACACAACAGGTGAGGAAACATGACTACTTTCTACTGCCTGGACTAATGGTTCTCAACCTGTGGGTTGCAACCCCCTATCAAATATCCTGCATATCATATATTTACATTACGATTCATAACAGTAGCAAAATTACAGTTTTGAAGCAATGAAATAATGTTACGGTTGGGAGTCACAGCACGAGGGACTGTTTAAGGGTTGCAGCATTAGGAAGGTTAAGAACTACTGTTGTGGATTATTCTTTCCCTGCTCATGGACATTACAACCCCAGGGGTCTGCCCTTTGAACTCCAGGACTTGTACAGTGGCACCACTGTTCCTTCAGCCAAATGAAAGTCACATTGCTGCTTCCTGTACTTCTAAGGCTTCAGACTTGGCTAGCTACACTGATGACCTCCTAGTTCTCTATGTCATCCAAGAAGTTACCTGGCTTTTATACCATCAATCCAGCTATCATCTAGACATACACATATTAACTCTGTTTCTCTGGAGAACTTTCAGTATAAAAGTAATTGAAAACACAATAAAGCATTAATAAAAAAGAAAACAACAACAACAAAAAATAAACAACTCCTCCCCCAAACATGACAGAAACACAAGGAAGGGTAAATGATGTTGAGAATGTGCCTGGTGTGTTAAAATTAAATGGAGTAAGACAATGTAAGCTAACTAAGAAAATTAAGAAAACTTAACCAGAGTAAGACAGTGTAAGTTAACTTTAACTGGCTTTGGTATGAAGTGTGCCTAACCGTAGAACATACAGAGTTGAGTATTTAAATTATGACTGCTTTTTTTTTCTTGTCAGTTTCTATTTCTATCATGGAGATAGCCCATGATGTATCCTAAGAAAGATTGAACTATATCTGACAGCATATTCATCCACCACAGCCTGTGATGATTAATGGTGTCAATTTGACAGGATCTGCAATCACTAAGGAGAAAAACTTCTGGGGATGTCTGTGAGGAAGTTTCTAGATTGGGTTAAACTGAGGTACCATAGCTGTAGACAGCATCAGTTAATGTGCTGGGGTCCTAGACTGAACGTAAGGGAGAAAGAAGCTGAGCACCAGCATCCGTCTGTCTCTGCTCTCTGACTATAGGTGCAATCCCCTTGAGCTCTCTCAAATTCATGCTAAATATATATGCATATATGCATAAATATGTTCATATATATTCCTAAATATAGAAATACAACCTGCTTAGTCCATATAATGTTAATTGTCTGTATATGATTTCAAGGCTGACCACTTGATTTTAGATAACCAATTGGAGTGGGGGGACTCTTCCCTGAGGAAGGCAATTTCTCTTATTCAATATTTCTAATAAAATGTTTCCAAAATTTAAAACATTTTTAAAAGTGCCCAAATAAGTCAAATATGCAGTTATATGTGACTACTGCTATCAAATTAGAAGACAATAAAAAGCTTATGAATGACTTAGATGCCACAAGTTAATTTTCACTCAATATGTACTGAGTAGAAGTACTTGTCAAATCCTCAGTATTGTGAAGTAAATATCAAAATTTTACAATATTGATACAAAACTTATATTCAACTGGAAAATGCAGAGGGGATGGAAAATAAATCACAATATTCTTCCATATATCTAGAAAGCTAACAGTAAGATAAACATGTAGAAATAGATATTTGGAAGTTTTTCATACAGAGAGGAAATAAAAGCCAGAAACGTATTTTAATAGTTCCATGGGTTATCCTCTTGGGGAAGAGCTGGGCATATGGCTTCACAAAGGGGCAGGGAATGCTATACTCTGAATGTGAGTTCAAGTCAAGTTCCTGTGTTCATCCTGTGGCGATGGTATTAGGAGCTGACCATGGGAGGCCATTGGGATGAAAGCAAAGACTATAGAAGAGACTTGTGCCTCCTGGGAGGTTGGGTGTCACTTCCAGCACACTAGGAGGCAGACTAATTAAGGAAAAAGGTCCTTTCCACACATTAGAAGAACTGGCATCTTGATCTTGAACTCCCAGGCTTCCAGGACCTAGATGTATGCTCACAGGTTTATGATATTTTGTTTCCACAGTCCACATTCAAACAGAAAATGAATGGTCAGAATCCAGTTGTTGCCACAACTACCTAAAACTGTGGATATCGTTTTAGAACTGGGTAGAGGTTAGAAGAGTTTTAAGGAACTTTATAAAAATGCCTACATCGCTGTCTTGTTAAAGATGATTTGGGTGCTAGACCATAAAGAACAGGAAAGTGTAGAGAAAGCCCTAATTTCAGGGAATATGGAAATAATTTTCAAGATTATGTTGGTGCAAATATGGGGGGTAAAGAGAGTGCTTAACAGAATATTAAAGTCTCAGATAAAAAGGAGATGCTACTGGACGATAATGGAAAGGCTGTCACTGCTACAAAGTGGATGGATTATTTTTGTGTTCTAGTATTTTGAGAGTAGTGAATGAGAAAGGGTTTCTAGGCAGGGTATCAGGAGTCAGGGGAAATAGACAAACCCACCATTAAACTCCCTCTTTTTTTGCTGCTAATGAGATCAACTGTGAATTCCTCTTGTTCAGTCCAAAAGAGGTAACTAGCTCACAGAATACTCTCCCAGACATTAAAAACCACGTTTAGCCACCTAACTCTAGGGCATGTGCATTCCTGCAACCTTGCTCTCTAAACGACCAGTCTATGAGAAAATTGATCCCACTGTGCACAAATCTTGACTCCAGCCACCAGCTGCATATGATTTGGGCTGATGAAACCCCAAGATCTAATTTATATCAGATGAAGAGATACTTTAGTAGCTTCTGTCTAAAATAATCTCTCCATTAACATTCACTAACTCACAAAAATGCCACTTCAGCCTTCCCCAGCACTGTTATCACTCATGATGAGGTCAGCCGTGCTGCTTTCTAGTGTGAACACTTAATTTTATTCTTTGGGAATTTCATACATTCGTGGAATACATTTTGATCATATTTGCCTCCCCTCCCCTCCCCTCCTCCAACTACACCTAGAAAGCTCTCCCTCATAACCTAATGTCCTCTTCTTTTATTGAGAACCCACTGAGTTCAAAAATCACTGCCCATATGTATGGCTGTGTGGCCATCTACTCCGGCAACCACCCAGAGTCCACACCAGCAAAGAAAAATGACTCTTCCTCTCTCAGCCATCAACTGCCAATGCTTCTCAGCTAGGAATGGGGCCTGGTGAGTCTCCCTTACCCATGATGCAATTTTGACTGTTTTTATCTTGTGCAGGCAACCACTTCCGTGACTTCCTCAGTAAAGAGTCATGCACACTTTTGCTTCCTTTTCTAAATAAGACTTCTGCTTGCAAGCATTCTGTATCCATATATTTAATTTACAGATAAGACCAGGAGCTCATGGAATCTCCCCACAAACAGAAGTCAACAGATCAGAGTCCCATATAACCTTTAAACCATTTAACCATATAACTCATATAACACCTTTAAATATCATTTCTAACAAACCCAGCCACCCGAGGGTTAGAACTTCAGCATTTCATTTTAGGGGGAAATCAAACTTTTATCCTATAATACTCATACATAAAATATAAACAAAATGCTTGATAATAAATGAAATGATGTAATCACGAGCTATAAGGCATCTCCTTTAATAGGCTGTGAGAATATGCATATATATTTTTGGCTTTGATTTTCTCTAAACATTCTTCCTATTAAGTGTGTTTTCTAACCACATACATCACAGATGCAAAGTTAAGATGTACTGGAGAAAGTGTCATATACTTACGTTTCTGTTGGAATTGTAAATGGAGTCATTCTATAATTCAAAAATGGACTTGAAATCTCAAGGAACTGCTCGGGCTTCTTTGGTACAACATCTGAAAAGTTCCAATGGGGAAGTGTGAGGTACACTTCCAGAATCCTTCAGAATCTAATGCAGTGCTGGTCAGAGCACATGTTTACCCAGGGATTTCAAAGGAGTTAAATAGGAATGAACAGAGACATTTCAAATTTTATTAAGTGAAATAGTTTACAGATCTTGCCAATGTTAGCTTTCTTTTGCCTATAGCCAGTTTCTTTTAAGGCTGAGAGTAGAACAGTATCTCAGCTGGTGAAGTTAGACAAGTCATTGCATTTGCTGATACTTTAAGTGAAAGGATGACTTTCTATATAAATGTTTTCTTTAAAAAATGGCATCCCTCAATTAACAACCTCAACACAGCCACTTAGGACATGCAGAGGAATATGAGCTGGTTCACAGGACTATAGCAGAAGAAGAAGAGAACGTGCCATGAACAGCAAGGAAACAGTGGATTGAGACTGGACTGTGTGTATGCATAAGTATTAAGGTAGTTTAGAAGTAAGAAATTCCCAGTGAGAAAGGAGAGCAGCACACATCACTACGGTGAACCCCAAAGTTAAACAGGAAAAGAAACAAGGCTCAGATAGGTAGCAAAGTCCCTCTGATCATTCTGCACTATCCTTCAGAATGAAACTCCCTTCCCATTTTTGTTAAGTTTTCACTTTACATATTAAACCTAATAGAGGAAAGACAACTATCTGATGAGCCCTAGCATAGTCCACTGCCACTATGGGTCCACAAGGCCAAAGTACAGGATGCATATTTAGTTTTTTAAATATATAATTTGGACATGAGTTGAGTAGCTTCGGGTGCAGGGCTCTGTGGCTTACCTCCGCACATACCATCTTCCGTGGGAGACACTGGTAAGCCCCCAGAGAAGAGTAAATTAGACCATAAGGCAACATGGCACATACCTTGAGCTTCATCTGTTATGACCGTTTCTTTTTTGTGGCGAATGAGTTTCCAGGGAGGTAAGGGAGGAGGTTTGGGGGGTGCCACAAGGGGACAAGACCTACTTCTGGTCACCAGCACAGGGTGGCTACAGGTGTGGGAAAGCCCATATTCCCGAAGTTTCTCTGCAGAATTCGCCTAAAATACGGAAAGAAGATTTGAAATGAATCTTTCATCACCTCTTGTATCTAAGAACAACACTTTTGCCAATATAGAAAAATGGGGACACCAATGTTTCTACCCTTTAATAGAAATGACACTAACATTTATATTTATTTGCATCTTTAAGTTTTCCTGAGACCGTGTTTGCTTATTGAAAAGATTAGGCCATTCTCGAGCTTAAATGTCAGGGAGACTATGAAAGTCTGTAGGCAGTATTTTCTAGGTTAAAGCTGTGAAACCAGTTTTGATTATCTAAACATTAAAAACAAAAACAAACAAACAAACAAAAAACTCGCCAGGCGGTGGTGGTGCATGCCTTTAATCCCAGCACTCGGGAGACAGAGGCAGGTGGATCTCTGAGTTCGAGGCCAGCCTTGTCTACAGAGTGAGTTCCAGGAAAGGTGCAAAACTACATAGAGAAACCCTGTCTCGAAAAAGTGGGTTTTTCTAAGGAAGTCTCCCCATCACTGGAGACAATGAAGGCATTGACAGTGGAGACAGAAGCTGTCCTGGCAGAGAGGTCCCATAAGCAAACCTTCAGCTCTGAAGCTGCTTTCATTGGAATACATAAGAACATTATTTCAACAGAACTGTGTTTCCTAAATGCTGCCTGAAGTATGTTATAGGAGAGAGACAGGCAGACACAGAGACAGAGATAGAGACAGAAAAACAGAGACAGAGACAGAGACAAAGATAGAAAGTTGAATCGATCCATAATCCTACCACAGATTGCTTTAACATTTAAAGTAAAATAACAAAATACCAACCACACTACAGTCAGTTCCTCCAGAAACAATTTTCTTTCTAATGATTTTACATGATTGGTTTCTCTAATCACGGTATAGAAAACAATTCAAATTTAAGAGAAAAGTGATACCCTGATTTTAAAAGTACCCTAAGAAGAGAGAAAGGCTTTACATTTTTTCTTATAAACTGTTACCAATTTTCTAAAAAAAATCCAAAATTTCTGTAATTTGTAAAGTACCTTTAAAACCAATATTTGCCTACAGCATCTAAAGAGTAAACTTCTCCTGACAACTTTTATTTTGTTAGGTGTTAAAAATCAAATCAGCTGGGGGGTGGTGGTGGCTCACGCCTTTAATCCCAGCACTGGGGAGGCAGAGCCAGGCGGATCTCTGTGAGTTCGAGGCCAGCCTGGGCTACCAAATGAGTTCCAGGAAAGGCGCAAAGAAACCCTGTCTCAAAAAACCAAAAAAAAACAAAAAACAAAAAAAAAAAAACAAATCAATGCTCAAGAGTAATCTGCTGGAAACTTGGGGAGAATTTAAGGGCTTGAGGGCATCACTGCAAGGGCTACACATTAATAATATCTGGAATGAAGCCATATTCAAAATAATGCTTATAAATGGAATAAATTCTAGATATTTTACAAAGAATAATTTTGAGACACTTTCTCTGTCTCTCTTTTGCTGTCTCTCTCTCTCTAAGTCCTCCTGTCTCTCTGTGTGTCTCTCTCTTTCATAATAACAATCAATGTTTTAGTCTAAAAAAATTCCTTTTGGGAACTGTAGAACATTATAAAATAAAACAAAATATTGTGAAAATATAAAATGTTGGTTGAAAAAACAAAACAAGGTATTAATTCCATGCCACAGGTCAATAATCTGTTAAAGGACTGGCCTGATTTAACATGATAAATTTTAAAATGACAAATTCTCATAATTTATTTTCAATATATTGTGTGAATACACAATATATTGAAAATAAAATCAATCCTTGTGTATCAAGAAAGTAATGCCACAAATTCTGGTTAAAATTTGATCATAAGAAACCTCACCAAAGGGTCTCAAAAGTCCTTAGAGAAGAATTAGGGGTAAAGAGGGATTTAGAATAGCATCCTCAAGATTGAGTAGGTACTTAGTAATCTCTGTTGAATGATTCACACAAAAAAACATATACTAGAAATTTTGTTTTCCAAGACCCCTTCACTCCTCCCCGATTTTATTTCAAATTCTCTAAAAGAAGGCATCAGAGTTGAAAGGTGGGGGAAGCTTATTCCTCTAAAATCCAAACTGTTCAGGATGCCTGAGAGGACGGGTGTTGGATCACATAGGGTGAGTTCATCATGAGGAGGGTTGTTGGATAGTTTGTGAAGTTTTGTTCCATTCTTCTGTAGTCTACAATCCTTCTTAACTAAATTCAAGTTGTTAACTCTGTGTGTTGATCTTAACATGTTTTTGGGTTGTAACTTTAGTGCTATCCTCCATTTTACAAAATTTCAATAGGGAAGAAACCATTTCCCATGGATTTATGATTAAAATAGTGTATTTATATTCTCTATTCTAGTCTGCTATTTGCAGGGGAACTAGATCAACCTCATAGAAAGTCAATCTAAACTAACCAACAGGTGGTATAGGGAACCACAAAACTCCAGACAGATGGTGAAAGATGGGCAGGTCCTTTAATCGCATTACAGACTATTGATTGATTCCAGAGTCTTTGGCACCTTAAGCCCTGTACAGCACCCAAAAGGAAGGTTTAGACTGGTGGTGTGGTACACAGGTGCTCCCAGCACCCAGGAGACTGAGGCAAGAATATCACAAATTCTAGGCCAGCCTGAACTACATGGCCACACCATGTCTACGGGAAAAAGAAAAAGATTTGTAAATAATATTCTGTCCTTAGTTTTATAACTTGAATTGCTTCTGAAACTTCTCTACAATTAACCAAATCTCTGTTAGTTCCCAGAAAAAGGGGTCTATGTGGTCTCCTTGCCCTGCAGACTTTCCAACTTAATCTCTCAGTTTTGAACACACCTTTTATTATTTACTAGCCTAACTTCTTACACCTCAGGTTAAACAGTTAGCTTCCTTTGGGAAGACCTCTCTAGCTGCCAATTAGGGGGAAGGTTCATGCTTTGGGTCTTGTCCCTCCCACACACACACATTGCTTTTTCCCCCTCATTCATGTAGGTAGTCATTTGTGCCATTACTCCAGTATAACAGTTTTCTAATTGTTGTTGTCAACTTAATTATAGTCTCTGAGCTTTGCGGTGAGGAATTTCTACTATGTTACTCATCTCTATACCTTAAGATCAGAGCACATTGCTTGATACATCACATATATGTATTATAATACATGAATTAATGTGCATTGAGGGTTACAGTTTTAATAAGCAGTTTGCATATCTCTTGGATATGAGACATGACATGCCACAAAATGTGGCTGATGTCTTTAGTGATCCATACCTTGCACCTCTACCATTCAGAACATCTGAGATGGTACCCATGACACATGTCAGGGAAGAGGAGACTGACCCTAAAGTCAACAGGAGGCTTGACTTGAGAGAAGGTGTGAACACACATTGGATTGTGGGGAGCTTCTGATTTCCAGACAGTGTGAAAATTTCTGATTGTGCTGTTCAACCATGGCTGTGTTAAACTTTGAATTAAAAAGAACAGCAACTGCCTCTGTCTCTATGCACATGCTACCACATTGTGTTCTATCAATTTTATGTTACTACTGCTATGCAGTAGACTTTGGCTGGTAGTAATAACAGCTTCTGAAATGATGGTATCAGGCTCTTGGGCTAATCTAAAAGATGAACGGGACACGGGGGGCAACAATGAACCTATTGGAATACTTATTTTTCAAGCTACTTCTCATTAACATTTTAAAATTCAATTCTAACACAATGGGTATTTATGCACAGTTGTATCAGTGTACCCACTATCCTTACACTTTAGTGACTTTACAGCATAGAGAACCCCAGTGGTAAGGTGCTATGTGTCTAAGTTCCCTATATGGGGTCAGGATGAAACAAGTCCTCAATGTATGACAACATTAGTCTAAATAAACTGTGTAGGAACTTGATGTTATTATTATAAGAGGAGAAAATTTGCTTTTTTCCTCAAAGAACAAAAGGTTGCTCAAAATATTGTGGAATTCCGTAAATGTTAAATAATCACTAAACATTAATGAAAATGCATCACCATACAGAAAACTATTAAACAAAAAGCTGGCTTCCAAATGGAATGTAAAATTAGATTCCTCACTGAACAAAAGTATAGAGTTCAATATAGAACATATGCATAGAAAGGAAATCAAAGAACATATACCAGCAGATACAGTGCCTATGCCTGATTGTTTATACTATGCATAATTTAGTTGTATTGCATTTGGCTACATTTACTAAATTTCTTGTTATTGGTTAAATTTATTGTTTAAAAGCAAGTAGCATTTATTCTACATTATCTTTTTTTTTTTTTTTTTTTTTTGGTTTTTCGAGACAGGGTTTCTCTGTGTAGCTTTGCGCCTCTCCTGGAACTCACTTGGTAGCCCAGGCTGGCCTCGAACTCACAGAGATCCGCCTGGTTCTGCCTCCTGAGTGCTGGGATTAAAGGCGTGTGCCACCACCACCCGGCTATTCTGCATTATTTTATGATGCAAGAAGGTCATGGCTGTGGCTCCCCAGCCTGAGTGCAAATTCATATATATCATTTCACTTTAAGAACATATGTGTATTTGAGTCACTGAAAAGTTATTATTAATCAAGAATGATGTACATGAGTTTTACTGAAATGTATAGTTCCTCTATCTTTTCTTTTGTACATAATATAAAAATATTTTAAAATAAAATGTGACCGTATTTTACCTTTATATAATTAGATAGTACTATGAACAACTGAGACAATTTTGGATATGCCAGCCCCTTAGTGCAGCAGCCATGTACCTCCCCACCACACATAAAGACATGGTATCTCTTGGTTTTGAATTCTTACCATCTTCTCCAATGTAAAGATCTTGTTTTCAAACAAATAGAGTGGTGTAAAGGTAGCATATACAACCATATGAGGGGACTGTATTGCTGAAGAACCTGGGGAAAAAAGCATATATTGGACCATGAGCATTCTTGTGAACATGCAGTTACTTTCTCACTGTGACTTCTTTTATGGGAGGGATGGAAAAGAAGACGGGGAAAAGGGAGAGAGGAAGAAACAAAGGAAGGAGAAAGGGAAGGAAATAAGAGAGGGGAGAATATATCTGGTATCTTTTCTTTTTTATGATTTAACCTTAACTACCACCCTAAAAGAATCTCCAAACACACTTACAGTAGAGGTTATAGCTTCAATATATCAGTTTAAAGGAGAAACAATATCCTCCATAATGCTCTGCTCCTCTGTAAACTATGTCTCAACATACATGAATTCCTTTCACCCAGGACAAGAGCACCAAAAGCTCTAATTCAGTTCAGCATCAACCCAAAGTCCGAATTGTCATTTGGCTCTTTGCATGGATAGTAGGGTTTACTAAAAGTAAGAAGCAGGGCTCATCCTCTGCAACTGAATGGGAAACAGCCTTGTGTCCTGGGAGCCTGGTGAGATTCAGTCCTGATTACCTCTTGATCACCTTGAGGACTTACCTGCATATTCATTCATAGCCAAATAGTTCTATGGTCTGGTCCTGTGGAATTACTGACCAACAGCCTTCCTTTATCCTATCTGTGTCTCTTGTAAAAGATAGCCTCTGTGTGGATAACACCCTCCTCTTTGGACTTGATCTCCATGGTGAGTAACTTCCTTATGGGTGGTTTCAAGCCACATCCTTGGCATTCTTTTACAAGTTTTCTTGTTGTAGGTTAGACTGAAATTTTTTTCTAGTCTTCAAGTTTTTATTGGTTTCTGGTTTACAATTCTGTCCTTTCACCTCCCTTCTCTCATATATTACTACTCATAGTAAAGAACTTAGGCCTCATGCCCAACACTGTGCTGAGAAACCACCTCAGGTAAATACTCAATGTCGCTGTTCACGAGTTGCTTCTACAAAACACTAGAACACACTTCTGGTAACCTCCTTTCCAATTTACAGTAAGAATTGCCTTCCCTTCCCTTTCAAATTACATCTTCCTTGTTTACAGCTAGGAGTTGTCCCACAGCATCTGTCACATACAGAATCCTTACCAACCATTTAGGTTTTTTCAGCTGTGCATCAAACTCTTCCAAGCATCCATGCATCACTCAGTTGCAAATTCATCCCATTGTTTTAGTATCTGTTATACCAGCACATTAAGTCATAGTACCAACACCTGCATTAATCCTGTCACACTTGAGAAACAGAACTGATACAGAAATAGAGTGATTATTAGGAGCTGATCCACGTAATTATCACCCAATCTACGTGATGAGTCAGGCAACTAGAGCAGCACCAAGGAAAGCAATGGGTAGTTCCTGTCTAAAGACAACTCCAGTCCCAAGAAAGGTCAGTGTTTCTGGGCCATGGTGGTCCATGCCTTTAATCGCAGCACTCAGGAGGCAGAGGCAGGCAGATCTCTGAGAGTTTGAGGCCAACCTTGTCTACAGAGCTGGTTCCAGGACAGCTAAGGCAACACTGAGAAACCCTATCTAGAAAAAGAAAGAAAGAAAGAAAGAAAGAAAGAAAGAAAGAAAGAAAGAAAGAAAAAGAAAGAATGGTAGGTCAGTGTTTTCGTCTGATTCTGTAGGCACTCAGCAGGGAGGAGGGTGAGCCTTTTCATATCCAGAATTTACCTGTTGGATGAGGATCACTCACAGGAGACAGGATGAGCTGCTTCACTCTGCCTACTGATCTGAATATTAATATCATCCAAAAAGCATCTTCACAAAATGTTTGCCCAGATTTCTGAGTACCCCATGGCTCAATGGAGACATAAAACCACCCATCACATTAACTTCCTTCTAAATTTTGATATTAACGTCTTTATGTATAAAAGTATGTTGGCCTAAATTATGTTCCATTACCCAACATTACACACTGGAACTTCTGAAGCCCTTCCTGGAACAATTTCCTTTTGTTTGCTTTATGACTTGTGAGACAAGGTGCCAAGACAAAGCTGAGGCTGGCCCGAAACCTGCTATGTATCCTGGGATGACCCTGAACTCCCCATGGTCCTCCTATCACAGACGAAGTGTTTGGGAAAAGAGAAGAGGTTAATAATTTCCAAAAAATTCTAAAGTGTCTGTTATCTCTACATAGTAAGAATTATTTATAATGAGTCTCAGATAATCCACAGGTAGCAGTTTTCTCTCTGTTGTTATACCATCTTATTTTACAAAGTTAGAACACTGCATTACCTTCTTTTTTTAATTAGATATAAACACAAGAATTTTTAGAATATCCTAACAGTAAACATTTGACTCCAAGGATTCATTACATCATTTATTCACAGCTCTGACAGAAACCATGTGATTTCCTCATCTAACTTTCTAGATGGTGAAACAGACAGTCCTGCATTCCAGAATGTTTAATAATTGACTAATATAAAGGGAGGGGGAAGAAAAAGACACACTTTGATATGAAGAGATGGCATTTAAAATCCTAACTTCTAAAATGGCTTTACAATATTTTTCAGTATCTATGAGTATCCTCTTTGCTAAAACTGCCATTTTAATTGTGTTTTACTGCCTAGAGTGTTTCATCATATTTTTATGATTTAGATGTCTCATTTTACAGAGAATGAAGCTCTTCATGTTTTCTATAAGCATATATCAGAAAGTTATACTATCTAATGTGTAGAATTACTTAAATATCATTTATCATTGATTCATTCTTTGTTAGATTGTACTGTATTAATATATAACAAGTTCAGCCTGGAACATTGATTTACTAGGAGATGAATTCCAAATCATTACAGAATTACTACAAATACTACTACAAATGCTTGTCAAAGGTTATAAATCTGTGTTCAAATGGATATTCAGTTTCTTGGAGTGGCTAACTTTCATTGAATGTTTCCTATGTGCTGCCCCAGGCATTTTACATGAGTCAGTTCTCATATAAGCTCTGTGAAGTAAGTTGCATGGTATCATTTTTTCAGGTAAGAAAACTAAATTGAAAATAGGTTAAGAAATATATCAAAGATGCAAGATTAAGAGGCATAAAATGTGAAGAGTGAGTGGGAAGGGATGCCTAGTCTGTCAGGTAACTTATCAATCATTCTCTAGAGCAGTGCTTCTCAACCTTCCTAATGCTCTGACCCTTTAATACAGTTCCTCATGTTGTGGTGACCCCAACCACAAAATATCTTCATTGCTACTTTATTACTGTAATTTTGCTACTATTATGAACCATAATGTAGATATCTATGTTTTCCAATGGCCTTAGGAGATCCCTGTGAAAGGGTTGTTTGACTCCTGAAAGGGGTCATGACCCACAGGTTGAGAACTGCTGCTTTTGTAGCAATAGAAGAAGAATAGGTCAACCAGAAGGCTTGTCAGGTCATTGTCCACCAGAAGGTGTTTTTAATTCCACAGTATGATGCAAAACTCAATAACAAAATAATTTTTTAGAAGGCTTATAATGACTTAGTACACATATGAAGAAATTCAGTTTGATAACATGCATGTGTGTGGATATGTGGATATGTGTGCATGTGTCATAAAATTAGGAAGGGGATTATGATAGAGGAGAAAGAGACATATTAAGAGAAGGGTAAAAAAAGAATATAACGGAATGGAAGTGAAGGAGAAGGGGTATTATTTGGACAAAGGGTGGGAACCAGCCAGAGGGAGGTGAGGGGTTGTCAGTGAGAAAGAGGATGAATAACAACAAAATATAATGACACACATATATGAACATCAAAGCCATCGCAAAAGTTTTAGGTCAACTTATTTGTGGTCAAGAAGTAGCCTTCTTAATCTTGAAGTTCTTTAATCTCTGACATTTCTGTCTTTCTTTTGTTTTGTTTTGTTTTTTAATGCATTTTTGGAATACAGACCATTCTTGCCAGGCTTATCTTTTATTTGCAATACAATGATAAGACTAAATATTATAAATGAGCACTATGCACATTAATGGGCACTCTACCATGTATTTCTGAAGTTTAAAATCACCAACTGCATAGCCACCTTCCAAGGTATAACAACTTGTAGTTTTTCTGTGATGAACATCTAGGTCCTGGTGAATGTCAGCTTGAGACACTTCCTTCCTCACCACCAGCCTCCCCCCGCCCCACTGGTAAACAGGGCCCACGTATCTTCACCTTGTAAGAGGGACTCTAACTCTGGCAACATTTCATACATCACTAAGTGATTCCAGCTGCTGCAATAACCACTATGAACTTGATACGGTTACAAAAGTTGCTAGTTTCCTTGTGCTTGTATATAGTGTAAAGAGGTCATCACAGATCCACAGGCAGGTCTCCACATGGCTTTCCATTGCTTCCCACTCTTTTCACTCACGGCTTTGCTGTCTTTAACACTATGCTCTGAACTGTGTCAGGAGAGCAAAAGGAGAACTGTGCATGGGGGCCATCCCATGATCAAGCTGAAAGTGAGGCATATCATTCCTGCTCATGCTTCATGGGTTACAGCACAAGCTCAGGCTAATCTAACATTAAAAGAACCTGGGGAAACATGCATAACGTGCTTAATTGGAGAGTGAAAATCACAAAATGTGGCAATCTCACCCATACTCAGAAAATGCCCTCCTTAGAATCCCACAAAATCCTATTCTAGTCTTATTGAGTCTTAATAAGTTTGTGTCAAAATTCAAATATATAATGTCTCTGGCAAGTTTTTGGCCAGATATTAGAAGGGTCTGATTCATTCATATGTTAAAACCTAGGTGTTTTTCATTAATGTCACCATCTGAATCCAAGTTTCTTTTTAAGTTACATTTTAAATTTAGTTAGTCAGGAAATTGTTCAACATTTAAATATAGCTCTATCAACAGATATTGAGGGGAAGGATAATACAGTAGTGAAATGGGTGAACTCTGAAGAGCAACTTCCAGGACTTGCAAACCCATTTGGAGTTGTTCCAAAATACCACAGCCAGAGCTAATAAGCTTCCCAACTGTGGGGTCAAAAGTCTACAGAGGGCTGTATCAGAAGCATTTTATAGTTGGTAATGACCAGAGACTACAACTCACCCTTTTGCTTCCTTTTATGAATGGGAACTCATATTGCAGCTAATCTATCTTCCACAATACATAGGAGATAAGGTGTGGGTGTGTGTATGTGTGTGTAAGTGTACGTCCTAAGGGTCTTAGAACTTGAGTTAGATGCAATTACTGGATAGTCTGGGTCATGGTTTTGTAAAGTATTGAGTACACATTTATGGGAAGGATGAAATGGGTATCTAGTGTTCAGGGAAATAAAATTTAATAAAGGTTAGCTACTGTCCACCAGAGGGGGCCATCTTTCTCCAAAACATCTGGCCAACCTGTGACAGTCCAAGTTCCTTACACTCAGGTATGGCCAACTGTGATTGAAATGGAATATAACCAAAAGTGACCTCCTATCAAGTTTGGCCCTTGAAGATCTCAGCTATAATCATCCCATCTCTCTTCTCCTGGCAAAAACCTTCAGAATCTACAAGGTAAAGCAAGTCAGAACCACATTTTTCTTAAACACTATTTAGAATTTCTGACAGTCATAATAGTCTTAAATTCATGTAATTAAAAAATGAAATGTACTGTTTGAATTATTTGTAAGTTACACTCATGAATAGATTTACTTTGAAAATAACAAACTGGAGGGGGACCTTTAAATGTCACATAGTTATTAGCGTGTAGTAGATTGCAGTAGATATTACAGAAATGTAAGCACACATGCGTGAAAAAACATGCATAAATATCTATACAACTTCTGTTACCTTGCTTTGTCTTCTTTATAGAATTTTAAAGCTATGAAATGCCATTTTAGTTTAATTACAGCTGTGATAAATTAATTCCCCCAAATTAATAAAACATAGGTATTTTATATTAAATTCCTCATGCCTTCTCAGAGCTAGCTAAAGCATATTATATTTCTGTTGTCAAATTGAATACAAATAATATAAAAATCAAGTCAATTCTTTCCCATAGGAATTGAGTCTTTTGAATACTCAGGGTCCATATATAACCTGCTAAAGCAGTCAATGGAAGGAAATGCATCTTCAAAATCCACTTAAAATTAACTACATAGGAAAAGGAAGTCTATACAGGCACTCTCTCTTATTTATGTCAGATGACATCCATCCTGTAGAGCTCAGCAGAATCCAGTGTTCTGTCTTAAGCAATTTTAAGAATTAGGACAATCATCATGCATATGCTGAAGTGTGACATACCAACAGATGAATGATTCGGACTTTAATTTTCAATTCTGAGAGCACTCTTAGTTGCTGTTGTCGTGATGAAGAGAGGGAACATGGCTGTAAAGGGGCTCCCTCACTAGCCTGGTACTCATGTACCCAGTGCTGAAGCAGAGATCTGACTTTAGGCAGAGCTCACAGCCCAAATTTGAGTCACATCCCATATACACATGACTTCATTGGTTTTATTATTGTTTGATTTGGTTCTTTGTTTTGTTTTTTGAGACAGGATCTCACTATGTAGGCCTGGTTGTCCTGGAACTCACTACGTAGCCCAACCCCTGGCCTCAAACTCAAGAGATCCACGTGCCTCTGCCTCTATAGTGCTGGGATTAAAGGTATACATCACCATGAGCTTAATCATGAGTTCTAAGGAGGTGGGAGGAGTATTGCTTTTTTTTTTTTTTTTTTTTTTTTTTTTTTTTGGTTTTTCAAGATAAGGTTTCTCTGTGTAGCTTTGGAGCCTGTCCTGGAACTCACTTGGTAGCCCAGGCTGGCCTCGAACTCACAGAGATCCGCCTGCCTCTGCCTCTCGAGTGCTGGGATTAAAGGCGTGCACCACCACCAGCCAGCGGGAGTATTGCTTTTACTTTCACAAAGAAAATGGGGAAAGCAGCATTTAGTTCTTTTTAAAAGATGAAGCATTATCAAAGACAACTTGGCTTTTGTTTTCATATCCTAACAATATACAAACCCACCATTTACATGAAGGAGCTGAAGGTTGAGGGAAAACTTGAACATGCTTACATAGATACTTCAAAAGAGAAAATGTACTTTTCTATGTTCCAACACTTTCCATGAGCTTAGGTAGCGACTATGGTAGTTACTGTAAGAGACTGAGAGCTTACAATCTGACAAGGACTGCATAGAGTACTGAACATCAGATGAGGGTCTCGAACCATGGAGTGAAAATTTGAATCTTTCCTTCTCCTTCTCTCCATCCTTATTCCTCTTCTTCCCAAGGTCTTTTGCATCTGCTTTCTCTAACACATTAAGAAAAAATGGTAAATCTTTTATCTAGAAAACTTCAGACATGCTACATATTCAGCCAGTGTGTCCTAAGAAGGCCAAAACAACAGTACTTAAAATAAAACTGCAGCCTTCATTTCTCCCAAAATGTAATCTCCTCTGATTAGAAATAGCACATTAAGCTAGAGAAAACAATCCTAAAAATTAACATGGGCTGTGAAAACTGGACAGAATTACTTAGTATTATGCATAATAACTAAATTATCATGCATTGTTTTATGTTGTATGCAGATAGTGACTACCACACATTTGTGTGTGTGTGTGTGTGTGTGTGTGTGTGTGTGTGTGTGTGTGTGTGTGTGCATAAGTACCCATGGTGCACGTGCACATGCACAGGAGGATGCTGGTATCTAGCCCTCACTTTCTCTGCTATTCCCTTGAGACAGGGCCTCTCTCTCACTGAACTTGGAGCCTACTCTTTTGGCTAGACTAGTTGGCTGGTAAACTATAAATCCTTTCTCTGCCCCTGACAGTGCGGGGGGTTACATAGGCAGCCCCATGCTCTCTATGTGGATGCTGGGGATCCTCAGATCCTCATGCTTTGCCTTAACCAGGCAGCCATTTCTCTAGTTCCTTGGATATATTTAATTTACATATAATTGTAATGTCAGGCTAAGTTTCTCATTTTAAAAATGAAAACAAACAAAAGCAGCAAAACATGCATTGCAAGTTTAGAGCTATCTATACAGGGCCATCTCAATTTACCCTATTTGGGGACTTTAGCTCAAGCAAATACCATTTTCTTTCAGTAAAGCATCTTTTTGTGGGGTTGAAAGTCAACCACACCCACGAACCAACCGCCTGGTTCCAGTGTGTCTTGTGCAATAAACCAACTAGAAAGTTGTTGCCACTGTTTGAATTTTCGCTCATGCGCATAGTTCTATGAAAAGACTTTAATTTTTAAAAAGCCAAGAATTTTTTTTCTGCCTAATGTGTTCCTCCAATTCAGAATGTGAGTTTAGAGTCTCTGCATCAACTGCTAAGTTTATAACCCTCATTGGTAGCCTGTTCATTTTTTTAAAGATACGCAATTATTAAAAATTATGACTGCAACTACTTATGATGTTCCTTAGTATAGAAAATATATCTGTCTCATGGTGTTTGAAGTAGATTTAAAATGTATGTTAGACATATTGTAACTTCAAATATAGGCTAAGATGTTTAACTGAGAAATTTAAGTATTAAAAATTAGGTTAACAGGCTACAGTCCACGAGCCCAGAGAAACTAGGTAAAAAGGATGACCCTAAGAGGGACACACAAGGAGGGCCCCAGGAAGGCAAAATAGTTATGACCTCCTGGGTAAACTGGGGGAAGAAGGGGTAGAAGGGAAGAGATGAAGGATGGGAACAGGAGGGACTGAGGTGGCCAAGTGGAGGGAGGGGCAGAGATGGAAGCAATGAAAGATATCTTGGTAGAGGGAACCATTAGGGGATTAGGGAGAAACCTGGTGCTAGGGAAATCCCAGGAATCCACAAGGATGACACCAACTAAGGCTACTAGCAATAATGGGGAGAGTGCCTGAACTGACCTTCTTCTATAATCAGATTAGTGACTACTCTAATTGTCATCATAGAACCTACACCCAGTAACTGATGGAAGCAGATGCAATGATCCACAACCAAGCACTGGGTTGAGCTCCTAGATTTCAGTTGAAGAGGGGGAGGAGGGATCACAGGAGCAAGTGAGGTCAAGATCTTGCTGGGGAAAACCACAGAGACAGCTGACACCAGTTTGTGGGAGCTCATGGACTCTGGCTTGTCAGCTGGGGAACATTCATCGGACCGAACTAGGCCCTCTGAATGTGGGTGACAGTTATGTGGCTAGATCTGTTTGGGAAGCCCCTGGCAATGGGACCGGGACTCATCCTGGATGCATGAAATGGCTTTTTGGAACACATTACCTAGGGTGAGAGACCTTGCACAGCCTTGACACAGGGGGAGGGACTTGGTCCTGCATCAACTTAGTATGCCAGATTTGTTGACTCCCCAAGAGAGGCCTTACCCTCTCTGAGGAGTAGATGGGGGTGGGATTGGGGGAGGTGAGAGGGCAGGAGAGTGGGAGGGAGGGGGGACTGGAATTAAATTAAAAAATAAAAAAATAAAAAAAGAATGCAATGGGAGAAAATAGGTTAATGAAACTTTATTTTGTATAAATGTCCACCTAATTTAATTAAGCTAATTTTGTGTAGCGAATTGTGGTTTCATTTACAATTTTAAAACTGAACTTTACTTTCAAACTCCTATTTAGAATTTGATAATATATCCCATTAAAATATGTAAATAAAATGGCTAATTAAGCCTTTGTCACTAGACTAATATAACTGTCATCTGTCATTTAATTCCATGATTTTGGCAAACCTCACTATAAACAACTTAGCTGAATGTTACTGGACATTATTCTTCCCTCGTTCCACAAATATCACCACATTGCTATTAAATTTCCACCAAATCTCCATCTTCCATCTCAACCTCATTCCCAGCTCATGACTATGCTTCCTAGAACCAGAGAATATTCAAACTTTTGTCAGAAATCCTCAACCACTTCTAAACCAAGCTGTCTACTTACCTACCACTGTATCTGTTCACCCCACGGCCCCATGACCTGTGCCTGCACATTAGAGCAGAGGAGCAATTGCTCCCCAGGGCTGAGGAGAACTCAACAGTTCTACGGGGTTCCTGGAAATATTCATCTTAAACAAGAGCATTGGTGTCAGTTTCCTGAGAAGGGAGGAAGAACAGAATCCACCACCCACTGGAGGGCCACCCTATAGAACTGCTGAGTTCTCCCTTGTTAGATTAACAAATACATGTTCCATGTATCTCACCCTAATGAATATCAGCTTCCATTTTATCACTCTGTTGCTCTTCAAGGCCAAATTCCTCACAGACTTGTCTGTGTATTATATTTCTGCCTGTTTCCTTAACTCTCTTCCACAGCTTTCCATATGTATTGTTCCCAGTGCCTACTAACTTCCACATCCAACAATCTAATGAAGAAACTGAAGTGGATATCACAGTTTATCTCACTACAGTATTTCATACAGCCTTTCTTATTCTTGCAGGAATGTTCCCTCCTTGATTTCAATGCTAACACACTTGTCTTTTCTTTTGCCACTTCTCTGGCTACTCTTTTTTTCTCCCTCATCAGTCAGTCATTGGTACCAATTCTCAGATGTTTACAGTCGCAGGGCTCAGCTCCTACCTCTAAGTCCATGCTGTCTTCTTGAGAAATATCACAGAACACCTGTGAATGCCTCCTAAATAAACAGTTTGGGACCTTTGATCTTCAAGGTGTTTCAGATTAAATATGACCAAAATCATTCTGTAGTACTTCCTACTAGACCTCACCATCTATCCAGTTTTACAACTCAAAATTCCATAAATTACCCAAACTGAGTTCTACTCTTTTCTAATTACTTTTAATGTTTTTTTTTTCTTGAACCATTCATCTTATTGGGCCTCTCCACTTTCTCTATTCCAAGACTCCATCTTATCAAACATGAGTTTATCCAATAGTTCCCAAACTATTTTTTTTCCATCTGCCCATAATTTCCTCTCTGATCCTCTCTCAACTCCCTTCCCTCCAAATATTCTTGTTAGTGATGGCCAAAAGCATCTTTTGAAAAAACAAATTCAATCTTGATTCCCTCCAAACTCTTCACTGCCTGTCAGCAAGTCAGTAATACTTACAATGAAGACCAGGACCCCTAACATGGCCTTGAACACTCAATCTGCTCACTCCTGCTGTAATCCAGCTCTTCATAAACCAATTATCCTTTCACTCTGCTTCATCCAAACATATCATGTACCCTGCCCGCCAATACACTGCCATCCTCCACATGTTCCCAATCTCTGTGCTGGCATTCTCTTCTGCCACCAGTGTTCTGGTCACAGTTGTCTTCATCTGGGTTACTCCCACTCATCTCTGCAGACTACAACAGACCCCTGTACTACCTGCCCTAGCTTCCTGAATTTCCCTTCCAAGTTCATTTTTCAGTCTCTGGTCAGCATAACTTCCTTTTTATTAGTCAGGGTTTCCCACTAACCATCAGGTTCAGAAGGTGGGGTGTTCCACCTCTTTTTCTGTTTACCAAGATTATCACCAGTTCCTAGAAAATTACCAGTACTTTTTATCATCAAAGAGTATATTTAGATGAATACTATTGGTTGGAGGCCTGGAGGTTAGTTTGTGAAACATCAAAAAGGGCTTCTAGAAGAAAATTCATTGGGAATATACTGGAAAAAAAATGAATCCACTCACATTTCTTTATTGCTTATTTTCATCAAGATAGGCCTGGGTGGGTGCACATTGCCCACAACTCTGATCTTAATATATTTTTGAAGACCTGAAGTAAAATTTTCTATACAATACATGACAAGAAATACTGGCAGATATGATCATTTATCATATTTTTCTTTTCCTTTTTGGAGCTTGGAATCAACCTTAAGGCCTTGCCTATGCTATGTAAGTGTTTTACCACTGAGTTATAACCTTTGGATTCTTAAGACAGGGTTTCCCCATAGCTCACATAGTTACCCAGACTGGCTAAAATTTGTGACCTTTCTGTCTCTCTCCCTCCCTGGTTAGAAACAATCTTGATAAAGAATAATCCTGACAAAATGTTAATACTTTATAAAACATAAATATCTGAAGGAATATTTAACCAAAATATACAGAAAAACCTGAATACTTCCTAGTAGACTTAATTCTACTTTACAAGCAGTTTCTTCATATACATAGTTATAAGATAGTTTAGTTGACATAGAATAAATACTATTCAATCAACTTTTCATCTTGAAAATAGAAATGACTATACACTTTGTAAATATCATTTGAAATTATTTTCCTTCAGATTTGAACCTCCATCTTATGACACAATTTTAATTTATGTAACCTATGCTCATATCATTCTCTGAAAAATGACAAGGTAAGTTTTCTACTTTGCTGTGTGGATCCATCCCACTCTGCATATAAATATGAGCAAGATATCCTAGTAGAGATGTATCTTGCCTCTTTCTAATACAGTAGTGATTTAATATTAGCAAAATTGAGAATTGTCTTTGATATTTACTGAAAGGGAAGTATGAGGCAATAATTGCCTACATTCCACATCACCAAGAGTTCTAATAGTAAAAGGGAGGGTTAAGAAATAGTAGCAACATTACGAAGGCATCATTAGCCTAAACAGGTACTATAAAGCATCCCTATACCGTGCCCTGCTGCATGACTTCCCATGTCTTACCCTTTGCAGCTTTGTCGGTCTTCTCTGGAGGCTTCAGGGTTGTAAGGGAAGTTTCCGGTTTGAAATCCTTCAGGTCTTTCACTTCCTTTCCGTCTTTCACTTCCTTGCCATCCTTTATCTCTTTCCCGGGTTCCTTCAGTTTGTTGTCTACCACTGTCATTTTGCTTTCAGAACTTGGATCTTCTGTGAGCTTAAACTCAGGCAATATTTCCTTCAAGAGCTCCCAAACTCTGTCCACATACCCTGGACTTAGAGGCAATATATTTGCGTTAACTCCCAGATGATCATTGTCTACCTGACGTCAAGAAGTTACTGACAGACTAATTAACTTCTTAGTTCACAAGACTAATTTCAATTGTTACTTCAAACTTTTAGTTAGAAATATTGCTCATTGACCATGCTTTTATTGCATTTCTACTATGTGCCAGTCTTTGAGGATACAGGGACCAAAACTGGCGGATCAGTCAAGCTTGGCAGAGGAGACAGACATGCTAAAATCATGATAGGTGAAATATATACATGTCTATATGCTATACATGCACATATACTGCATATGCATATATACTGTCCATCTGTATTTGCCATATGTTGTATATATGCTATCCATGTACAAACACCTTATGTGTTCAAAGGCATCCTCTAGAATTTTCCAATGATATCCTCACCCTCTGAAGATGTGGGAGAATTTTTAACATGGTATCAAAGGTCTTTAACTATGAGGCTTCTCCCTAGTCCCTATGCCATTGGTCCTCTAGAATTTAGTAGCATATAATCCAGTTTTACACAACCACACACTTTTCTGGGATTATACATTGTCTATCTCACTTCCTTGTTATTCTGTCTGTTCTAAATTGATTTTCCCACACTAATCTGCTACATTAATTTCAGTAAATCTTTTGCAGTCAGTGTAAGCATCCATTGCAGGGATGGGGCAAGTAAGCTACATGCTTTTGCTTTGAGAGCCTGAAGAACTGTTTATACATTTTTAGGAAGCCTTTGACAATACTTTACAAATTTCTAACTCAGCTCATGTATACTGATTGAGGACACACTCTATGACAGTTATTCAGTGTCACTGTGCTGAGCACAGCAGGCAAAGAATGACCACTGAAGACAACTGTGGACTGAATGGGGGCCTCCAGACCATATCAGAATGACCTATGGAGCAAGCTGTATTAATCTGCCCTCTCAAGATATCTATTTGCCTTTCCAAGATTGTCACCTGAAGCAGCTCGTCTTTTTCCTTTGTCTTGTCATTTTCCTAACAATACATGTTCTTTCCTGAAGATGCTGTACAACCTTAGGTTCAGGGATATTAGTAAAGTACTTGGATGTCTCCCAGCATATGTGAAATATATCTATCAAAAAGCTATGCTTCCTACAGAAGGGTGCAGGGCTGAGCTTTGAGCACAGGACTTGCAGGGTCTGCTAAGGCACGAGGGTGAGCTCTGTAGAGGATGAAGTTTCTGTGACACACTGAAGGTATGGACTCAGGCGTATACAGTGCGTATGAGGATGCTCCCACAGAACAGTGCTGTACATCTCTCATGTACTTCCAAGCTCAGCATCTGAGCCTCAATGGCATTCTGAATTGTGGCTGCAAGGGCCAGAATTGAAGAAAGGCTTGTCTGAATGACATGGCGGACTTGCCTTTTGTGTACTTGTAAATGTAATTCTAAATGGTCTTATTAAATAAACACAGAGCAAAATGCAGAGTTAAAAGCCCAGAGATCAGAGAGCAATAGCCAAGAGCTGAGACCACCTCTTTGCCACTGCCGTCCTTCCCCTAAGAAAGAGAACTACTTCCTGTGTGTCTGTATTTGTATTGACTTCTGTTCTGCCTTCTCATTGGTTGTAAACCCAACCACATGACCTCCTTGTCACTGCCTGTCTATACAGACCTCCAGGTCTCTATGGTTGGTATTGAGATTAAAGGCGTGTGTCTCCAAGATGGCTATGTCCTTGAACACACAGACTTTGCCTGCCATGTGATTGGATTAAGGGTGTGTGCTACCACTGCCAGACTTCTGCTAAATGGCTTGCTATTAGCTCTGACCCCCAGGCAACTTTATTTATTAACATACAAATAAAATCACATTTCAGCACAAATAAAATATCACTATATGCACTAGGTGCATAAATCTTTCAGGTAGATAAGCACAAACAGATTTTGCTTGATGGCTTGTTTTATGATTAGTCTGTCCTTGATTCAACAAAGAATCTCTTGGGTCATTCTGCTTTATAAGAAGGAATAATTTACCCTAAAATGCTGAGGGCCATGGGAGTATACAGCAGGTGACAACTAGGGTTTGACAAGTCGACCCACCAGATATGTAACTCCCTGATGGGGAGCCCTACCTGGCAAAGCCATGGGGTCACTGGCTATGGAAACCAGTTGTTCTCTGTAACTTTCTCAGGTACTACTGCTATGCCTCCCTGAAAAGAACAGCTGTGGGGTGCTTTCCACAGCCCTTTGGTAGTATGTTTTCCATCTTTGGGCACAATTATAGTTGTGGATGATCAGGTTATACTTTCTGTCTAAACTGTATAATTCTGATGTACAGAAATATTACCAGAATATTCTTCTTTATTGACACAGAGAAGTAACAGTATTCTCAGTCTTAAAGACAGTCTTTTACACATTTTGCAAAGACCTTAGAACAAATCCAAAACAGACTAAGCTGCCCCTACAGAGAATACACAAAGACTAAATCCCAGGTTGTTGTTCATTGTTAATTCAAGGCCAGGCTGTTTACATCAAGACATATTCCTTGCAGTAGCTTCCTTTATGCAAGTACCCTGAACACTCAAGGTTCAGCCAATTGTTAACTGTCTGGAAACCCTCACCAACTTAGAGCTACATGCATGGGTCAATGTGATATTACAAGCCTAAGAGAAACTATGTAACTTATCCTGTGTTTTGAGAATGGGTAAGGCCCTGAAAAGGTAACATAATTGTCCAGATTTTGGCTGTGGAACAGAGCAGGGGGATGTCAAGAGAGGGGCTGAGGAGGAAGAGCAAAGGAGATCGAGCAGAGGAAGGATGCAGAGAGAGAGAGATGTGGAGGCAGTGAAAAGGAATTAGAGAAGATGCTCAGCAGAGAATGAGAAGGATGAAGAGCTAATTAAGAAGCTGTGAAGAGAGATTTTTCAAAATGAAGTGAAGAGAAGGTTACCATCAGAAAGTGTCTGTGTTTATTTTTTCCCCTCAGATAGAAAATGCCTAGCTCTCAGATAAGAATTTTTCCTAAACCCTTGGTACTCTGAGGTCTTCTTTTTGCTACCCTGGAGCAGAATGGGAGCTGGTCTCTTGGTCTCTGATACTAAAACTCCCAAGGAATTTTAAATGATACTATAAAATACTATGCTCTCAAACATTTTGTAAAACATGACCATCCTTCAAGTGTTCTTAAAGAATATCATAAAGAACTGTTGGAGAGAAAGAAAAAATAATAATATGAACAACACAGTCTTTAAACCTACTGAAGAGGGGCCGATGAGTTCAGTAGGCAAAAGGTGCTTGCTGCTATGCCCAATGACCTGAATTTAATCCCTGGGACCCTCACTTGGTCTTCTGACAACCACATGTATACCTTGGCACACCCACCAAACTCCTTACCCCAATAAACAAACAGACAAATAAATATTTCTTAAAAAAAAAAAAACGTACTGAAGAGGAATGACTTCAGGTAACCACCCGGTAAGTGCATGGATAATGGTGAATTCTCCCAGCTCTCGCCTCTGTGCCATATGGATGCTAAAAAGAAATGCATGGTGCTGTAGTTAACAATGATTGGAAACACATAACAGTAAATAAAGACTAGGAAACACTCTACCCAGCATCATAGTAATCAATGTAGGGGGTCACACCGGCTGCACATCCCAATGTGAAGGAATGTTATCTCACAAACCAGATGCTTTTAATTTGTTAAAAAGGCCTAAGTAAACCCAATACTAAGCTTTCAAATGTATTTTGAAAAAAATGAATATATTATTTTTGTTGTTTTCATTTGTTAAGGGTGTCACATATTAGAACTATTTCTTTAAAAGCTCTAAAATTTCCATTAATTTCCTGAACATAAAACATATTCATATTATATAGTGTAAAAATTTAACTCAATTATATGTTCTATGTGTGACTCTGTTCTCTTCAAAGTGGAGCGGTTTTACCATTCTAATTGCAGAGATTATGTTGAGATACCCATGATGACTCAAGAGAAGTATGAGGAATCCTTAGTAAAACTTTGACAGTGAAGGAGAAAACAGAAATATGTCATCCATCGTGTAAATGATTAGATCTGGCAGTGTGACATAAAGTCAGAGGTTGCCTTTAACCAGATACCATGCCCTGCTTTGGTCCTTCTGCCTATGTGTGCTTTCCTTGGGTGGTTAATGTGTTTACATGTACCTTAGTCAATGTAGAGAAATATCACAGCCGCTTCCAGCCCAGAGTGAAGAAGGCACAGTGTACCCTGTGCCAGGCATGGTGTTAATGATGCTGACTGACCAACACACATCCTTCTCTTTGGAAAGAATTCACAGCATGTCAGTAATGCAGCCCACGGTTTATGGTTTTGCACTGGCTTGTTTAATGGATTATGAATCCTGATGCCTCTGCATTCCTCAAAGACAACATAAATCTGGTGTGTGGTTCACTGTCTCCCCTAAACACCTCTGGTAATTTCATTTTATGAGTGACTTTGCAAGCCTTATGGAAACGATGCTCATTTCTCTCCATATTCTACCTGGGTATGTAAATCATTGCACTGTTTTAGGTATGTCTGTAGAAAGTTAAACCTCACATGTAAAGTCAAATCTGAGATGAATTTATAGGAAAAATATAAATGGTATCATGTAAGGCAGTTTCTACTAGAAATCTTTAAAAATGTACTGTACTTTAATTAGTCTTTTATTTCCAAGCTAGCTTTGTTTCTTTATTTTAAAAGAATAACACTATTAGTCTTGTTCTTAATGAATTCCACTGGACCATGGCTTCACAACAAATGAAATGTTGTTGCAGCTATCTGGGCCATCTATTCAATGCTTCACCAGCCTTGCAGCTCCAATTCTTAGGAACACTAAGAGCATTATCCTTATTTTCCCCCCAAACAAACAGACATAACTGCCACCAATGGAAATACTTAGTAATATTTACCTGCCTAAAAGAAAAAAAATAATAATCTGGGCGAAGTTTTAGAAAAATCATTGAAATGTAGGACTGAAAGCCGAGTGAAACAAATTATCAGTAGAAACTGAGGTTTAACAAGAAAAAATGAAGAGACTGATAATAGTGGTGGCCGTTTTGTTATGCAGCCTTGAGAGACAAAAGGAAGCAGAGTCAAAAGGATATCTACAAAAGCAGCCCTGGCATCTGAACGGTATTGCTAATGCTTCTTAGAGAAGGGGAGGGGTTGAGCTTCGAGCACAGGGCTGACAGGGTCTGCTAAGTCGGAGCGTGAGTTCTGTGGAGGATGGAGTTGCTATGGCACATGCAGGAAGTTATTGAGATCAGGCTCCTGCAGCGTGAGTAAGGACACATCCACTGAGTTGTACAGTGGCCAAGCGCATCCACTCCAAGGTCTGAGCCTTGTTTTCACGGTGAGTTATCCTGAAAGGACCAGAATGGAAAAAAGGATTGTCTGGAAGACATGGCAGACTTATACGTGGAGTGCAAAGTCTTGTTGGTAGATAAATATAAACAGATTTTGCAAACATACTGAAACAAATGAGTAGATGTCATCATGATGCTATCAGGTGGTCAATGGGAACAAAGGCCTGAAGAGCACTTTGTTATCCTAAAGGGTTCAGGATTTCTTAAGATCTATACAGTATACTGCATATACAGATTCTAAAGCATTAATTGGATCTTAGTATATATTATTCATCATTTAGGTGATTTAATATATTCCCCTAAGAAACAATTTCTCTCATTAACATGAAACATTTCCCATGATATACTTTCCACTTCTAGTAAGAAGTCATTGTGTATAGAATGATTTTTGAGTGTTCTTTCTTTGGATAGTTTTGTCTTTTACCCACTTAAGCCAATACTTCAAACCAGTGCACTGGGCACCTCAACTTTTATATTTGAAAGTTTACACTGTTTAGAAGAAAAAAGTCTTTAAATTGTTAAAGGCTCAGCATGGATGCAGGTGCCCTTTTGTTTTCACACAAATACATTATAATTTCTCATTACATACTCAACATTTGCCAGCTTAATGATAGCTTTAGACAGTAGCATTGGCCAGAGTTCAAATGCATAGGTTGTAGATGGAAGCAACAGATTGTTATCCTCATCAAAGGGAAAAAAGTCATCAATAGTTATCTTCCTCCAGCAACCCTAAAGATGAGAAGAAAGCCATGTGACATCATCAGTGGTGTACAGTGCTCTCCCCCTTGAACATTACTACATATTTCTCTTTCATTAACAAATAAACAAAAACCTGGTGTTAACATCTTATGGTAGAACACTGAGATACAGGTTTCAGAACCAATCTGGCTGACCATTTTAGCTTCTGAAATGTATTATAGCATATCTATAGTGATATCAATACTGTTCCTTCTTTTGGAGGTCTTATGTGCTGTGGATATCTGTATGCTGTGAATGTGTTGCTCTGATTGGTTAATAAATAAAGTGCTGATTGGCCAGTAGCCAGGCAGGAAGTATAGGTGGGACAAAGAGAGAGGAGAATTCTGGGAACAGGAGGGCTGAGTCAGGAGATGCTGCCAGCCGCTGCCATGAGAAGCAAGATGTGAAAGCAGAATTGGGAAAAGGTACCAAGCCATGTGGCTCAACATAAATAAGAATTATGGGTTAATTTAAGTGTAATAGCTAGTCAATAGTTAGCCTTAGCTAATGGCCAAACAGTTTTAATTAATATAAGCCTCTGTGTGCTTACTTGGGTCCACAGTCCCCTGGCAGGACTGGAGATAACTCCAACTACACTTATGAACATTTAATGAAATAAAAATGTTTCAAATAGAAGAATGAAAACATGATTCAACCAAAAATAAGGCTGAGCATAATATACTTTGCACAGTCATCATATAAATTCTTTAAATATTACCTTAGTAATTACTACTGATTCAGACATGTGCTTACTAATCTTAGACTCCAGTTCAATATTTTGAGTACTCTCAGTTAATCATCTAATTTTCAACATGAAATAAATTAATATTTTCTTTAACCAAACCATTGTATGTTTAATTAAAAGCTCTTCATTTCATAATTAAAAGCATGAAGCAAATGATCTTATGATTTTTTTTGTTTTAGCTTATATGCCTAGATTCTTATAAAGTCACTCTTGTGTTAATAAATATTTTCAGTAGTAACATCAAGCATTGTGAGCCCCATAATATTCATGATGCATGGCTAGGGCTACTGCCATTAAATACTTATGATCTAGTGTGTAAAGGTTTACATATAAACAATATAAAACAGTATGTTCAAAACATTCCAGGGACAGAGGAAAAATGCAACTCATTTTGCTAGAGGGAAGTCATGAGAAGGTGACATTTGAAATATTTTCCTTGTATGGTATTCATAACCCTGAATCCAATTATTACCTTATTTAGTAGCTTGTACCTGTCCCTTTAACCTCAATAGACAAAGCAGGGCAGGATAGAGTTAAAGTTATAGGTTAAAGGCAGCCCCACTCTTGCAACTTTAGGTGAAAAAACAGCAACAACAAATTCATGGAGAAATAAGGTAAATACAAGATGGTAAGTGTTTCACTCACTTAAGTACCTTTAAAAAGACAGGCTCACTGTGATGGTTAAATTTAACTGTCAACTTGATACAACCTAGAGTGACCTGGAAAGAGGGTCTCAGTGAGGGATTGTCTAGATCAGACCAGCCTGTAAGGAACTTTTACTTAATTGGGTTGACTGAAGTGGAAATATCCAGTCTGAAAGTGGGCAGTATTACTCCCTGGTTTGGACCCTGGACTAGGAATAGAGAAAGCTAGCTGATCATGAAGCTGTACACCTTTCTTCCTTTCAGCTCCTGGCTATGGGTGTGATGTAACTAGATGCTTGAACTCCTGCCTCAGCTTTCCTGCGATAACAAACTATAATCTGTAATAACTGTAAAGGCAAACAAACCCATTCTCCCTTATGTGGCTTTCTGCCAGGATAATTTATTATAAAAACAGAAATGAAAATTAGGACACTCATGGAGATAGAAAGTGGTCATCAAGGGGCACAGTGAGAAGCAAGTAAAGTCTTGATTTGGTGAGTACACAGTCTCTGCTTCAGATGATGGGAAATTAAGGAAATAAGTAGTGATAGTTTTCATAAACTGTAAAAATACCTATTGTAACTTACTTTTACCCTTAAATGGTTAAAATGGTTGTCAAATTGGCATATTTTGCCACAATAAAAAAAAAGCATTGATAGGTCCCCTCTCACATTGACTGCAAATCGTGTTTCAAGTGGCCAACTGGATTCCCATGAAAGAAGAATTTTAAACTATCCTCCATAATTATACTAAAGCAATTCAACAAGTACCCTCTCTTGTCAGATGCTCAAAGATATTTTTCAACTAAGAATGCTTTGATTATTGAACTGTGCACATTACATTGTATGCAATTATATTTCAAAGTCTATTACATAAAAAGTCTATTATAACACAGGGGTGAACACTTAGTATTGTGCATATTTCTAAAGTATAATTTGACTAGACTTCGTACTATTCTCTTGGGAATATTTTGATTCATTGGTATTATATTTTGGTTGACCCCTTCCTCAAATATTTCATGTAGTGGACAGCTATTCATCTTTGACCTTGAAGCATCACTCCTAGAGATGCAGCAGGTAACTGCTCTCTACCTGCCTATGACCTTGAAGTACATGTGCCTCTTGGTACCCTTAAGATCTGAGATGCACATAGCAGGCTCTCAGTCCCCTCATGGGACTTGATGCTGGGACAGTCTCAGGTGCAGAAGAACAGCATGGGACCTTGTCTCACCATTTCCAGGACCCTGCAATAATTCTGTTCTGTACAGTGAGTTTTTCTCCCCTAATAAATTCCTTTGCCCTTTAAACAGACTCTGTGGATTTCTCGGATTAATTTCATGTATTTGTGTATACATAGGTAATTTATATAGATAATTATTTTGCCTTCAAAAATCATGTTGAAACTTTAACAGCCAATACATTGGTACTATGAGGTAAGGAATAAGGATGGGTGAGGAAAGATTCATGAAAATACTTGTATCCTTATAAATAGATAAAGATTTGAGTTCTCTTGTGTCATATGAGGTTATACAATCAGCTGGTTACTTGGATTTCTGGCAATTTCTGTTGTTGGTTAAGTTACACAGTATACTATATTTTATTATCAAAGTTTAAATGAATATATGTATGTGTATACAAAATTTAAGAACTCATCATTGAATACTGAATGATGTTTTGATTTGGTATTTTACTATTTTATGTAAATCATATAATGGATATTTGAAAATGTTTATTAGCACCATATCATTTCTTTAAAAAAAATCTCAAATTTTTCAGTTTTTAAAGATACTTCTAAAAAGGTATCCTCTGTGATCATTAACCTTCATTGTCAACACATTTAGGCTTAGAATCACCTAGGAGATTAGTTAGACCACACATATGAGGGTGTTAAAGAAGTTGTTTCCAAAGAAGATTAATGACAAGACCCACTCTCAATGTAGGCGGTACTAAATGGGAGGTCTCGGTAGCATCCAAGAGGGGGAAGGGAGAAGCCAACCAAAGGCAGCATTTCTTTCTCTGCTTAATGGCCCATTATGGCGTGATCTCCTTGGCTCCACCACACCCTCCCACCAGCAGGCTGAGCATTCTAAAATAGTGATGTAAAGTAAAGCTTTCCTCTTATAATCACTTCTGTCAGGTATTTCTCTTAGTGTTATACAAACAAAATAAGCAATATGGATATATATATATATATATATATATATATATATATATATATATATATAACCGGAATAAATAAAACTACAAATATAGATTATAAAAATATTTTAGTATATCATACTCAAATTTTAATATTTTCCACAATTAACTTCTAGGTGAATGACTACCCATTTATGCTGTCTTAAATAATGTGTTATGATGAAAGCATAACACATTATTTAAATTAATAGTATGAATTACAACTCAAAAAAAATCAAGAAATAAGTAATCATTGGAAAGATATTTTAGCAAACAGTTGAGTGATCAAAACTGCATAGACTAGGCTCTGTCAGACTTTACCCTGCACCTCCACGGCAGTAACAGTGACTTTTCTCCCACGCAGAGCCTGAGATGTCAATATAGACCAGTAGATACACTCACAGAATACAGAAAGTGAAATCATTAAATAAGAAACTTAAAGCAACAATCCTAATAATGTCCCACCAAATAATTGTGAAAACTCTTAAATGAAATTCTTAGCAAAGATGTAGAAAGTATAAAATATTAAATTAAAATTAAAGATTCCTCCCTCAGTGAGAGCAACAGTCCATAGGCAGCATAAAGATTGCCAAAGTGAACATTAGAGTTGCAGAAATGAACAGGGAAAAATAGACCAAGAATGACATAAGACTCAGACTTGAGAGATGACACAAAAATATTCAATATCCATGTTTTGGAGTCACAAAAAAAAGAGAGGAAAAAGAATGAGGACCTAAAAATACATTTGAAGAAATTATGGCTGAAACTTCCCAAATTTTTTTTCTAAAATATAAACCTGTGAATTAAAGAAGTCTAAAGTAACCCAAACAGGATAAATGCAAGTAAGTCTACAGCCAGTTCTATCAAGTTCAAACCTCTGAAAAGTGAAAAGAGAGGATAGAATCTGGAAAGCCTAAAGCAAGAACAGACAGGTTATCTGAGGACTGAGCAGAGTGGAAAACACAGTAAGCACCATCTCTCACACACTGGAAGAAAAGAGCTGTCAACTTAAGCCCTGGCACCAAGGTCAACATCTTTAAGAAATAAGAATGAAATAAAAACATCCTCAGATATAAAGAAAATAAGGCAGTTTCTTACCAAGAGACTAACTCAGAAACACTGAAAGGGGAGGGTTCTCCAGGAAGGAAACTGGAGTGAAAGGAATCAGCACAACAGCATGAAGAAAGCTAACAGAAAATAACTAACACCTAGGCAAGATGAAGGAGTATTTTTCTCCAGATCTTTTAAAATTGTATTTATGATGTGGTCTGGAAAGAGAAAATTAAATCCCTTGCTACCCAGTCATGAAGACTAGACTTCTGTTCTTATCACTTACATCAGGCAACTGACAACAGCCTGTAAATCCAGCTCCAAAATGTCTTATCGCCCTCTCCTGGCCTCCATTGGCACCTGCATGCACATGCACATACACACAGAGAGACACAAACATAACTAAAAATAAAATAAATCTTTAAGAATTGTATGATGAAGTTCTCAAGATATTCAGAAAATATTTAAGAAAATGATCTCAGGAAGGGGAGATGTGTGAAGGTTCTGAAATGGTGGCAAGGTATTTAGATGCCAATTCAAGTGATAAAATGTTGCTATTAAGGGCTATGTAAAGCTTTCTGTGTATATTTTAATTTCTGGAAAAATAAATATACAGAGTATGCAGAAAATAAAGGCAGAAAAACTGAAACAAAATCCTAAAGAACAACCAAGGTCAATACAGAAAGTCAGAATAGGTAAACAAATTTCAAAATAAGAATGGTAACAAAGAATAAAACGGCAACTTAATTTGTAATTCTATCTAGTATAAATGACTTTTAAACCCAAAATGAGTAATTTGAATATATTTATAAAAATGAATATTTTCATATTCATAATGGAGTAATTTCACATAGAAATACTAGAGAAAAAACACCATCCCATTGGGCAAGATTTACACACAAAGCTTCTCATGTGCAGCCTTACTTGTATAGGTAAAATGCTGGACATAGCCTTAGCATTTATTAATGGAAATTTAACATAAATTTGCATGCATTTGTTTATATGTCCGTAGACTAGTGGACAGAATATACAAAAATATCAGCATAGAAAATGACCCTGGTTAAATGAGTGTGTAGTTTAGAGAACTGTATTATTTGACCATTCTGGTATACAGTATGTTTATGTATGCTTATAAGAACACAGGATGGGGTAGAGAGATGGCTCAAAGGTTAAGAGCACTGGTTGCTCTTCCAGAGGTCCTGAATTCATTTCCCAGGAATCACATGGCAGCTCACAACCATCTACAATGAGATCTGGTGTCCTCTCCTGGTGTGCAGGCCTACATGTAGGCAGAACACTATATACATAATAAATAAATCTTTAAAAAAGAAAGAACACAGGAAAATATAGTAGAAATACCTGAATCATTGATTGTGATTGTCTATATATGTTAAAATTACAAAGAACTCTGATTTTCTATATTGAATATTGTGGTGATATTTTGTTTGGACTCCAACAAATAAAATTTTCCTGAAGATCAGAGGACAGAGCCAGCCACTAGATTAGACATAGAAGCCAGGCAGTGGTGACACACATCTGTAATCCCAACACTTGGGATCTCATGCCTTTGCTCCCAGTATTTGGGAAGCACACATGCCATAATCCCAGGACTAGAAAGGTTGAGACAGGAAGTTATAAGGCTGGGTGGAGAAAGGCATTTAAGGCAGGAATGTAAGGATTATGTCCTTATTACGTCACCAGCCTGCGATGGCGTCCCAGCCTAAAAAGCGGGCATGCCCTCTCTGTGCTCCCTCTTTTTGTTTTCTTTTTTTTTTTTTTTTTTTTTTTTTTTTTTTTTTTTGGTTTTTCGAGACAGGGTTTCTCTGTGTAGCTTTGTGCCTTTCCTGGAACTCGCTTTGGAGACCAGGATGGCCTCGAACTCACAGAGATCCGCCTGGCTCTGCCTCCCAAGTGCTGGGATTAAAGGCGTGCGCCACCACCGCCTGGCCTGCTCCCTCTTTTTGTATTCTCTCTCTCCGTATTCCCTCTGTCCTCCACATGGCGCCCCTCTCTCTCCTCTCTCTCTCTCCTCTCTCTCTCTCTCCTCTCTCTCTCTCTCTCTCTCTCTCTCTCTCTCTCTCTCTCTCTCTCTCTCTCTCTCTCTCTCTCTCTCTCTCTCTCTCTCATAAAGGTCTAGAAAGGTAATCATGGTTCGTGATTCTTCTGCCACTGCAACATCCAGCGTTCTCTTCCATCAGCATGGCCGCTGCAGGCGGCTGCCAGCCATGAGCACTGCCATGTAACCAACAAGGAGGAGACAAGAACTCAGTCCCTTTAGGCTGAGGACTCAGGGGCATTCAGTCTGAGGATTCATGGAGACAGGCTCTTCCCCTTTTGCCCGAGGAAGTGGTGAGGTGAGGTTGGCTGTGGCTTGTTTACTCTGATCTTTCAGCATTTACCCCAATATCTGGCTCCAGGTTTTTATTATAAGACCAATTAGGATTCGTGCAACAGAATATGTTAGTAGTAGTAGAATTTGCCCACTAAAAGCATATATAATAATAATAAAATTTAAATGTATAATTTCTTTGGGAAAATATAGTAACTGAGTAATAGAAAAAGCATTTGTCATTGTTTAATATCTTGAGTGCACTGTTCATTAAGTTTAATTAATAAAAATATCATTGAGAATTTATTTTAAAAGCAGGATTGTAGGTGTTGCTTGATGGCTGACGCAGCTATTCTAGCAGATGGGAGATGAGGACAGGACAGTCCAAGGCCATCCTACACTGTGAGTTCAAGGCCAGCCAGTGCAAATGAGACTCGGTCTCAAAAACAACACAGCAGAAAACAAAGCAATATTGCAGCCTCAGGTCCCAGGTGGATTCAGCTGGTCAAGGAGAGGGGTGGAGCATGGGAAGCAGGGATTTGAAGTTCCCACATGTTTGTGCTGGAATTTCGCTGTACCTCACAGTCCAAGAAACTCTAAATCAGATGACGTGAATGAAAATATAAAGCTCAGTGAGGAATAACAACAAAAACATTTTTCACATAAATACATTGGTAACAACTGGGGGAGGGGATTATTGGTCTCCGTGTATGTGTTATCTGTTTATCAGAGGCAGATGAAAGCAGAGACAGAGGGAGGCTGCCCACAATGGGCTGTATTTCAAGTGGGGAACAATAGCTAAATTGCTTCTCTCTCTCCTCTTGGGAGCCAAAGCAATATGGAAATTAGGAGGAACTTGGAAAGATGCCCTGTGTCCCTGCGTCCTGTCATTATGGCCAGATGGAAGAGGAAACCAACCTCTCTCCTTTATGCACTGTTCTCAGTGTGACCTGGTACGTCAAAGAACCTTGTGCAACTAGCTAAGAATCCAGGCTGAATGTGATGTGAATACTTTGCTGAGAAATAATATCCTGGTATGAAAATCACAATTAATTACTTACTTGATGTTCCAGTACTGGGGATTGGACCCAGAACATTAGTTAGGCATGCACTCCACCACTTAACTATATGCTTCGTTGGGTTTGTTTGTCTGTTTGATTGACTGATTGACTGATTGATGGTTTTAACTTTTTATTTTGGGAAATTTGCCCATGCTAGCCTTGCACCTAATCTGTAGCCCAGACAGGCCTTGAACTTCAGGACCTCCAGCTTTAGCCTCTTAAGTTTGGGGGACAACAGGCCTGCATCACTAAAGAGGGCTTTTTTTTTTTTAATCATAATTTGAAATATTAGAGGCTCCGAGCAAATGGGTTGCCTCCTAGAAGTCATGATGGAAAAGGCTCTGAGGGACCTGAGAAAAGAAGGAAAAGAATCTCAGTAAAAAGGCAGAGAAAGGAAATCAGTTTCGGAGTGAAAAGAAAACATTATGGCAGAGAAAGAATGAGCGAGGGGAGGAAGAGCAACGGAGGGCAAAACCGTGTCTGCCGCACATCACACTGAATCAGCAGAAGGGAGCCAAGTGTTTTTAGGATCATGTTTTACAAATCTTTGCAAAAGATAGACAAGTACGAGTACTGCATGAGAACTGGAAGAGATTTTTCAAGATCAAAACATAAATGGTTTGTGTCTGGAAATGGACAAGAACAGGGGTGTGGGGTGGGGAGGAGTACAGCTATCTTGTCAGAAAGAATCTACTCAAGCTCTTTACCAATGGTAATGTGTGCACACACTGGTGTGGATGGACCCTCCCAGCTTGGGTTTGCTTAGAAAGAGGCAGACAGACGTTCTTCCCTCGCTGAGAGACAACAGACTTCTATCAAATGGAAGAAGAAGTAGTCATTAATCTATAGCACGCTGGTAAAAATAACCCACATGAAAATCCCTGAGTTGCAGTGCTTGCCTGCTGAGCAGCACCCCTGCAAGCTGCTGTTTGGCTGAGACTAATGAAGACTCACTGGAAATCAATGAACCCCACACTCATTCTGACTGCCCAGTCACACTCCTACCAGTATCCCAATAGAAGGCGAACCTTCACAGAGAAAATCAGAGATTGCCTACTTGAACTAAATACTGTGGGTTTTTTTTAATTCTCATTTCTTATTTTAATAGGAAGAACAGATGAATTCAAAGGCACAGGAGCTTGAATAACTTACCATCCAGTAAAGCTTCACAACATACTTCCCATATGCATTAAACAAAGGCATGTGGCCCTTCACGGCCTTGCAGAGAGAATATATGTGTTCCCAGGGCTTCCAGACCAGACTAGGAAGCTCTCCCGAATTTCCTTTATAGTAATTGTTCAGAATCCCTCCATTGAATATCTTCCACACAGCGTAGATTTCACTGATAATCCACCTCATAAGCTGAACACAAAACAACAAAAGCCACTAGTATTGATAGGTTATTTTTTTAAAAAAATGATGGGTACTACAGTTTTAAGTGAAATACGATAGAAATGTTTCTAAGAGTAACAATAAATTTTACATATGGTATATTTATCATTTTGATTTCTGAGCTACAGAAAAAAGTCATAGGTCTTGATTTTGTTTCCATGAGAAAGAGTAACAAATAAAATTAAAAGGTCTAAAAAGGTTAACTGGACACTGACCTTGAGTTAGTAGAGTGTATATATGTACTATATACAGACAGTATATACACTGTGTGTGTATATATATTGATATACTGAATCACTAAAATTGTATTTTATAAATACATAAATAGATACAATTTTTAAATAAAAAATAAAAACCCCACTCAATTGTATCATGACTTAAAAGTGAACAAGAGTGAGTTGCTGGCGGCTGTCCAGGAGCTGTTTCTGTAGACAGGACTAGAAGACAGTCCTCAAATGGGCAGTGGACCCTGTGGCCTAACTTACCTCACTGCAGAGTAAATGTTCATTTGGTGAAAACAAGTCAAACGTGATTTCGTTTTTCACAACTACAGGAGGCTGAAATTAAAAATGTAGACATAGAGATTTGTTTTTTAAAAAAGGTAAAAGAAACCTAACTTATTAGAAGACAGTTTTGTGGGAGAAGTAGTTCTCTCCAGGGAAGAGCACATTAACTGGTTATCTAATACCAAAAGTCCTGAGTGATATAATCTACTCCTGAATGTTTCAGATCACCACACTTTATTAAGCTAATAACAAATATACTGAGTCCTCTAGCAGACTGATGCAGAGAGCCTAGTGCCTGGGAATACTCTTGGCAGCCAGGAAAAGCAGGATAAGGTCTTTAAAGTCAAAGGCTGAGATTACATCGTACCAGGTGCAGGATTTTTACAAGTAAGCTTTGATCTTATAAAAACATCACACAAGGCCATTCCTCCAGAGGAATCTAACGATTTGTACACATCAGGACCCCTTCTCAGCAGGAAAGAGGGCCCCTTTTTGGTGTTGTGAAAAAAATCCTGCTATCAAGAGTAGGGACCAGCCATTCGTTTACAGGCAAATGTGGCTCCCAAGGGGAGGAAGTGGGGTCAGGGCAATCCGCCCTTTCTTAAACAATTTCACTGAAAAGCATACATAGGAGCAGCATTATACAGACTCAGCAGGTTATATTTAGGAATATATATATATATATATATATATATATATATATATATATATACACACACATATACATATATGCATGTAACAGCAACTAATAAAAAGTGGGGTGTGTGGACATGTTTGGGAAAGGGAAGGGTGAAATGTTGCAATTTATAAAAGAAAAGAAAAAATGAGATTAGCTTCATGAAACAGTTGGAGGGAAGGAAGGTGTTGTAGACCAACTCTCATACAAGAAGGTCATTATTATATGGGATTTTTTCTGTTTGCTTTAACCTTAGAGTATACTTAATGATTTTTATTGTGAGTCTATACATCAAATCTTGAAACCCTTATTTAGGGATTTCCTCAAATAGACCTTCACTTCTGGAAACTCTGGGCCCCATTCTAGAATAATCTATTAAGCGAAACCTCTGTGGAAGACGAGAGGCGGTGTGCAGGCTGATGACCTGTTATGATGCACAGAGATGGAGAGGTTTCAGGGAAGACTGGATTTATTTTTAGTACAAATATAACTCTTAGACCCACTGTCTACTAAAAAGTAGAGGAAGTTGTTCTTAAAACATCTATTTATTCAATTTATAAGACCATTTTTTTTTGCACAGAACATCAATGATGAATTTATAGTAAGCAGAACAAGATTTATTAAAGACCTATCAAAGTCAATTGCATTATGTGAGCAGCAGAGAATTTATATTCATATCAATGTTGTTCGATATTAAAACTGTTTTTGAAGCATGTTTTGTGCATAATGGACTTATTAGAAATGTCATAGAAGCATTCAAAAGACACTGTTGTTTTAGTAAATTGCTTTGGATGTAGATACAACTACCTTTCAATTAGTAAGAGGTCTGAACTACATTTCCCCGCATTAGTACCAACACTGATGAAGGCTAACACTTTGAAAGACAGAAACTACTTTGTGTGGAAACACAGACTCAATAGACTACAAATGCACACAAGAATTGGCTCCATTACAAACTATTTGACTGGTACTAATTAATTTACCCTACTGGTGTTCAATGCATTCAATGAAAACAATAAGAAATTTAGCAAGGAGAAAAGCATTAGTGATAATTAAAACCCTGCAGATAAGAAATACACTCAAATTAATGTGGCTATTAAGGTGTTGGACTAACGTTTGAAAGTATGTGAGAGCTGTTTGATATGAAGGTGTCTCCACAAAGGTATGATTCAACTGACTGAGCATGGAGTCTAGAAATGGAGACAGGCTTCAGAAAATGCTTAGAGGATCCCTGGAAGATGGGAACCCAAGTGCAAATCTCTTGGACTGGAAAATTAATTCTAATAAACAATGGAGGGAAGAGACCTTCACACCCTATGATTTCACACTGAGACACAGAGTGGAGCAAATCCACTAGTCACAAATAACAAATAACTTTGTGCAACATTTTTGGCTATAATTTGACATTTTGGATAGAAGTAGAAAAAAATCAAGCCTCTAGACCAAACCACAGTAATATCTTTGAAATCTATACAAGAAATGTTATTAGTGTGTGTGTGTGTGTGTGTGTGTGTGTGTGTGTGTGTGTGTATGTGTGTGTGTGTGTGTGTGTGTGTGTGTGTGTGTGTGTGCACATGTGCACGTGTGCATGTCCATATGTGTGCTGTGATGCCTGGGTGGGATGTGTAGAGAGCAGGGAGCAACCTTGGATGTCTTCCTCAGTCATTGTCCACTCTGGATTTTGAGTCGGGGTTTTGCTTTTACCTGAAATGCATTAATTCAGCTAGGCTGGTTGGCTAGTGAGCCCAGAGGTTAGTTAGCCTGTGTATCCATCCCCAGTGCTGTGGTCACAAGCCACATGCTGCCACACGAACCCACGCCCTCATGCTTGCACAGAAAGCACCTGACCAATGGAGCCATCTCCATAGTCCCACCCACAAATGAATTATTAAAATATACTGACAAATATTAATTTCTGAGTTAGAGGCTAAAAAGCAATAACTTTTGTGGTAAATCATGGGAAAAACACTGCAAAATTGCTTGAAGAATGCCAACTTTGGTCACTAAGATATTTCATCCTTGTAGGTAATAAGTGTTTCATTCAATAGTGAAAAAAATTCTTACTCTGCTAAATATAAAATCTTGCGGACGTTTCCAGGTAAAGACTTTCAATGATGGTGGTAATTCAATCTTTCCTTCAGGGTCTTCAAAAAAGTGCTAGATGAAAGAAAAAAAATAAATATTAAATTGAACTTTTTTATGTGGCTTTATTATAATAAAAATTCAATCTTAATAAAAGCCAACTAATGCAAATGTCAGATCAATATAGAAGCATTTGTAGAGCAATGTGTGTATGTTTGTCTTCAGAAAGGCCTTGTGGGATATTTGAAGAATGAAATTCAAAATGGCCAGGGAAGAACTAGGCTAACTGCATATGTTTATCCCCCAGTCCTCCAAATCTAACCCACAAGTCTCATGCCCAGCTGTCCAGCAGACCACCTGTTGTGGCCTCTGCTTTCTGCCTCTATTCCCAGGGCACTAAGCAGATCCTGGTGGAATACCCTGCTTTCCTCCCTCCTGTGGATCCCTCAAGTCCCTCCTCCTAGGCCATCCCCACTCCTACTCACTCCCGATACTTAGAAACACATTTTACCCTTAGTGGTCAACCTATCAGAATCCCAGAAGAATTTCCTACCAGGCAATACCCTATGACATTCTTCTAAAAACCAGGGGAAACAGAAACCAAGGAATAAAACATTACTCAGCGTAGAGAAAACCAGATATCTGCACCTAGAATTACAGTCTTCAAAGACCTACATGCTTAGACACCATCATAAAAACACAATTAATAACAGCCAGAACAATATGTCTCAACTAGAGCCCAGTCACCCTATAGTAGGCCCTGAGTATTCCAACATAGATGAAGCACAAGACAAAGACCTTAAAATAGACTTTATGAAGATGATGGAGGTCCTTAAAGAGGAAATGAATAATTCCCTCAAAGAAATCTATGGACACACAATCAAACAGTAGACAGAAATGAACAAAACAGGTCAAGACCTAAAAGAGAAACAGAATCAATAAAGAAAACCCAAACTAGAGAAATCTGAAAATAAAATATTTCAGAACTCACACAGGAACCTCAGAGGCAAGCCTCGCCAACAGAATACAAGAGATGGAAGAGAGAATTTCAGTCACCAAAGACACTATAGAAGAAATGGATACTATGGTCAAAGGAAATGTTAAATCTAAAACAAAAAAAAAACCTGCAGCACAACATCCAGGAAATCTGGAACACTACAAAAAGAACAAATAATATGAATACAGGAAGGAGGGGAAAACAGAAAATTCTCAAAAGAGAAACTGAAATGGCCAAGAAACTCATAAAGAAATGTTCAACATCCTTAGCCATCAAAAAAATACAAATCAAAGCTACTTTGAGATCCTATCTTACACCCTCAAGAATGGTCAAACATGCCAGGATCTTTGGTACAGGAAAGTACTCTCCACACATAACAACTTAGCCACAAACCTTTTGATTTTCCATGGTGTCCTGCCTGCAAGACATGCTAGGGCAATAGTGGCACAAGGTTTGTGGGAGCAATCAACCAATATCTGATATGCATTAAGGACCACTCCACAAGATGGAACCCATACCCACACTGCTTAGGTGATCAAGAACCTGAGACTAGAAAGCCCAGGAACCCAGTGTAAAACTAAATATTACTATTCAAAAAAAAAAAGCAGTGAAATGACTCCTAATAACATTTTTCTATACTTATGGATCAATGCCTATCTCAACCATCATCAGAGAAACTTCTTCCTGCAGCAGATGGGCACAAATACAGAGATCCACAGCCAGACATTATGCAGAGAGTGAAAGACCTGGAACACTCAACTCTAAGCACGATGTCTCCATCAATTCCCTCCACTCAGAGCTCAGGGAACCCTGTGGAAGAAAAGGCTGTAAGAGTGTAAGAGCCAGAGGGGATGGAGGACACCAAGAAAACAAGGCGTTATAAATCAACACCACCAAAGACCATATGAACTCACAGCGACCGAGGCAGCATGCACAGGGCCTGTGTGGGTATGCACCACACGGTGCCCTAGAGCTAAAAGAAGTGGACACGTGCCCCAATCCCAGAAACCATCTCTAGTTGATAACCACTTGCAAATGAAAATCTAGATTCTTCCAAGGGAATCTTACTGGGGAAACAAACTACTCTTAAGAATGGGCTGCGTGCTCAGCGGTAGCCAACAGAAAACAATCTCAAAGACATCTTAGGAGGAGCTTCCTTGACTTACAATGCCCTGTGAGGGCTTTTCCTCTTTTTACATTTTTGTTTGTTTGTTTGTTTGTTTTTCTTTTGTAGCCCTGGCTATCCTGGAACTCGCTCTGTAGACCAGACTGGCCTCAAACTCACAGAGATCTACCTGCCTTCCTAGTGCTGGGATTAAAGGTGTGTGTTACCACTGCCCAGCTTTATCTTATTCCTGGGAGTGAAATGAGTGGCTATTGATTTCTTGTGCCTTTTATTGGGCTCTTTTCCTTCTGCTTGTTTTGTCCAAATCTGATGTATTCATTTTTGTTGTATCTTATTACATTATATTTTAATATTATTTCATAGAAGCATGCTTGTTTTCTAATGAGAGCCAGAACCTGAGTGGATCCAGACAGGAAATGGGGAGGAAATGGGATGAGTGGGATGAAAGGAAACCATAATCAGGACACATGATGTGAAAAAAATTTCTATTTTTCAATAAAAGAAAAAAGTCTAAAAGAATTTTTAAAAGAATGGCATATGTCCTTGACAGAACCTTGCTTGTTGAATGAAATTTGATTGTGGACTATTGGTGAGATTCACTTAAAAATATCCACAATCACAATTGTTTTTGAAATACATCCAAGATGACCAGAATGGTTAGATTGGCTTATCACGTTTTTATTTGCATAGAGCATTCTGAAATGGTAAATATTAAAATTTAAATTCTCTCAACACAATGCAGAATCTCAGTGACTGGTTCACAAAAGGTATTTAGTAAAGGTAGTTAGTTACTGACTTTATTAGTACCTTAATGTCCAAATTAGCAATGTGTTAGGCAATGCATTCTTGGCACCATACCTAAAACGACTGTACCTTTTGATTCAAAGGGCTTGTGAACCATCTGAGTTCAAATAAAAACAAAATAGTAAGATGATTAGCAGCAATTTAAAACATGTGGGGATCTGGTGCTTGCTTGTGTGTAGATGTGTGTCTCTGTTTGTGTGTGCAACTTTCGAATTTTACAGCAGAAGGCTAGATTGGGCAAAGTCTCAGTGAAGCAATGGCACTGTGAAGCAACCTCATGAGTCAATCCTAAGTGTGGAGAAACTTCAGGGAGGGAGGGGCAATGCTTGAAAACTCTGACAGCGGACACTAAAGAAAACGCCTTTGTCCTGTGATGAAAAAAAATGCAGATTAGATTTTAGAATGTATCTGTGCTATTCAGACAAAAACTAGTCTGGGTGGAAGACGAAAGGAAAACAGAGAGACCGGAACGGTAGCCAAGTGTCTGTTTCATTTTGTAGCATCTCATGGTTAGTCAAAGGCTGAACATTAGGTGCCAAAGCAGATACCATGGGACTTTTGCTAAGGAGTCAAACCCTGGGTTCCTTACTGTCCAAAACCAGTTGCCAAACACAGCTCACTTATCTCTCATTTGTCCTTGTATTTCATGAGCACTCCATTGTATTCCCCCCACACCCCTACCTACCCCCGCCGCCATTTTCCCAGGATAAAGGCTTGGGAAAACAAGATGGGAGAAGGGATCACGGGAAAAGAAAAGCTTTCCTTTTGGAACGGAGATTAGAGAGGAGGAGGAGTGCAAACTCATGCTGACAGGTGTACCCCACTATGAATGAGCTGGGGTGCAGCTTGGGGCAGAACTTGTCTAGCATGCGCGAGACCCCGGTCTCCCTCTCCAGGACTGCAAAATCCAACCTGAAAAGCCGCCCCTGCCCACCTGCAGCCTCGGCCCCGCCTACTTACAAAGAGGGGGCTCTTGGCCGTCTTGTCCTTCTCTTTCCCTCCTTTGCCTGTATCCCACTTCTCGGCATTTATGTCCGCCTCACTCCACTCTGGCCAGATCGGGAACTTTCCCTTCTTCTGTTCAACAGAACCGGGAGGCACATTGCTGCCAAAAGGGTAAAGACTTGAGAAAGGGAAAGTGCAAGAGTCTTAGTTAAAATCTCTGAAATAAATAGGGAATGAATTGCATAACATTAAACTGAATGATTGTAAAGAGTGTATTGGGCACACTTGTCAGATACTAGCGACAGGTGACAATTCTAGAGTCAGAAAGAACCCCCAAATAGGTTAGTGCACAAGCAAATTTTAAACAGCTGTCCCTACTGACTAATACAGGCCACTCAAAAATTGGTGTGTACAGAGCACTCCCCAGTTTCACATGAACATAAAATAACTAAAATATGATCCATGCTCAAGGAGAATGTCTTACAAGAATGATAGATTTTGGAATATCCCCACAAACACGATTTTGGTTTCTGTATTAGCAAAAGTACAAAGTGATCATTATTTTGATATTCAAAAAAACTGTTAAAACTGTGAAGCACCACATTGTTTATCACCATCAGATCAAAGTGAAAATTGTAATCTTTCATTAAAAAAAAATCACTCTACATATTATATTTTCAGTTTATTCTTATATAAGTCCTGTGCCCATAATTGCTTATGTATTTTTTGCTTATTATTTTAATGATTGCATAATTTTTCTATTATATGTTTTAGTTAACTAAGCATCAATAATTTGGAATTTCAAATTATTGTAGGTTTTGTTTTCAAAAGCTTTTTAATTTATTTGTTTTATTTATTTATTTGTTGGTTTTTCCGAGACAGTTTCTCTGTGTAGCTTTTTGCACCTTTCCTGGAACTCACTCTGTAGCCCAGGCTGGCCTTGAACTCACAGAGATCCGCCTGCCTCTGCCTCCCGACTGCTGGGATGAAAGGCGTGCGCCACCACCACCTGGCAGCTTTTTATTTTCATAAACAAAACTATGGTAGATCTCATTGTTGCTATAAATCTTGCACACATTTTTTTCTGTCTCCTAATTTGTCTCCTAATTTCTGTCTCCTTCTAGGCCCCTCCCTGCCTGGTACGTGTGGAAGCCCCAAGGGAAATGGAATGACTTCATTGTGGAGGGAGTGGGACCTCACAAGCACCCACAGAGGCTCAAAATAGACTGGTTCCCAGACGCTTTCTCTGTGTCCCATGAATTAGCTAGCAGGGCCTTTCCTAGGCTTTGTCCCACAGGATTACTCTGATGTTCCCTGGGTTGGTCTGGGCCTCACACTTTATCGACTTGGGCACCCTAGGTCCCTCGGTAAGTACTTTCTGAGTACCCTTTCAGCTGGCTGATGGTGCTGTGCACCCTTTTCCTCAGGAGAACTGGGAATCTAGGTTGGCCTCTGCCAAGGCTATTCCAACGAAGGTTTGCAGAGCTGTGCTTTCACCTGAATCCTCTGAGAAGCAAGAATAGTTCAGATTCAAGCCAGGTCATTTCTTTATCAGGGGAGGTAGAGGAAATGATTGGCAAGCGTTATGCTCTGGGGACAGCCAAATCCTGCCTGCGTGGTAACAGGTCCCTCCCCACAGCAACTGTGAGCCAGTGGATGACCAGAACTGAAGTTCCCATTGCAATGCTCAGTGGTGAGGTCAGTGTCCTTATCCATGCCTGCCTGCAGCGACAACAGTCCACACTTCCGGTTGAAGAGTCTGCATTTCTGTCCGCTGTGTCCCAGCAGTCTCTGCCAGTGTCTCCTAGAGCAGGCCCCTTCGTGCCTGCTGGCAGAAGTTGAAATGCCCCCTTTCTCACTTGTGCTCGGAACCTTTCCCCACATGTGTTAAAACGAAAGATTGTGTGACACTGCCGAGACTTGCGTGAGAGGACTCTGTCGTCTTCAGTTCTTCATTTTGGGATTCCGAGTTCCCCATTCTTTACACAGGTTTTCTGTTTTGTTTCTGTTTTAAATCTCAGTCAGCTATCTGGTTAGAAAATAAAGTCTTGGGACATACTCATTGTTAAAGAATATCCCTAAGTAGCATGTCAGAATATATAAGAGGTGAGGAGGCAAAGAATACATTTTCAGGAAAAATAGAAAATTCCAAACTATTAATAGAGAAATCTTGGCAAAGGACAGGTTTTTACGACATTATGTTCTATTGGTGCTGCTACAGCCTATGGGTTAAAAGAAATGATGACTATATCAAAAAAGCAGAGATAGGGTTACCGTACTTAGAAGGTTAACAGTCTTGTTTTAGAACAGGGTCTCTCTATGTACTCTTGGCTGTCCTGAAACTCCCTCTGTAGACCAGGCTGACCTCAAACTTAAGAGATCCACCTGGATTAAAGGTTGTGTGCCACCACACCTGGCTCTGGAGTTAACAGTCTTAAAGGCTCTTTTTAAAAGGAAGATTTCATTTTTTAAGAAATAAGGCTCTTCTAATATTTATTTCTCTCTTCAGTATGTCACACATAAGTCAATGCTTCCTCTTCAAGCTCTTAAGCTTTGTAATTAACTGGCTGCCTTTCCTTGGAACACATCAAATGTATTTCAATTACATTGAATATTACTTAAAAAGATTTCATTGAATGATGTTAAACTAGTCTATGGGATCACTTGTAGTGTTAGGCAAACGTGACAAATAATGTTCAAGTACAGCCCAAGGTCAAACATACTGAGGACTTCAAATAGTCTTCTTGAAAGGCTGCTCATTAAATCCTCTGCAGAGTGTGTGTGACTTTGAAGTTGGCTGGCAGAATCAAGCAACTGCTCTAGTATGGATGTGATCCTTTTAAGTATTCAAAGGATCTTGTGCCTGGTTTCATCATTTCTAAGAAGAAAATAATTTTTAAAGTGTGCTGTATGTTTTTAAAATTGTAATTGTATGAGTGTTTTACCAGAGTGAATGTATGTGTACCACATGCCTGGTGCCTGTGGAAGTCAGAAGAGGGCAGGCAATGGATCTCCTGGAACTAGAGTTATAGTTAGTTGTGAGTCACCATGCAGGTGTTGGGAACAGAATCCTGGTTCTCTGCAAGAGCAGCAAGTGCCCTTGATCGCTCTACAATAAAGGAAGATTTAGGAACTTGTAATACTAGAAAAACATGTTGCCAAGTTTTGGAAAATTCAAATCCGTAATATCAAAAACTAAAAATCATTCACAGTTAATTTATCTAGCAATACACCCAAATACTAGTAAATGACATCACATCATTAAAATCACAAGCTGTACCAAGAATTCAAATATAGATGCATTTGATGGAAACGTTTTTCAAAAACTTATTACAAGCCAATGGAGATTTATAACCTAAACTCTGACTATTTCAAATGTTCAGAATAGGATACTAAAAATACAAAAAATAACAGCAGAACAATAACAGCAACAAAAGCCCAACAGATAACTGCGTGAAGAGCTGGTTCCCACAGTAGAAATATTAAACCATGAAAGGTAGCCCTGCAGAAGAGAGAGCAAGCAGCAAGCATGAGGAAGTGTGCTCAGTGATTGAGAACGATCAGTGGACCGATTACAGAAAGAATTTGCTGTGGTGAGTTGTGGGATGAAATGGTGCCGTGCATAAATACCCACTGGAAAATGAATTCAAACAGTGGTAAGTGGAGCTTGACGATCTGCACATCTAGCTACCCCAAAAGTGCCAGGAAGAGAGCAGGAGGTGTCAAAAAGGAACAAAGGGTTGAGTTATTTGTACGCTCTTAGCCTTGCACTAAATCTGGTATTGCACTCCCTGTAGTTTGTGGTATGACAGGCTGGGCAACTTGAATGGAGACAGACTTCCACTAGGGGTATGACACAAGGGATAGTATTTCCCATGTGGCAGAGAACTCAAGATTCTAGCATTAAGATTTGGGAAGAGGTAGAGTTGTGGCAAAACTTTAAAACGTGGTAAATGTGCCCATTCATCAGAAAGGACTGTTCTTACGTTGCAACAGAGTGCTAGGGGCCTCTGCTGGTCCATTGGCTATGTTGTAGCAAGATCTTGGGTTTCTGCAGAGAGACTAGGGCTCAAAAGAAGAGGAACATTCTTTGGGTAGCTCCAAAAAGCAGCTATTTGCCAACTGATTAAGTATTATTCAGCACTGATTAGGTGTTATTCAGCACTGTAAGGACTCTATGTCCTCTTGTGAGTGTGGACCAACTGGCTTCAACAGTAGGTTAGGAGCCTGATCAGTTCAGAAAACTAGAGCAACCGCATGGCAGGAATAAAGTACATGACCTAAGAACAGCTCAAGAGACGAACAAACAAAAACGACAGAGCAAAGCGTAACATGTACAGCTAGGAGCAGTCAGTGCCTCAAAAGAAAGGCATCAAACCCAGAGGAAGAGAAAGAGGTGAATTTAAAAGCCTTTAAAATGAGTGCAATTAGAATTCCCAGAAAAGGTGAAGGAGGGGCCGTGAGATTGAGAAAGTATTAAACAAAAATTCAGATGTGAACAGACATTTTAAAAAATGTTAGTAGTAAAAATGTAAGAAGTTCAAGTAGTTATAATAAAATAGCATAAAGAATAGATGCTCTACTGCTCTAGGGGGCTGTTGGAAGGTAGATTTTAGAAGCTGGTATTTACATAGAAAGAAATGGAAAATGTGAAGTAGAGATGTGAATAGATTGAACATAACAGCCATACTACAATTTCCAGAAAGATGAGGTGGTTAGAATGTGGGAATGGGGTAGATAAAGAGATTAGAATGTTAAAGAGGTGCCTGTAAAATATGTTGAACTGACAAAAATGAGTTTTCAGATCCAGGCTTAACCATTTTTTAAAAATGAATACGAGGTAAGGAGGTGGTAATTGAGCCTGAGTATACTAAACAAAAATGCAGGTCAATCATATATACATTCATATTAGACACATATATTATATTTACCTATTTATATAACAGAAGGTCAATTTACCTGGAATGAAGAACTATCTCAAATTCATAATAATAGTAGGCATCAGAAAGTAATAAAGTGTGATCTTCAGAACTGAAGTAAATCTACTGCCAGGGCTAAAGTCAATACCCAATTAAACTCTTATTCAAAAAATAAAAATGTTCATTTTCAACGAGATACAAACATTTTAACATTGACTTTACCGTAACAAATTCTTCACAAAACACACAAAAAGCCTGA